TATAGATATATATATATTCTCTATTTGAATGATGCCATAATAGCCGTATTCATTTTCCTTGTAATACCATATATTTCCGGAAAATTTGATCCGGTCCGGTTTTTACCCTTATGTTTAGTCTGTACATTTGACTTCCGGCTATCCGTGATAACAACAAGCAGGCCTGCTCTCAGCTGGATTTTGTAAGTGCTCGGTGGTGGTCCAGTGCGTCTTGGCCACTCAAAAATGCTTTTACTTACACCTCTTTCATTTCTTCTCTGCAGAACTTTAATGCTCCTTTTTCTTCTACCTCATCTGGATCTAGAGATGGTTCTCTCGACTACTAGCTTTCTCTCTGCCGCTTTCCTGTTTCTCGCAAGTTTTTTTATGGTGAAGCTTTTTCCTACTGGTGATCACATATATCACTTCGATTATGGATGAATTAAATATTCTATCGGCTAACTGTCAGGGACTGGGGGATCATATCAAACGAAAAGATGTGTTTTCTTATTTAAGACAGAAACATTATAATATCTATTGTATACAAGATACCCATTTCATCAGGGAAATGGAAGGCATGATTCGTAGTGAGTGGGGATATGAATGCTATTTTAATTCTTTTAAATCGAATTCTAGGGGTGTTGCTATTCTATTTAATAATAATTTTGAATTTAAAGTAACTAAGGAAAAGAAGGATATGACTGGGAATTTTCTGGCAGTTGAAGTTCAACTGAAAGATATGTGTATTACGCTTATTAACTTGTATGGGCCCAACTTAGATGATCCATTTTTTTTACAATACATTGTCTGACACAATTGATAGTTTTGGAAATGATAAGGTAATGATATGTGGAGATTTTAATCTTGTTCTAGATCCAAATAAAGATTACGATAATAGTTACACCACTGTGAATAACCCAAAAGCTAGAGATAAAGTTTTAGATATTATTAAAAATTATAATCTAGTTGATATTTTTAGAGAGTATTACCCTGATTACCAAAGGTATACTTGGAGGAAAAAAAATCCATTGAAACAGTCAAGATTAGATTTCTTTTTAATTTCAGAAAATTTATTAGGTAGTGTGAAAGGGCCATCTATAGAGGCAGGTTATCGTTCTGATCACTCTTTTCCGAAACTTACAGTTAAACTTCAGGAATTTAAAAAAGGTAAAGGATTATGGAAATTTAATAACTCTCTTTTATATGATACAGAATATATAGACGTTGTTAAAAATGTAATTAATGAAACAAAAGTGCAATACTGTCTTCCTGTTTACAATTTGGAAAATCTTGATCTTATTGCGGATGATGAATTACAATTGAAAATCAATGATCAGTTATTTCTTGAAACTTTGTTGATGAATATTAGAGGTAAAACTATATCGTATGCTGCTTACAAAAAGAAATTACAAAATATACAGGAAAATGAGCTTAATAAGTCTATTGAGGCATTGGAAAAAGAAGAGATTATTGATGTAGCAGAAATAGATAGAAAGAAGAGAGAACTGGAGGAAATTAGAGTTAAAAAAATTAAGGGAAGTATAGTGAGATCAAGAGCTAAATGGGAAGAGGAAGGAGAAAGCCAACTAGTTACTTTTTTAATCTAGAAAATAGAAATTTCACTTCTAAAATTATCCCTAAAGTACAGCTTAGTAATGGTAGTTTTGTAACAAAACAAGAAGATATTTTGAAAGAAATAAGGTATTTTTATGAAAAACTTTATGACTCAAATAATAATTTAGATGATATAACTCTCGAAACTTTTCTTGATTTTGAAAACATTCCAAAACTTAATGAAGCTGGGTCTAGAAATTTAGAAGGATTAGTAACTATTAAAGAAGCATATAATATTCTAAAAAATATGAAAAATAACAAAAGTCCTGGTTCAGATGGTTATACGGCTGAATTTTTCAAGTTTTTCTGGAAACAACTTGGTCTTTTTATTGTTAGGTCTTTAAACTATGGATACATTACAGGGGAATTATCAATCACACAACGTTATGGGATTATTACTTGCATTCCAAAGAAAGGCAAGCCACGCCATTTTATTAAAAACTGGAGAACAATAACTCTATTGAACATTGTATATAAAATAGCTTCAGGGGTAATTGCAAAAAGGATAAAATCCGTACTTGATAAACTCATAAATAAGGATCAGACGGGGTTTTTAGCGGGTCGATACATTGGTGAAAACACTAGGCTACTATATGATGTTATGAAATTCACAGAAGATAATGACATTCCTGGTATGATTCTTATGGTAGATTTTGAAAAGGCATTTGACTCAGTGTCCTGGAAATTCATAGAAAAGGTATTGATTTATTTTGGCTTTGGAAATAGTATACGTAACTGGATAAAACTTTTTCATAGAAATGTAGGGCTTCAGTAAATCAAGGGGGTAATCTGTCATCATTCTTTTCTATTAAAAGAGGCTGTCGTCAGGGCGATCCGGTAGCACCATACATCTTTATTCTCTGTGCAGAAATTCTTGCAATTAGATTCAGAAACAATAAAAATATACATGGCATCCAAGTTGATGATACAGACATTCTAGTTTCTCAGTATGCAGATGATACTTATTTGACTTTAGATGGTACGGAACACTCCCTAAGAGAATCAATAAGTGAATTACAAACATTTGCAGATATCTCAGGCTTAAAAATGAATACCGATAAAACAGAAGTCATTTGGATCGGTAGCAAGAAACACAGTCAAGATAAATTTTTATCAGAATTAGACTTACAATGGGGAAAAGAAACATTTTGTTTATTGGGTATTGATTTCAGTGTTAATCTCCATGAAATGGTCAGAATGAACTTTGATAAGAAAATAGTAAAACTAAAAAGCCTTATAAATACTTGGAGTAGACGCAATTTAACTCCCATAGGAAAAATCCACTTAATTAAATCTTTGATGATTTCACAGTTTAATCATTTATTTATTTCCCTGCCCAATCCAGATGGTAAAACAATCCAGACAATTAACTCTATATTATTTGAATTTCTATGGCACAGTAAAGTTGATAAAGTTAAAAGAGAAACTATAGTTCAGGTACTCTCTGTAATGCTGAGACAGAAACAATTGTACACCTGTTTTGGGAATGTGATGAAGTCCAGAATCTTTTGCAAAGTCTAGATAGATTACTAGATGCTTTATATATTCCTTTTACTGTTAACAAACAAACAATACTTTTTGGCAAGATAGATAATGGGACCAACCTAATATATAGTGTTGATAACCAAATTATTTTACTCATAAAACAATATATTTACAGAACTAGATGTTTACATAAGTCCCTCAGCATTAATGCTCTAACCTGTGCCATCCATGATTATTATAAGGTTCAAAAATATATCACGTATACTAAAGGGGAAAGGGTTAAAGACAAATTTGCACTAGGGTGGAAAAAATGGGAGAAATTTATAAAAATCATGAACGACTAATATTACTACCACTCTGTTACTATATCGATATATGATTTTTTTACTCAAACATAATTAAGATACTCAATACTTAATTTTGAATATGAATCAATAAACCTGATATGGTTACCAGTCCCTGACAATGGCCATCATCTGTACCAACAAATTTTCAGTTTGGTAAATTATTTAAAATCACCATCTGCTTTATATAGTTTTATTTAAGTCTTGAATTCCTTCCTGTTTCCTTCCCTATCTGCTTTCTTTCTCTCTTCCTCTCTCTAGCCATCTGCCTTCTTTCTCTCCTCTATCTAACCATTTTCTATCATAATCTGTCTCTTCTCTCCTTTTTTCTTATATGTATGTATGTATGTATGTAAGGGCGTGTGTGTGTGAACTTCTTTGTGTACATACAATGAAAAAATGCAAAAAATAAAATAAATATAAAAAAAGTTGATTATTTATGGTGTACATTAGATATATGATGAACACTAACAATTTGACAAATCCGTTGATGATGATGATGATGATGATGATGTTGATGATGATGATGATGATGATGCATGTTAGTGATGATGTGTATGATGATGCATGCTAATGATGATATATATGTGTATTAGGATGATGTGTATGATAATACATGTAAGTGATGATGTGTATGATAATACATGTTTAATGATGATGTGTATGATAATACATGTTTAATGATGATGTGTATGAGGATGATGTGTATAATAATACACACATGTTTAATGATGATGTATATGATAACACATGCATGTTTAATGATGATGTGTATGAGGATGATATGTATGATGATACATGTTAATGGTGATGTGTATGGTGATGATGTGTATAATAATACATGCATGTTTAATGATGATGTGTACGGTGATGATGTGTATAATAATACATGCATGTTTAATGATGATGTGTATGATAATACATGTTTAATGATGATGTGTATGAGGATGATGTGTATGATGATACATGTTAATGGTGATGTGTTGTATGATGATGATATGTATGATGATACACGTTAATTGTGATGTGTATGGTGATGATGTGTATGATAATACATGTTTAATGATGATGTGTATGATGATACATGTTAATGATGATGTGTATGATGATGATGTGTATGAGAATATATGTTTAATGATGATGTGTATGATGGTACATGTTTAATGATGATGTGTATGATGATAATGTGTATGATGATACATGTTGGACATATGTATGTATGTATGTAAGGGCGTGTGTGTGTGAACTTCTTTGTGTACATACAATGAAAAAATGCAAAAAATAAAATAAATATAAAAAAAAATAACAATAGTTTCCTTTTGAGACAATGACTGCATTATACCTCCCTTATCTAATGATTTGATAATAATCATGACTTTCAAGCAGAATAATTTTTTCGTCATCTTTTTTCAGGTTTGGGAGGACAATAATTAGATTAAAGGTGCAAGCGATGTTTAACATCAGATACATGTACCTGCAGACTGTCCAAAAACACACTTTGGAGTAAGATACAGTAAAGCAAAACATAATCAAACTGCATCATACAGCTCTTTCGTCCATCTAGGACTTGTCAGTGAACTAAATTTTGAAGCCTGTGAGGTGAAAGAGGAAAATTCAAAGTTATAGAAGGAAAAATCAAAAGCTAGATAGGAAGTGCACAATCCCCATAATTCAATAAATTCCACAATTTACATATACATGAAAATATATATATACACCAAATACATATGTGTATAGCCTAGATATTTATTCGTGATCTTACTAATTTGTTCATTGGCCGGAGGTCCTATGACGTAGAAGACCCTTATGATTTGGGTAAAACGTTTAAATTTGTTGCCGTCCTCGTGCCAGCAGGTCTGGTCGGGGTCCATGTCTCCTCTACCACCTAACCCTTCGAATGTCTTCATCGTCGTTGTCTCCACATTTAGTACAGTACCTTTAATTATACCATGGTAATATATATAACAAACCAACTTATGTTTACTTCTGACAGCAATTCGATGTTTATGTTATAAAATCCAATACATTTTGCATACGTTGCATATTCAATATACTATGACATGTATTTATAGAAATCTAGTCAATGTTTATAAATAATAATGACTGAAACCTTGTCATGTTTCAGGGACCCTGTCATAATATAAAGGTCGAATGTAGAAAATCGAATAAGGCATTAATATACTTTGATATATAGAAGTGGTCGGAAATGGTTTAAATATCGGCCAATTTTAAAACATCATTAACAATCTGTATTCATAAAAGTCTAGATATGATATATAGGTTCAGGCAACTATCCTATATCCTTTTTAAGGAGGTAACTGATATCAAAGCAAATTACATACAATACTGTAAGATACGTATTTATATATCCTAATTAACAACTGAAAACAGATTAAGAAACGCAATATATATTTTTTATTTGCGTGTATAGTTCTCGCCAAATAGTGTTACAAAAATTACAGAGTTAATGTTTCCAGATGTATCTGCACATGTAACACAAGGTCATCTGAACACTCACCAGTATCAAGAAGAAAAAACAAATTTGATATTGGACATAGTCTTTTACTTTGTTAATGTAACACGTAGTGACTGCAGTCAAACCGACACAGACCACAGGAAAGATTTGTATAATGTATACATCTTGGTGTATACCAAACCATATTATTTTATGCTACTGATTTTCGCGATCTTACTCCTTATGACTATATCGTGGCTTCATCATTTCGCGAATCTGATCAGTCTTTGATTAAAGTGGTATTATGTTAAAATGTTCACGGCGATTAATTTTTAGTTGTTTCAAGTATTCTATTGCAAAATACAGTACCTTGTAACGGGTTCGATTTGAGGTCCTCGTTCAGTTGTTTTAGTGTAGTCCTCAAACCTTGAAACGACACGTTCATGGACGGAAGGATCATGTTATTCAGGATTTCTGGGTCGTTGATAGTAGTATAACCAACATGTCTCCTGCGCGATTTGATGTTGATTTGCACTCCTGTTCCCATGTTGATTTGAGGTCCATACGACACGTGTGTGGGAACGACCGCAATTTTTTGTGGAAGAACATTCAACAAGCCTAACTGCTGCACGGGCTCATTCTGGTCCACCTTCTTTGTTAGCCACAACCTGTAATATAATTCGAATGTTAGAATTTTTTATGACATAGTAAATAAGATATCTAATTTTGTATATATAAGACAGAAAAGGACAGAAAATTTTGCTAGACATGCAAAGGCACATATGAGATACACCAGACGGTCACGTATTTCATAAGATGTAAGGTACTCGCGGTATAAACTATAAGTGCACATATGAGATACACCAGACGTTCGTGCATTTAATAACATGTAAGTTTGTGTGTTGTCGTTATGTCTTCAGATATTGCTTAACTTATTCGCATTAGGGATCAACAAAGTTTTATCATTGCAACATTTTCTTGAAGATATCTATTGGTCATAGTTACTTCTTACCTCAATCCCCGTATGAACACGTTGAAGCCAAATGTAGCCTCATGATAAATCATCTTCTCCATTACGATGTTTGCTCCCTTTTCCACTTTCCGTTCCACTGTCTCACATTTCCATACTGCATATAGAGGGTTTCCAGCCAGCCACATGTTGGCTGCTTGTACGACCACGCTTTGGAAACAAAACGCAAAAATGTGATAGCAACGTCATCAACGCCTTTGTCTTAAATTGACAACAACTCACAAGTACGATTGTACATTTTAATATTCATTTTTGTGATAATGCAATTTTTTATATCAGAAGTATCACAAAAATATAGTTACAGTGTTTATTCCAGCTATTCATTTCGCTTGTTAATACACACATTGTATTACAAGAATATTTCATTATAACATCTAATGGTATCTAAATATCACGAACAACAGTCTTTCCATATAAAAAAGAAAAGTACCTGAATTTGTCAAACTGAGGAGTGACTTTCTTGTCAATGTTACCAGGGTCTAGCAACCTTGGCATGATGTCGATATAAGACAGAGGAGGTAAATCTGATGGTGACGTGGTTTTGGCGTACCCAACAGTCCGATGTCCCATCACTTCCTCGTACGAGGGTGGAGGACATGTCGCTGCCACACTCTCGGGGGTCGCGGGAAGGCACTTTTCCTCCATGATTATCTACACCGATATTGAGAAACTGAGACTTCAGAAATGTTATAACTCGATCATTTTGTAACAAGCAGTTAACGAATGGCCATGTTCGTGAAACGTACCTTTGATTTCATGTACCTGGATTTGGCTTTTAAATTCATATAAAAGTGTATTAGTTTTATCACCCTACGATATTCTATGACATGGAAGGAAACACTATTTTCATTAGCCCGTTTAGTCTTAATCTAACCTTTTATATACGATGTGTTGTGCAGCATATTGTATATACGCACAAGCATTAACCAGTATAATCAGGCTTATTTGTCTATAGACGGTGTTATACATTTCGCATTCACTACACACGCAAAATACTCGCATGTGGTCTGGGATGTGATCTTCTTCATATTTTAGATCATACAACCATTACATATTATGTAGGTTGACACGAACATGACTGCGAACTAAAACATTTCCATATGATGTATTCTATAGCAACAAAGCATTAGAGGGAAGTCCCTGACCGGAAGCAGTAGCTCACCTAATTATTATCAGCAAATGTATACCGACCTCCTTGTCAACATGAATTTGAAGATATTGCACATTGCGACATCATAAACAACGAAATAAAACTATTTCCGGTTCCTACAAGGTGTATATATAGACCACAACCAGAACCTCGAGAGCAGCGATAGTGTTTAGAATGGGAAGGTTGTCTAGCGACACGTAAACAAACACTGACAGGCTTGTTAGGATTGTCACGGTTGGCTGGTCGGGTGAACGTGAGTTCGTATAGCCACGAAATCAATGTGAATATGTTGACATAAAAATGACTTTTTATATGTGTCATTTCACACATGCCGTTATTTCTTGCTGGGTATATACACAGCATTACTCTCAAACGCAGAATACATACCCGTGCCCACCTACATGTATGTATTCATGAATAAATTATAAATAGATAAACACGATACTTACATTTATAAGAAGAATTATAAATTCATTCATGTCTTGATTTTGACTATCGCATAGAGAATGACAGTTACGTATCTAAACGTTGGAAATGCATTTTTGAATACATAAAACATGTATTTATATCAATCATGTATAGAGTGCAATAATTCCCTAGTATAGTCAATTGATTCAGATAGGGGAATGTTAAATTCACCAACAGCGATATGCAGGGAATGTAAGTAGTTATTAGTTGTGATAAATATTCTGTTTGATACCTGTATCATCAAAAGACAATTCTCTCGTATGATTAATTTGTTCCGAATCATCTGGTAATCAGTTGTACTCACAGTTGTATCGCCAATAGACCATTTCCACGTCCAAGGAAGATTCTTTTCTGATCAGGTTCATCCATATATACTGTAATGTTTTCTCAACCCGGTATTATTCTCTCGAGTATTTAACCGAGTTTGGGTAGAAGACGTTATCATGAAATAAAGGATCGTTCCTAGCCTAGAACTGTGACCAAAAGAAGACCAAAAACAGAAAATACAAGTTCATATTTTTATTAAGTAAACAATATAAGATGAAAATCATAATGGTAATCAGTTTCCTGTTCACTCTGTATGAATCCAGTATTGATAATGAATTGCCTATGTACAAATATTCTGTACCGCTACTCGGGTAAGAGATTTACCCGTACTTGGATCAGATTTACCCGAGATTTAGAATAAAGTTATCATTGGAGAAGAATACCCAGATGTGATTATTGGGTATTATTTTACATATATACATTTTAGTTAAATCATTTATATCCGGTTTCCAAGCATTTGTTCCATAAATGCAGTCTACTTGACAGGTTTCCCCCGATATTGTGTAAATTTCCAGAGATTGGACACAATGTCTTAAAATCCTGCGTAATACTAGTTGTGAACAGCAAGAAATTCAGTTATAGGTAAATGGATCATTATTCCAAAGAGGCTTACCAATTCAGTGTCCATATTTGTCATAGACGAACGTAGATTACTATGGAAAGACGCCTAGCAAACGACAACGGCACCTTCGTCTTTTATACTCTTTTGGAGTTAATGCACGCGACTTTTACAGCCAAATTCCAACTCCGGACTACTGATTGGTCCGTATCCGTTAACGGGCTTACACTCCGATATTAGTTTATTCCCTCCGATCAAAAGGATTCTGATAATCACGAGAAGGAGGACCTGGCCTGCTGTGATCACTGTCGATTAAACTGACCATTTAGTGATAAAGTACTACGAAATGAAGTATTTATATGCGAAGATTTAAGTCTCTGGTAATTATTTATAACACACGCTATTTTCTATACATCTCTGCAAGATCTTATTCTATCCCGAGTCGAGTCATGTTTGTATTGCAATCGCACAATCGGCTCTTACAATTGGAGGTCAGTTTCCCTATACAGATATCCATGAGTAATGTTTAATCCTCTCCAACATGTATGATATCGTATTTTCCTATATCGTTATATAAATAAATATGCATATAGTAAATTCGAACATGCGAAAATCGTTATAGTACATGTATTAATATGAAAACATTTCTGCCTTGTACTTAAAGGAAAAGAGTTACTCTGCAAATGTATGATGTAACACTGTACACTGTTACATCATCACTGTATTGACGTTAAATTAGCATTGAAGCTTTAACAACATTGTATGTTCATGCAATTTTTAAACGTGTTAATTTCTTTTACCCTTGATGATTACTACTTTCAACGAAAGATTCCCTAGTAGCCAAACACAAGACCTTATCAGTTGTGAGGATATGAGAACCCCCATCCTCTATTGAGATGACCAGTCCTGGGCTAACGCATTTAAAGATTGCATTTCCAATCCTAAGATAATTGACGTAGACCACTTCCGTGTAGTCTATAGATTTCTATCACAGACAATGAAGGATATCTAAACAGACAATGGTCGCACCAATTGGAATGCTACAAATGTACAGATGGAACAGGAGAAACGCCGAGAGACAAATGTCAATCAAGACATCACTCGTAGACCGAATGTAAAAGAGAACGCGGACAGTCACGAATGGTGTTATGTCGATAAGAACAATTTATTGGCGAATTGCATATTGGACACCAACACCTCAGTGGTGATTTGTTGACTGTTGTCCTTGGCCATCAGTGTCATCGTCCTGCAAGTATACCAGTATAGGTTATATGACCGCCGAAGGACGTCGTTTAAAGAGTCGCAGTTAATGTTAAACGAATATTTGCTTTATGGTGAACCGAAGCAATATGTTATTGCTTAAATTTCATTACATTAAAATCTTATTACGTTTTCTCATTTGGCAGTATTATCAACTAACAAAATGATGAAATCTATACAATTGATTACAAAACTAAGAGGTCTTGCCATAACTATTTGATCATTTGGCATTTAAACGTTATAACAGTTATAATGAAAAATATCTTTTCTTAGATTATCAGTTCTGCCATCTGTAATATACTTACAGAATATTCACTTTGCCGCTTTCCTGCAAATTAAGCATATAATTGATAAAGACTATCATAACTGACAAAAATATCTGTGGATCCTAAATGATAATTGAATCTCACTCGGACTCTAAAATCCCTAATTGTGCGAGAAATAGAATGAATCGATCGAATAAAATCATGAGTTCAGAAAACTGCGATTGAGTGCAATATATTTTCAAAACCTGGTCTATTTCTAATTTGTTTATCTATTTTTCTAAATCATCCTTTCACTCGAGTTCTTATCACAGAAAGATGAGTTAAGCTTGAGGGTAGTGTCTAAGTAAGTACAATGTAGATATAAACATGTTATAAAGAGGTAACTACCTACCTAACACTGGAGCGTTTTGTGATGAAAACGTTAATCCAGTCCTAGCTGCAAAAGACAGTTGTACTTAATATCATTATTAGAAATATCGAGTAACTTTAGTGTGAATAAATACATTTCTCAAATTAATAATTCTACAGATATACCAATTGCATTGGAGCTTTTTCAATTCACAGCTAACTCCAAAGTCCCGAACACGTGTATAGATAATATTGCCCATTACTTATTCCTGGGAACATCGAACATTTGGTATTATCATAAGAAAGAAAAAAACAATAAATTATCTTGTTATTCAACAATGGAAATAAGTTTTTCACATAAATAAAGGAATTTATCAATTTAAAAAAAAACTGCACTAAACATATCAGAAATGTTATATCCTCACTGCTGATGATATACCTCTTCCAGTGATGATATTTAACTATTCAACTAATCTTTATAATATCACTGCAGTGATGATTTATTTATTTTTATCAAAGCGATAAATTCTTATATTTCATGAAAAGTCTTATTTCCATTGTTGAAATGATAATGACACCTCGAATGACAAGACAATTTATCAGTTTTCTTTCAAACATTTAACATATAAACTGTAAGAATGGTTATACATAGGGAAAGTTGATGTAGTGAGCGTGCCTGCAATAGGAGTTGTCTTCTGCCCTTGTATTCCTGAGCGGGTAGGTAATGAAGTTTTTGAATGATCCAACAATAATGTAGATATTACAACACCGTATTTCAAACATCAGATTAAAGTACCAAGATGTTTGTACAATGGTAATTTTATAAAAGATAAAAATATAATGAAATTCGGTAAACACACAATGTATGCATTTCAGACACCAAATTACCAATATGTTTGTACAATGGCTGTGTGGAAATTAGACATTGTTCAGTAATGATATTACCGGATGATAAATGTTCTCAGGAAAAGTTATGGAGAATCTATTGGCATGATATTTAACTTCACTGAAACTTCGATGTTCAGGGGACTACCAAAATACTTTAATACATCGTGACTTCGAGTTATTCGTGGTGGGTTTAATTTATGTTCTCATGTTCATGGCTATATATAGCTGATGACAAATGTTTCTACTTGAACAAACATAATAAATATCAAAACACAAGTCTAAATTAAAAGATGCAATCTATCTGAAAACAAAACATTTCCATTCATGAAAAAAGACCCAAAACATCTCCGGTTTAAGAAATTACAAGAGTGTTTGCCGATTCTCTGACAAAAGGCTAGTCTGAATTAATCGTGTTTCTCATGCTTAAAGCTTAAAACTGAAATTTGACGTTTTGGAAATGGGTGAAATCATCATTCAAATGATAGGATTTCCTCCGATTGTTTTCAAAATTCCGTAAATAAGACCTAACTAAACGCCATTACCGCAATGACGGCACTGAATATCAAACGACGTCCCATCATCTTTTTTTTTAAATATCATGGCTTGTACATAAGCAATTAAACCTTAATCTATGTCCAGTCATTAACTAACCTCGTACCACATAGCTGATGATTGCAGGCTATCGTAATCACATTGTCAGGTAACACGTGAAATGTGTGTAATTTTGACGCGGGGTGATAATACTTGTACAGTACAGGTAAATGTTTTGTTCGAATCATGAGGTGTCAATGACGATCCGTGAAAAAGTTCGATTAATCAAACTTCGATTAATAAAGGGGTTAAGATAGAAGTAGTATATAGGAATAAAATTAAGGACCGGACAAAAACTCGATACATCCAGAAATTCGAATCATCGAGGTTCGATTCATAAAAGTCTGATTGTACTTCTAATATCATCATCGTAATGCTGATTTATTTTCTTCATGAAACCGATAGATTTCTGTATTTCATATAAAAACATCTATTGTTGAAAAATGGTAATGACACTTTGAATAACAAGACAATTTATCAGTTTTCTCTCAAACATACAACATCAACTGTAAGAATGGTTGTTAGACTATACGTACGGAAAGTTGATGTAGTGAGCGTGCCAACAATAGGAGTTGTCTGTCCTTGTATTCCTGAGCGGGTAGGTACTGGAGCTATCGAATGAACCAAAAATAATTTGGCTACTTCAACACGACGCGTAAAAAATAATATATATTCAGGAGATTCGGAAAACACACAATGTACACATTTCAGTCACCAAATTAAAGTACCATGATGTTTGTACACTGGTTGTGTAGAAATTTAATATTGTGTTGTAATGATATTTCCAAATATTGATAATATATCTAATGATTTCTTATATCATCATTGCAGTAACGATTTATTTTTTCCATCAAATCGATAGATCTCTGTATTTCATGTAAAAAACTTATTTTCATTGTTGAAATGATTAAAAACACTTTGAACAAGACAATTTTTCAGTTTTCTTTCAAACATATAGCATAAACGGTAAAAATGGCTGTAAGGTTGTACGTACGGAAAGTTGTTGTAGTGGTTGTGACTGCGATAGGAGTTGTCTGCCCTTGTATTCCTGGGCGAGTAGGTAATGGACCTATTGATTTCAGCAAATATTTGTTATTTAATTGTATCATCAAATGTTAAATGTTCCCGGTAATAAGTTATGATCAATATATTGATAATGCATTAAACGATTTTTTTAATCAGCATGCCAGCTCGCTTTATAATCACTAACAGATGAAGTACGTACTGCAGAAGCCGCAGAACTTGACACAGTAGTAGACCGAGGTAAGGGATATACTATCACATATGTGGTTGGTCTGGTTGAGAAAGATACAGCTGCTCTCTGTAGCCCTGTCTTTGCAGTTTTCTGATGTTGGTATGGTTACGTCTGCATTTCAACAAAAACAAAACGATCACCAACCTCAATTCAGATAATTTAATGCCAAACTTAATATCAATTAAAAAAAAGTTAATATTAAAATAGCAAACATTGGGATAACCTTAACAAAAAGTCTCCTTCTTAAAACAAATAATACATATATCAATTTATAATGGTGGCCGTCATCAGGTTATCAGTTTGAATTGTTCTAATTCCCCATGTAAAATATTAAGTAAGATGTGTTCGATTCTCGATATTATGCCATGTTGTTCCATTTGAGAACATAACAAATTTATGATTGACCTTGATTTACAGTGGGTGTCGTCGATGAAGCGGAAGACACATGGTCCTGCTGGACCACCTGGTCTGATCGTCCTTTTTCAGGGATTTACGTGTAAATGCTTCTTCAGTTATTATTTTGACCACTTTTCTTAGTTTGATTTTGTATTTTCTATATTTTTATGGCTTATGTGCTTTTGTTTTCACTTTCTCTTATTCGTATGGACATACAATAATGCAGTAATGTATAAATGCATGTTGCAACACTAAATGATATAAATCAAATCCTCGGAGAAATTTAGCAAATGTAACCTCGAACTGGCAAGTAGAACTTAATGTAGAAGAAAATATTTTAAAATCTTTACATGCTAAAGAATTTCGATTAAGATGTCTTTAAAATGACTGAAGTAAGAAATTCTGTACACACAAGGTGATTGCTTTGATATTAAACTCAGTTTGTGGTAAGAGAAAACAATACATGTAGGCAATGAAAAACTAATAGAGAGATTGGCTGAATTAATTTAGAAACCAATCAATGTTACTTACTAGCAGCTGTCGGCAAAGTGGTTGTATTGTCTGGAGAGGTCTGTAACGTATTCGAAACCAGTGAGGATGGAGTGGACGTTTGTGTGGTAAAGGATGTGGGGCGTTGTGTTTGTTGGTTGCACGTAAATCCAGATATTACTTTTGGCGGTGGTTCTAAAGGTGAATATCAGGATATTTGGAAAATAGATCGAACTGGAGTTAAACGCAAACTGCATAATAGTTGTTATTAAATGATAAGAGGAAAAGACTGCAAACTAGTTTATTTTGAATTGCTGAGAACTAATCTTCGATTTGTTTGCGAAAAAAAATCAATATTCTTATTAATTCTCAAGAGACAAAAAGCAAACATCTTACTGAAATCTATATATCATTATTTGCAAAATTATGAAACTTACGATCTCTCACTGGCCAGTTTCGGTTACATAAATGTGTGTCACAGCACGTTGACGCAAGGTCTATTTCACCTACATGATGAGTGACATCACGGCTCACTTTACTATTGTTTTTAAAAGCATTGCAATACTGAAATAATAGAATAACGGTTACTGAAATTGATGTAACTGTTTAAACGGCATAAGTTGCAAACTGTTTCTTCTAAATTGATAAGAAAACAGAAAAATACGTACTTAATAAATCAAACCTATCATATGCGTAAGTATTAATACCAATTACATGTCGGACGAAAAATTATAATTCTAAAGAATAAAGAAAACGAAAAGAACACATTATAAACGAAATACAAACAGTGGTAACAATATTATTTCATACAAGGAGAATAAAACCAATGACATGTGTAAGATTAATATTGGGACATAAATCGCCAACAATACTTTGTATTATTCCAATTAAATGCATGATACAAATTGATGTTTACCGTCTTTTCTTCGCAACCTAGTTCAAAGCGCAAGCCTCCAGCGTGAAACACTCCATAGGCCACACATTGCTGTAACATAATATGTAACAGTAGTATGTCTCAACATTTTCCTTCCTTGGAGGCAAGGTAGTGAATTTACAACCCGAAGGAAAATATAATGAAGTTTGCAAACACGTCATTTTTAGTGCCTGCAACGTAAAAATTCCCTTATCTCACCAGCAAAGGGGACAATAATTATTTTGCCTTTCTCTGCTGGATTCTTTTATATGTGTTGATCTTTTCCTAATGTTTTGCATCATTTATGTGATGTCACAATCATGAAAGTGTTCCTTCTCTACCGCAGGGTGAGATAAGGAAATATCAGACCGAAACGCGTGGGAAGGAGAAACTGAATTGAAACTTGAATAGATCAAACATAGAATATTATAACTCATTTAACACAGAAATCAAAAAGCCGTAAATTATCAATTTTGGGTGTGTAATTTACCTGTGAATATGGACAATTAATCAATTTGTCACAATAGACGGGATCTTTGACTGCATCACAGCCCAGACATCTTGTAGACGGTAACACTGCCATGTCCTCTGAAACAACGCATCTAAATAGTTATATAACACTGTATCATGTCCTCCTAAACAATAGCTCTGATATTCCGTGTTACAGTGACTCCAGATATCTACTGATATCTAACTATCTACTATATATGTTATGTCCTCTGAAAGTTGTTTGATACCTTGTCATACCTATATACAACTGCACGTATTTGTATACAGCATGTCATACCATGTCCTCTTAAACAACACCTCTGAAAAGTTATATATAATACTGTTATATCCTCTGTTACAATGACTATAACCATCATAGGTCATATCTATACACAACATGTCATATCCTCTGAAACTATTATATTCGAAGCAACATGTCATATTCTTTTAAACAACGCTTCTGAATATAATGTAATTAACATGTATATAACATTTCGTATCAATAAGCTCGGAATTGGTCACATGTGTCAAATATATCTAAAAAAAACTATGAATAATGTTTTTTTACCGCTATCAGGGCAGCCATACAAATTGCAGAACTCTCCCTCACAACAATGGTGACAGGACAATGTTGAACGTTTTTTCGAGTGACTGTATCCGTGCATAGACTCTCCGAAACACGTCTTCAAATTACACGCCTGTTGGGAATTTAAAAAAAAACAAAATGCTAAAGATTTTCTGTAATACTGGAGAGCACTTTCTGGTTTCTTTAATTTTTTTCACCGAAATCAGTAAAGACATTATGGATATAAGTAAGAAATTGTGAAAATTGCTCATTTCATATGAAATTCAAAGTGTTCTTCGTAAAAATATTATTTCTTAGATATATAGACATTTATATCAAAAGAAAACAGGAAACTCCCACACATGTACGATTGGGTTCATGCCTGATAACATTGCATGCCACTGGAGCGTCTCTATCACTTCTTGTTGAAGCTAGCTCTGCAAATGGATGGGCATCTAAATACGGAACAGCTAAATGTCGAAGGATCTGGTCACGGTACTTCTGACCATTTCAAGTTTAGGTGGCAAACCTTGACCTTGCTTTATCAGAGTACGGGTACCCCGATTTAATGTGTTATCGTTAAGTTGGGTATATTGCTTGGTGATATATAGCACCAAAAACAAAAGAAGATACTGAAAAAAGTACGACAAAGTTAATTTTTACAAAAAGAACATCAGTTTTGATTTAAATTTTCATACTGAAATTGATGGTCTCAATACATATCAAATTTCTCTAAATTCTATAATGGTGCAATACATAGGATGCATCCGCTGATTAAAGTGATATTCTATAAAATCCATAATACTGGTGCAACATCTTCAGGCTGTACCCCGAAATGTCGAACCAAACATCTGTAAAACAATTCAGACTCTGAATTCCATAAACTGTAAGGAACATAGATAATGGACAGCACGATGACTGACTTACATGTCGTGATCTGCATCCTGCGTTGATGACTGGCCAACCCGATTGCAACATTTCTTTTTCAACATAGCAAACCTGAAAGTGTTATTCGATGTAGCATACCTAAACATGTAGACTTTACAATAATTTATATATGAGAACAAACGAATTACGAAGAAATAAATATTTCACTAAATAAAAGAAGTTTAGATTTTCAAAATTGCATACCAAGAAAAAAAATCCAAATATCGTATAGCCATTATTCAATTATTGACTTTTTAAAACTTAATATGAGGATTTGTCTACCTGGGAAAGGGGCCTCGTGAAATATCACTTTTCGAAGGTCGACAAATTCTCATATTAACTGATAAAAAGTGGACCACTTGTTTTTTTATATTTATGACACGGCCTTTAAGACGTCTATATCAATAACAATTAGTTTTATTTCTATTCTAAATAATCATCTTCCGGTGATAATGTCGTGTCATGTTCCCTTGTTACTATTTTTATCTAGGTTATCAATTTGCAATGATAACCTCTCTAGCAGGAAATCACCAGTATCAGATAAACATAACAAAAAATCAAAACCTATTATTCCTGGTCAGTCAGAGAAGAGGGATTTTCTCAGCTAGGCAACAAAAAACAAATGTAAATTTCCCAAATATAAAATTTTCAGGAATAAGTGTACACTCCAGAATACCTGGTATAACACTCTCAAAACAAGTGAAGACTTTTTAATTGATTACGTCACCGAGGAAGTCAAGAGTAATAAATATGGTACTCATTAAAAGAAGTGTACATGTCAGAATTTGGAATGTTTTGAAATATGTTTATTCTTCCAAGTGTTATATTAATAGAAAGAATTGTAAACTTCCAAACAGAATGTCAACAAGACAACATTCATATGTAGAATCAAGAATAAAGTCTCGGCCTTCCGGTATAGCAATCCTAGGAGAAATGAAGGATATGACCTACATAAAAGGAAATATTGTAGCCTTTTCAAAAGGGAACGCATATTTGTCAATAAAGCATAGTTATAGAAATAAACGCATATCACTCAATGAAATTCGTTTATAACTATTACTGATGAAAATTAAGTTTCCATCCCCCCCCTCCCGATAGGTTTAATTTTTTGTGGGTTTATTTAAATGATAGATAAAAAATGAGTGGTTTTTTTTTCGTCAAATAATGAAACGATCGTTTTGTGTAATTATATTATTTTCATTTTCAATGTGTCTTTATGTGATTCTATTGTCTTCCCTCAAAAATTGCGTGAAAACAACCTATCAAAATAGCCACATCTACACTAGTTTCACAGTAACTTTTACAATACTTCTTGAAAGCAGAGAAGCTGCACGTCAAACGGTAAATTTCTAATTCAAAACTACAATGAAATCTTTTCATGACAATGTGCTTAACTATGTTCGTCTTTTCGTGACAAGTTCGACTTACCTCATGTGGTGCGCACGTAATCACTTCAAGGCAGTCTATGATGTGTTCCGCTTTATGGCAATACATACATCGATAATACTCATGAATACCTGAAATATATCATGTCATTTCTAGTAAATATAACTTCAGCAGACTGAACGATGGAAAGACACTGAAGTCTGGATTGCCTTTGTTTCAAGAAAACAAATATGTCTTCCACCTGCAATTCCAGTGTTATGGGTAGAAATGTTTGGAAATCTCAGTGAACACATGCAGTTGTCGTAAAAATAATTTCAAACACGCTTTACGACTTCAGAAGAGCTTCTTTTTATCAATATTGATTGACACTTTAATACAGATTCTTACCTGAATTGTTCAGGCTCTGTGTCGTTGTCGCTACACTTGTAGTCACACCATTATTTACCGAAACTGTACCTGCCTTTACGTCGTCGGGAAGGAGAGCCAAGCACAGTAGACTTAGTACTAAAACGGCGAGGATGCATAAGTTATTTATACTTTAAGATGCAGCATGAGCAAGGCAGAAATTGACAACGTCCTGAAGATTTTGTGAAAAGAAAACAACATCGGTTTTGTAATCATTGATATTGAATTATTATCAAATCGGAGTTGAATTTACAGCACGATTTCAATGTAGGGGATATCGCATGACTTCCAATCCATGAAAGGAAACAGATGTAAATTCTGTTGGCATCCTTAACAAGATACATTTTGCAAGTACTCGTGAGAACAGCATTTTACTATACTGCTGTAAAATCTAAATTGGCGATAAATTTCAACCTCTTCTTCGGTGACGTCACAATGCAAATGCATGACATCATGATATTATATAGCGTCACAATGGAAACAAGCTGTTATAACAATTGTGTTTATTACAAATATTCATTTTGGTGTTTATTTCACTGAACAATTAAACACTTTTCATTCCATGAATTACCTAACACGTACTAGACGAATTTCGACTTCATTTGATGACGTTTTGCGACGGAGCCAAATTCAAAACGTCATTTACTGATCACGTCAAAATAGTGTAATTGAATGCACGTAATAGGACAAGTCACAGTCATATACGCTGTATCTCCCTGTATCATTCCAATAATCTTTCGTAATCGTTGAACGGTTAATCTGATATAAGTCGATCGCGTGTAAAACCTTGACCCAATTACTACCTGCGTCGCATATCCTGGGTTTGCGTACACCTTGAAACGTCTCTGTAAAGGATTCTAAGTCAACGAATTACTGTGATGTTCTCTGATTCTTCGTGACGTACCTACCACAGGTGACCAGCCTCCCCGCCTTGTGCCTGCCACACATGCCTTTGTTTTCTCGCGGAGGTAAGTATCAAACATTGTCAACAGGAACATTTTCTTATCAGTAACAGCTGGTTTGTAAGAGCTCCAAATGGATTGTGACGTATTTAAAGCCATGATAAATTTATGATAGTTAAAGTCAGTGACAATGCAATGTTAAAGTTATATTGTACCATTACCCCAAAGCGCAAAAAATGGTCTTCGAGACTTGGTATACTGTCTAAACATGTATACGTGCCAATCCATACGGCATTTGGAGGCAATTGAAACTGTCGGTGTTATCTAATCTAACGTGCAAATGACACGGTTTTTCTCTATTTTCTATTGACACTTTCCAAAAGTAGCACACAGGTTCACCACAGCTAATGTATTTTTCTTGGGGAGATGCAGGTCAATCTTTCTCGAATTATAAGAGGTTTATCGAAGATATCTCATCGTTCTCTTGTTCTATTAGAGTTACCGATCGCGATATTACAAGGAGGCTGGACAAAAAAGATTCCATTACTGGAAAAAAAAAGATGTGATAGCTAGAACAATGTTGACTGATGAAATATGATGAACCATTCTTAAAATGAAAAAAAAAAATCTGTTGTGACTTCTCCTTCAGGAAGTTTACATTTTTTCTCAAATATTGCCACAGGTGGCAAAAGAATATTTTCTTGGCTTGAGTTCTTCAAATTCCTACTAAGTTTCGTTTTAATTACACTGTGGTAGAGTTAGAGAAAGACATTTTATCATGTATGTAATGGTATTTGTTCTGATTTTATTTCATTCACCTTCTTGGATTTCGTACTGACCTTGGAATTGTTGGGGCCGTTTTTTATGATAAACATAACACGAGGTAAGTAAGGCCGGATTAAAAAATTCGGGTTATTTTTTTTTAATTACACCGGTTATATACGTAAGATGGAACGGTGGTGTCCACTTGTGTTGATAGTCCTATTTTCTGTGATATGGAGAGTACACCGGATATCTGGAGAGACAAATTGTCCCTGTTCTAACCCATCATTATGTGAACCAATAAAGGACACAAACAGAAAGGAGGTAAAGTCGTTTGTTACCATTTAACTAGACCGTCCGTTTTGGCCTGTCTATTTTCATCCGGGTCGCTTCATTTATCGGTGGAACCAGTTCGGCCAATCTTGTTTTAACTGTATAACAGACAAGGTCGGACCTGCTTATCTTGTTTTTCTTTCCGCTGAGCTTCAACTAAGCCTTTCGAAGGCACGTATTAATATTTTTAGACCGATTCCAATTTATGTGTGAAATATTAAATGTACAAACGAGACGCTTTGTCCGCGTAAACGAATACAGGCCCGAGATTTTGTTGGTGTGTTACGTAATAACTTACACTGATTCATACGTGTCAATATCTTCATACATATAGTCCTACTGGTACCGTTATTTATTGATATATCACTTGGCAATGGGTATATTACAGGTCAACTATACCTTAACTCCTCACTTGAAATCTTTTTACCGTATTTACTCATGTAACAGCCGAGATTACAATTTTGTATCTGATATAGGAGGATACTGCACTTTACATGCGTGATGTTTTTAGTACTTATTTTGATGTTATAGGTTGCTGAAATTGATTGTGGATCTATGGCTTGTTCTTGTAAAATATTGCATAATTATCAAATAAAGATACAATTCTTTAAAACCTCCATCTTTGCCGTATGATAAATTATTAACAGAGTTTGATAGCGACATAGGTCATAACACCCTTAACATTTGTGTCACTAGGCGAATCAAAATGATTCCTAATATACTATTAAATAGACCCGAAGAGCCTTGATGGAGTAAAGCAAATGTAAATATGCCATGCCTGTCATATCAATGTCCATTAAAACATTTAATCAACATCACTTTTTTCAAATAGAACTAGTTTTTAAAATATTTAAAATATAATCTGACTTTAGCACTCTATCTGTATGTTTGTATCTTTATTTTCAGGTGTTCGTATTTTCGTTAAGTAAAGACATTCAAACATGGCAAAAGTACAACTGGACAAAGATCAGTACTGTGGTCATGGTTGGTTACTATAGTGATGACATGATGTGTCTCGCGCATAGCAACGGGGCTCGGGTTGTTTTCATAGGTACCGATTTTTTCCAGTCTTATTCGATAAAATAAACACATCAGACAGGAAAAAAGTTTCATTATTTTCAACAGAAACAAGAAAAAAACTGAAACAAACAAACTGGTAAAATATTTTCTTTTCCGTGTTCTCCTTTTCCATTAAATGTTCTCCATTCTGAAATATAAAGCGAACATACATGCGATAACTGTTCTAAAAAGTACATGCAAATAAATTGTGATTCAAATACTTTGATTAAAGATAGGTCATTCTTTATAATTATTAGTAAGTCAATTCTAATTGGTTGATTATAGGGGGCGTCCCTACAGAATACCTCACTAACGCTACCCTTCAGGAGGAGTGGGTGGTTAAAAATTTAGCCATTGTCACCCAGAAACACTTGGATGGAATTAACTTTGATTACGAGAGTCCAATACCAGCTGATCGGACAGACCTGAGGGACGGCTACACTGCACTGGTCAGACGGACATACAAGATGTTCAAACAATACAATCCATCATATCAGGTCAATATAATGTTGTTAATTAATCTGGGTATCGAAGTTCTAGGTCAACTTAATAGCTGTCAGTCACCCAGAATGTTGTGTCCATCATTTTTTCACCAGCTGTTCGGATGATTAATTGGTCATGGTTATTAATGTTTTCATGACAATGTCTTAAGTTACTCTCAGTTGCATTTTAGTAAAATTAAGTTAAGTGCTCAATTTTGGGTCAGTCTAGTCGCTTTCCATTGCTAAGTTTATTCCAAGCCAGATTAATGCATATCATGAAATTTATGGCGACTCCAATAACACAGGTTACGGTTGACGTTGCATGGTCACCAGCTTGTATTGACCAACGTTGCTATGACTACAAGACTCTAGCCACAGTGACAGACTTTTTGTTTGTCATGTCCTACGATGAGCAGAGTCAGATCAAGGGTCCATGTATAGCTTTGGCAAACTCTGGATTCTACAAAACACAATCAGGTGAGAGTTGTTCTGTAGAACTTCCCACGATTATTCTATTGCGCTTTTTAACTCCATACCCAACGTATTGATCCACTCTATTTGCAATGATTTCTTACGACATAAGTCATCCATGTTCAATTGACAAATGTTTATTGTAGGCTTACAGAAATACTTTGCAGCAGGAATATCATCTGACAAAATGGTGCTAGGAGTTCCCTGGTACGGATACTACTACCCATGTGTGGATGTAACAGAGGTAAATTTTATGCATGATGTCATTGTGTTGACACAGAAAAAGATGGAAATTTTTCTTGGTGACTCAAAACATGTTGCTTAGAGAGTTCAGAGGACTACGAAATGTTCCGAATAAGCCGAAAGATCGGGTCGTTTGAAACAGGTTTTAATAGTATAAACCAAATTCTGGCTGTGACCAATTTTATGGCAGGGAAAATTCATTATCTACAAGAATTATTCAAACCATATATTTATCAATGAATTGATCAGCTGGTAGTTGAAAGGTGCTGTGTCCATGACTGCCTGTAGAATATTTATAAAGTTACTTCAAGGTGATTACATATCATTCGCTTGGGTTTGTAGTATTATTCCAGTGCTGTTAAATCTTTCATAACTGTGCATTATGATATGCAGTTATAATCAATTTTTCTATTTTTTTTTTTTTTTATATACAAAATGCTGCAATCTGATTGGTCTAAAAATTTTTCATACCTCTATGAAAAAAATAAGAAGCCACACCCCCTCTTCGCCGGAACTATTTTTCCACGGTAACATCAAAGGCTCACAGAAACCTTTGATCTTCACCTTCAACTTCCGGTTTGTGTCAAACAAACTGTACTTAAAATTATTTTAAAAGGAACCAAAATATAAAAATATACACTGTGCTAATGAAAAAAACAAATAAAAACATTAAAGGAAATAATAATAAACAAAAAGTTTATTCTAGCGTCGTCTGCTAGGCCTAACTACCTGAGCTTTTAATGATGGCCGACGTCTTCCCGCTGATCCGATCAGCTGACACGCGCGCGCTCATTTGCATATCGTTCAGTTCATGGTTATTGCGCATATAGAAAGTGCCACTATTAAATTCGTTTAAAATCACTTCCTTTTATGTTTTATTTTAAACTCGGTGGATTTAAAACTAATTATAAGCGTTGATTTAATTTTTTTAGTTTCACAGGGGCATGAAAAAAATTTGTTTGCAAACTCTTGAATGAATCCGTCGGATTCATACATTTTGCAAATTTTTTTTTCATACGCCTATGAAACTAAAAAAAAATACATCAATGCTTAAATAGAATTGGTTGGTTGAGTTGCTAGTTTGGAGAAGAGGAAAGATGTCGCAAAGAGGTGTTGAATTAATGTGTATTGCCTGACTGACTGAAATGCTGAACTTTGTTGAAATTGCTACAGGAAGAGGTTGTCTTTTATTCTGCTAAACTCAATCAACCAAGAGTGAAGCCATCCTCGATCACTCACGATCACTCTCTGCAGAGATTATAAACCCTGCAGTTACCGAAGATGAGGGAGAAGTATACAGTAATTTTGGTTTGGTTCATAGTATATCGGACCCGAATTAATGGACCACAATATCTTAACACCATATACATATACAACACCTGTAATACACGTAAAATACCTCACAAACCTGCAAACTTTATCGCAATCATTTCCGGTTGTATTGTTAAGTTCTGATCGTGTGTCGATATTCTACGAAATACTAGTACTTTGTACTAGCGTGTAGAATCTTTTATATATATTGTTTATGTTTGTGAACATTTCGGCTTGCTAACACTATGGTATATTTTTTACTGACACCAGGACAATACATGTGCCATCAAACATGTACCGTTCCGTGGGGTGAACTGCAGCGACGCCGCAGGAAGAGAGATTAACTACGACTTCATAATGCACATCCTCAAAAATTCAACGACTGGTCGACTTTGGGAAACATCTACTCTCACACCCTACTTTAACTACAAGGAAAATGTATGTAATCAAGATATAAATGGGGATGCTCATGTATATAATATTATGTTGATAAGGAAATCAAATCAAAGTCTAGTATAATGTTTTTTATGTTAATATAATATTTTAAAAATATCAGATTATTGTTTTTAATATAACGCATTTGGTATTTCAAAAACATTTTTAATGAAATAAAGAAATGTTTCCCTGCCTCCGGAACAAACGGTTGTGTAAAGGGTCTTTTTTAGATTGTATAATATATTTATATATCAATTGTCATTTAGAATTTCCCTAAACGGATCTTTCTCGTGCTACTGGTGGTGTATCATGATATAGAATAGGAAATGGCGTAATAGAGAGCAAAGCTTAACTGGCCAGGGGATATTTCTCTACAACCAACCAGCATACTGAAAAATTTCTTTACCTCAAATTCTCTAAACAGTCTGAACTGGGTAGAAAATATCAAAAGCTCTAAATAGGAAATGGATAAGTATCTAAACGAATATTTCTTATTTCAACAGGGAACGACTTATCAGATTCGATATGATGACCCTGTGAGTTTAAAGTTCAAGTTTGACATGGCACTCAGATACAACCTTCGTGGAGTAGGAATCTGGAACGCTGATGCTTTAGACTACTCTCACGACACACCGGAAGTTGTTCATCAACGAGCTCAGATGTGGCAAGCATTTCCTGATTACAAGAAATCTGAACCCACCATAAACAGTGATTTTATATAATTTATTATTTTTTTTTTCAAAGAAAAACAGATTATGGTTCCCTATTACAATGAAAATAAACAGTAAAACATTTCTTATCTTTTGTGCAATATGGATGATCTTACCTTGTCATCGATTCACACATTAGTGTCGTCAAAGAGCACTGATGTTTCTTATTACTGTTATTGATAGTTGAAAACTGATGTTTATTAAAATGATTGGAAGACATTTCAATAAATTGCTTTATTGAGAAATAAGACCATTTCCCATACCTCGACTAGATGAAAAGATATCATGTTATCTTTATCTTTATAGAATTTTGAAGAAAAAAAATCAGTATAAGTCTTTTAAGTCCTATAGTGTCAGTCAGTACCACTACATAATGTAAATCAACTTCGTTAAATTGTTTGTAATATGACAGAGTGATGGATCTCTTAACCTCTATGATATTTTTTTTAACTTTTATAGTGTTTTGAAATTTGTTACTTATATTTGATAGACTTTTGATAGAAATATTAATAACAGCTGATAATAAGATCATAACCAGATCATTTGAATAACTTTGTATTTGTTATATGTTCTGTGTATGTGATGTCATTTATGCTATATGTCTTGATAAAGGGACAGATTGCCTCAAAACGAAACAAAAATTGACTATACACTAGTCTGTACTGTTATTATTACTTCATTGATCATACATATATTGTCAAACATGTATATGATATACACAGATCAACTACACATTCCTTGATATTTGCTTTACTCATATTTATTTTTTATTAAAAATGTGTTTTTCTGTCAGAACAAATTTTTGCTTTTTTGTTTGCAAGAGAAAGAATATAGAAGGAAACAAAAGGCCCAAAGGGTCTGTATTACTCACCTGGTTATTTTACAATTGCTTCATCCTTTACTCCAGTTTTTCCCTAATTCCATCCAACCTTTCTTTTCCTCTCCCCATCCCTTCATTTCTTGTCAAAATACCTTTTCTCAATAGGATTTCCCTTATTAGACCCTGCCCCTCTGTTGCAATGGAGTTCAATTTCTTGTATAAGGGCCACCCCTTTCTCTCCTGCAGGGGATGGGGGTCAGATTGGTATTAGACCCATCCTTTATACAAAATTATGGAGTCAATTCAAACAAGGAAGCTTAAAACTGCATTTAAACAAAATGCAATCATTCTTACAGGGGAAGGATTTTGAAGAATTTCCTGAATTTCCAAACTCTGGGCCCTGGCCTTCACCCCACAAGGGACTGATGCACAACATTATATATATATATTTGAATATGGTAACACAGCTGACAAAGGAAGACAATATTTGACTCGTGCCCTATCCATGCCTCAAAATTGCAATATTAAAATTTGAGCACTGAAGTCCATCCCACATTGTTGAATAAGTGTGGTTCCAAAGCATATCTTATGTTGTTACATCAATTGCCTCATAAGACATTCTAGTCACCTATGATAAAAACCTTATGTCCTACAAGTCCCAGCCTCTGTAAGTTTATGGCTGCTGATGATAAAGCAAACGTTTATTAATGTACAGAACTGCAAAGCTGAAAGTATTCTGCTTCAACCATATTCAGTTCCCAGAATGCTCTTACCTCAGTAAAGTTTAAAAATGTTTGCATGCAGACTCCACACTCATTTTGAATACTGCTCCTACCTTCTCAATCAATTTTTAGCATACATGTCTGTTCTAGCTGGTTACTAGGTCCCTACTCAGTGAATGGATAAAAAAAGATCTAGATCTCCCCCTTGACAAATACAGCAAAGAAAATACTGACATGTCAAAGAATCTGAACTCAAATTTGATGAACAAAATAAAAAGAGAAGACAGATTTACAGGAGACTCTTGAAAATTATGAAGGGAATAAGACCTGGCCCCACTTGTATAAAACATCTCAACTTGAGATTTCCTCAAGTCAAGATTTTCCTCAGCTAATATCTCCTTGAAAATATCTTGTATGAAAATTCCTCAAGGAATTTCAGGACATCCTAGCCGATGACTTCCTCCTGTTCCTTGAGAAAATTTTATACAAGCTGTTTTTGAGGAGATATCAGCTGAGGAAAATCTCGAGTTGAGATGTTTTATACAAGTGGGGCCAGGTATTCTGGAAGGGAAAACATCTTCTGTTTCATAGACAACACCAGCCATGTAAATCTTTGTCAATCAAAGCATGTTAGGTTACTAAATGAGACCTTTCCTCAACAAAATCTGAACAATCAAGCATATTAAGGAGCATCACACACGTTTAACTTCATATCATACAAGGAAATAAAATATCAAGTTGACAATAATATCTCCCCATAATCTTCATTAATCTGTGGGTCTTGAAGCTCTTTGAGAGTTTATCTGTCAGTTGTCAACATCTCACATGAAAATCATGACATTGGAACCAAGCTCTTGAATATCAAATCAAAAACAACATGTAACTACTTTATGTTGGAGGTGTGGGATGTTGCTATCCAAAAATGAAAAGTTCCTAATAGGGTAATAGAAATTGTCATGCTTATAATGCAGGTTGGTTGAAAACTCACTGTTTGCTTTATTGAAGAAAAAGGTTGAAGTGGTTGATGTATATTGTTGCAAAATAATTGAAAAAAAAACTTCATGATGAACTTTTGTTTCATATTTTTTTATTGAAAATATTTTTTCACCTTTAAAATAGACAATTCACATCTACATCTCCGTATGACCAGCATACACCTTTCAACAGTATCATAACATTGCAAGTCAGATTCTCAACACACAATCATTCTTAAAAAGTATGTTTATCAGTCATACTAGAGAGAAATCACTTACCTATGTATTGTTTTCAATAAAATCCACACTCCTTTCTACAGTCATGAAAACATGCCAAAACTCAAACATCAGGTTCACTTGTACTTTAAATCCTAATCAAATGTGAATCTGTGCTAGTTAAATTTAATTATTTCCAAGTATTCTATATCAATATTGTAACCGGTCAATATACAAATCCTGCATTGTTAAACCAAGTATTTCAGAGTCTGTACCATACCTAATTCTGGTTCATAATCTTAACATCATACATGTATCTTTATGCAAATCAGCTTAAGTAAGTGATTAAATTTGTCTTCCTTTTTCAAAAAATAAAAGCACTTCCATAATAACAGTATTAAGCAAATTAATACTTGTAAACTGATAAAACAAAAGTATTCAAGCTTTGTCTTAGAAATTGTTTATGTACTGAGCATTCTCCCATTATCATTACTCCTCAGTCATTACAATTAGCTCACTTTGGTTTGGTTTACATAACATGTGTACATGTTTAAAATGTGTAAATGGCATGTATAAGGCAAAGAAATCGCCTAATATGGTTCAACAAATATATCACTTCGTACATTAATATTGTCTTACAACATCTTCCCGAGCTTTCCCAGTATTCTTTGGCATTTTCCGTTTGGATGTGTCCTCCAGTTCTTTGGACTTGTAGTAGTGTGGTGCTACCTCTAGAAGCCAGGAGTTCTCTATCTCTATCACCTTTAACAAACAATGGTGCATAAACAAAGCCATCACATACTGCCTTATGGGAAAGGAACGCATCAAATATCTCTGTTAAGTTCTTTGCTTAGAAATAGGTAGGAAATATTTATCTCTTCTGAAACAAGGCAAACAGAAATCAATTGATAAAAGGTTAGAGTAAGGAAAGAAAACTTTAAAAAGTTAAAACTTAAACATATTATTAATGTTATAATAAAACAGAATATTCAGTAATACATAATAAATATTTCTTTAACAACTAGTGAAATTACTTTAAATCTAAATTATATTAAAACCTTAAATCTTTAACTGGGGTACCTGTCTCATGAACTCCTTGGTAGTAAATACGAGCTCATGGTAGATAAGCCAACGGGGTCGATCCTCAAAAAGGCTACTATTGGGGTGAACCATGACTGTTTGCTGATGCTTCACAGTTCTGTAGTTACCTCCCTTGCCAAGCCGTGCCGTGTGGTAGAAAAATCCAGCAGTAATGGCCTGACAGAATTATATAGAACACATATATTAACATAGGATTGTATGTATCACCAACATCTAACAAAAATTCCTTTGAGAATGAAATTTTATTCCGGATTGCGAATTTGATTTCTTATAGATAAGTATTCATTTCCGTTTTTTCAAAGTTGTTTTTTAATTTAGCATGATTTCTCAGAGTTTTGTTTCATTTCTAAATATGGAAAGAAAAAATCAGCTGCCATCTAAAGATTTATTACCACACTACAGCATAGTAGATGACTGACCTTGCGGACGGCGATAGTGTCACCAGGGTTGGTGGTCATTTCAATCTCAACTCTTTCCATTAACCCTTCGAGCTGGTCCCGGACGTCACGAGCTCGCTTCATTGACCTGTGCTGGATGAAGTTTTCATAGCACCACTGTGTGGAGTGAGAGGTTTCCTCCCATTGATTGTACACATTCAATAGTGTCATGTGGTCTCCACCTGGACGGAAAAAGTTCTGCCGAGCTGTATCAGCATGGACAACCTTGTCTTTGGGGCGGTAGAATATGGCATTATTGACGGATAACATAGCACAAATTGTCAGGATCTCCTTTGAGCACTTATATCTGAAACAAGGTGTATGCTTGAGGTATCACATCAGCATGGTCACATGGAATAAACAGCCTCATAAATATAAAAAGTTTGATTTAATTACCAACAAATGATGACAGTTGCAAACACAGACATTGTATTATAATTGAAATAGAGAGCATTTGTTTTGAAAATGTTAAAACTGCAAAAGCCATTATTTTAAAATTTCTACCACTAAGCACACATTGCATAACCAATAGTTAAAAAGAATTAAGAGTTTTTGTTTGACATTTATGTTTAAAAGAACATCATATATGCTGTGAAAACAGTCACAGACCATAAAAACACAATAACTAAGGAAAGGTTTTTACAAAACTCACTGTTCTGAAGCCAGTATAGCTTTAGACATCATTGGGTCTACAGGAAACTCTGCCATGCGACGCCCCAGTTTTGTGAGCTCCCCACGATGGTTTAGAGCTCCAAGGGCATACAACTGTTCCAGGGCAAGGACCAAGGTCTCGTGAGGAGGTGGGTCCATGAAATCAAAGTGGATGAGGTCATTGATTCCCAGAGACTTGAGCATGAGAACTACATTACCAAGATTAGTCCTTTGGATCTCGGGTATTGTATTATCCTCAAGCTCATTCTTGTAGGCCCAGGCTGTGTACAGACGGAAACATTTTCCTGCTGAGACTCTTCCTGCACGCCCTGCACGCTGGTTGGAAGATGCCTGGTTTGTACAACATTAATGGCTATTTCAGAAAATATTAATTCAATAACAGTAACTGGATAAGATTTTCCTGGTATTCATCAGAAATGCCATTTTTGTAGTCCAGTCATCGGACATGCCAAGTCTTATATATTGTGTATTAGTTTACATAAAGTTGTTGATACTTTTTTCAACTCAAATATGAATAGAAAAGTAGAGATGTTTTAAGTCCCAATTCACTGCCTTTATGATATAACAAATGGGGCAAAGCCAAAATTGGCCGGGTTGCGGGATGAGTGCAATGTTATATGGTATTTATAAGACAGTTAAGGGTATTTTATTTGTTGAGTATGTAGAATATTTGTTATAAGAGAGAAAGTTTGGTTGTATTTTATGAATTGGTGCAGTTTGTAGTAGTTTCTGAGAAACTGTGATAACAAGAAAAGTTTCAGAAAATGATAAGTTCCAAAGCCCAGTAACTACAGAAAAATGTCTGGAATGAATCCATAATAGGAGGTGCACATCTTCAACATATCTAAAAACATCCTACAAAGTTTCAAGATTCTACGTCAACAACTCTAGGAGGAGTTGATTCTACAAAACTGGAACCCCTTTTCCCAACCCACCCAGCCGCCCACCTGACATTCACCATACTATAACTAGGATTTGCACTATGTGCAACCTGGCCAAACATCCTTGCTCACATAAAGGCAACTCTTGAATGCTTTAAGTGAAAATTCTGGATTTATTCCAATCCAGGTTTTTCAAGTTCAGGTAAGTTAAGGTTTCTATTGCAACATTTTCTAATGCTAATTGCCTGAACTGCATTAAATATTGTTGGTATGAGGTAAGTGACTTATACTTTATCTGTGATATCAGTGACATACCTGTAATGTAAACTTACCTTCGATATAGGTGTGACAATGAGTGACTCCATGCCTGTTCGTGCATTGTAGCTATTCTGTTTACAGAAACCGGGATCAATGACATATTTTATGCCGTCTATCGTCAGAGATGTCTCTGCTATGTTGGTAGCTATGACAACCTGTTGTAGGAAGCAAACGTCAAGTAAAACTTACAGAATATAAATAATAAAGATACCATTTTTGTTTGTCATGATTCAAATATACTTTGCATTTAAAATAAGTTCTTGTTTTTATTCATTGGACCAGTTTGAGAAAATATCTTTTCTTCTCCTTCCAATATATACTACGTGATTAAAAGCCAATTTACAGTATGGTCACAATGATGCTGTTAAAAACACTGATCAATTGACTTGACTCACCTTCCTGGCACCTGGAGGTGTGGGCTCAAATATCTTGGCCTGCATGTCAGAAGGCAGGTTGGCATAGATTGGCAAGATGATGAGTTCCTTTATCTTACTACCAAGTTTCTTTGTTCTCTCCTGTAAGAAATATAACATATTTAGTTTAACACTGTTCTCTCCTGTAAGAAACATAACATATTTAGTTTAACTTTATCTTTTTGAGACAAAAAAGTCTGTTTAACTCATTGTACATTATCAGACTATTATTTCCAATAAAATGAACTTACAGATACTGACTGTCCTGACATCTGCAAGATTCAATTGTTAAACATATATGTAACATCTTGCTACATGACTATATACTCCTGCATGTAATCATAACAAACCTGTAACATCTCGTTGCATGATTCAATCTCCTCCTGCCCAGTGAGGAATACCAGGATGTCACCAAATGGTTGTGTAACATGGATCTGAAGCACAGACACAACAGCAGCATCAAGGTAGTCAGCCTCCGGCGCCTTGGTGTAATAGATATCCACAGGGAAACGTCGACCAGGGATCCGAAAGATCGGGGCATCGTCAAAAAACTGAAACAAATCCACAATAACTATCACACTGTGATATTCTTTTTTTTCAGAGTCAATATGGTAGTTTCTTAGAGGAACCAATGAAAACACAAATCTTCTTGAATGATATGTTAAAAAAAAGGAGTCTGTACTGTTTACAGAAGTAAGTATACTCTTACCTCAGAGAACTTCTCTGCATCAAGTGTAGCACTAGATATAAGGAGCTTGAGATCTGGTCTGAAGCGGGAAATGTCTTTGACCAGTCCAAACAAGACATCTGTGTGGAGGGTGCGCTCGTGAGCTTCATCAATTATCATCACACTAAAATGTCACACAGTATTTTATCATTAACAAGACAAAGAGCTTTGAACTATTTCATTTAGTTCAGAGACGGCCCCCTTAAACATATGTTGAATAAATTTGAAAACAGATATTGGTTGGTTTGGTACAGGTTTTTGTCTAAGTGACTCCCCCTATCACTAGATGTTGTATCACCAATGAATGTCAGTGTGCTGGTGACATGCAACAGATATACTGACCAAAGCATATGTATGAGCTAAGATGATATTGAAAGATATCTTATATAATATGGCAAATGTATAGCTAAGACTGGAAATTTTGTTTGAGTCCTTAAGGAACTTGTTTATACCAAAAACTTTTCTTGTTGTCTTCTGGTCCTATTGACAATACAATTCATATTAACTGAACCTCTGTATTAAGAACACTTCCTACAAATCCTCTTAAGTGACCTTTACAGACAGGTTTGACTCAAACTGACAAGCAGCTAACTAATCAAAATGTAACCTTGACCTATACACTTTCAATAGAGATATAGTATTTCCTACAGCTATTGTGTAGTCTTGTTTATACATACCTATAACTAGCCAGGTCTGGTTCTCCTAAGAACTCTCTCAGTAACATGCCATCAGTCATGTATTTAATGATGGTCCTGTCTGAAGTACAGTCCTCAAATCGGATACTGTACCCAACCTTCAAGTAAAACAGATATTAACATCAAATCAATACTAATTTTAAAGGTTATCATAATTTGCTAATACAATAAACCATAGCTTAATAAGACTCAGCAAGGTCTTGTTATATACATGTAATATTAAGTCTTGTTATTAACTACTGGAACAAGTTCACATGAGAGCAACAATAACCTATTATCTAATTGTGAAACTAGCCCTATGCAAAAGGGTAATATACAGAGTAATGTCAGAGTTTTCTTTCCGAATTTAAAATTGGAATTTCTTAAACCTGAATCCTGAAGTAGTGTGAATAAACACAACATGAATTTTATTTATTTATGGGTATGTTATCTAGCACTGCAACTCTACAGAACTCTTGTATTTTCGTACCTCATTTCCCAGTTTCTTCCCCATTTCCTCAGCCACACGTGCTGCCACTGACATGGCTGCCACTCGACGGGGTTGTGTACAGCCAATCTTCATGCCATTTCTCGTGAACCCCTGTGTAAAATAAATGTGAAATCAGATATCGCTACCATTTATAACTCAGTAAGAATTAATATGGGTCATATTTTCGCTGTGACAAGGAAATGATGTTCATGTTACAATGTCAGTGAAATGGAATTATTTTACACTAAAAACATTAAAACTTAAACATTTTTTTTTTTATTTGTCATCCTTATATCACATGTGTAAGCACTGAAGTGGTAATCTATCCATTATTGAAGGATAAAGATGTAGAATTTGTGATGTCTGTCATCCATTAAATAGCTCACCCCCTCATGTAGGTATTGTGGGATCTGTGTTGTTTTCCCTGATCCTGTCTCTCCTTCAATGATGAGGACCTGGTGTTCCTCTATGGCATCCAATAAATCCTGCTTAAAGGGAAAAACTGGCAGACTTCTTTTGCACTCATCTATCGTCATTTTTTTCCTCTCTGCCTCGGACATCTCTGGCTCCTTGTCCTAAATACAAGATCATCAATGTAAATGAAAAGTGACACATACAATATATATGACACATTAAACATTAAAGTCTGTTAGATCCTCCTTTTTCTATTCTTTTTCCAATATTTCAATAATTATATTCTGACAATTAAAACAGAAGAGATCTCATACATATATATAAAATATCTAAACACCTGCACATCATTCCAAATCGATCTTATATAAATGAAGGATTATATCATAAACTGCCAACTTCATTTTTTACTACACTGAACACTTATCCAAATTAAGATGAAACTATCAAATATAAGTCATTATGCAATCATTTTAACTTGCAATAAAACCCGAGACCAATTTAAGACAAGTTTTGTTGCTGGAAACTGCATATTTATGACTGAAATCTTAATTGCTTCAAATCTATTGTGCCAGCATACACCTGAAGTTACCTTGCTTTTCTTTGATCCAGGCATCTGTAATGCCTGCACAAATTCTATCTCCTCATCCATGATGAAGTCATAATCCTTGGTTTTGTGTTTCTCTTTTGCTCTTTGTTTAGCATCACGTGCTCCAAATTTCATAATTGCAGCCCCAAGATGATCCTCCTCCCAGCGTTGTTGTTCAGAGTTAATTCCCTTCTCATGGATCTCTTCTTCATAATGTTCAGATGGTTTGTCATCTTCCTTTGGCATATGGTACCGACTCACTTTCTCTATGTCCCCTGCCTTTCGATGGTCTTTAGCTATCTCCAGTACTTTTTTTTTATATTTCAGGTCTCGTTTTTCCCTCTCTGTTAGTCTGAAAAGTAAAATTGTTGGAATATTAACAAGGTCCTGATGTACATGAATGAAAGTATTTTGCTAAAAGAAACAAATAGTAAGGAAATAGAGAGTACATCAATGTTTTTTCCTCCAAAAATCCTGAATAGGTGTTAATTAAAAGTAGCAATATAAAAACTCAAATTTGCCATTAATTCTGTTGCTACTTATTTTCAGAGACTCTCCTCATCTTATTAACTCAATATAGTACATAACATGTCTAGATTTTTAATAGCTTGATGACCTTTGAAGAAAACAAATCACTGAATTACCCAGCATTATTTCACTCTGCACAGCTGTTCAATCTCATTTTTCAAATGTCATTTAAGAGGTGGCAAGAGATCAGTGTTATATTTAAATAACTTTAAACATCAAGGTTGAATGGATTTAATTAAGTTTATCATTTCAGAAGAATATTTACAGTGGAAATTCCTGATCACTGAAAAATACTTAAGGTAATAAATGCAAAATTAATCTTAACAAGGCATTGCACACGACACAAATACCAATTGTGCCTCAAACTTGAATGAGATGGTAAGAGTAAATGGAAACCAACATGTGTTCATAAACATCACCCCTTGTAAGATTTCACATTTGTACCTTCTTCAGTGCAAATGTAGGTTAGGATTACTTTACATAAGTAAAATCATTACCTTTTATCTAAATGCTGCATAAATAAATAAGTGTAATACTGAATGATGGTGCCCGATTTGATGATGTGAATGTCTCCAGTGCAAATATGGTCTCATGAACTACCAAAATGATAGGTGATTTGATATGCTTCTATTAGGAGTTTTTTGTGGATGACAATGCATTTGATGTTTTCTTAATGTCACAATTGAAGTCTGTAGAGTGATAACATCTAAATTTTAGCTAATTTCCATTTATAGTAAAGTTGACATAGTTTTTTTAACTACCACAGATCAAAACTTGAACTCACAAAAAAGGTGATTTTTGTGAACACATGTATGAAGTTTTTGTATGAATCAGTGAAACAAGGAAGCCTTTAAAACAATGTTAGTTTCCATTTATAGTGACAATGACCTAGTTTCTGACTGCACAAGGTTAGAAGTTAAACTTGTACAAGAAGTGATATTTGTGATCATGTGTGTGGAGTTTTGTACCCATCAGTTCAGAAACACAGCTTGTAGAGCAAGGACATAAATCGTTCTTGTTAATTTCCATTTATAGCATCATTGACCTAATCTTTGGCTGCACAAGGTTGGCATTTGTACAGCTGATGTTTGTAATCATGTGTGTGGAGGTTTGTGACATTAGGATGAGAAATGCAGCCTGTAGAGCCGTGACATTTCTTTATCATACAAAACAAACATAGGTACAGAGGGTATTCCTAGAATAGAAAAGGTCAAACAAAATCCTTTCTACCTTGTGTCAGAAAAGAGGTACTCCTCATCTAAGATGTCAGCCTCCAGGTCCTCCAGCTTCTGAGTCCCACGTTTCTTTAGGTACTCCTGACGTGACTTCTCTCTTATTTCAGGAATTAACTTTTTCTTATCTTCTGCCTCCATTTCCAGGCGTCGTTTTGCTTCTTCCATAGCCTATAAAACACAATGTCATTGATATGATAAAAATCTTTCATACAAACTTTGATGAGGAACTTTAAGGGTGAGTTTCGACATCGTTGTAAACTTTTATCTACACAGTTAAATCTTTATTACAGATGTTAAAGTTTAATTAATCAACTCTATTCTACATTTACTCAGCAAGAAAATGTTTGAAATGTGGATTACTTTGCACTTGAATCCTGCAAGCTTTACTTATTAGAGCACTTTATTTCAAAACTTTTAAGTCTGGTACCAAACAATATTAAAAATATCTCAGTTTGAAGTGTCTGAAGATTATTTTAAGCTACAAATGTGAACAAGATGTTGTGAATTAATAACAAGTCATTGCAGCTCTCCTGAGTTAATCCAGAATTATTTCTCTCTTATAGTCATGACAGCGATCAGTTACCTTTTAGCACAATACCTTTGTACTCTTCCACTACATTTATGACAATTTCATATTACCACCTGCTTAGTTTAAACACTCTAAACTAGATAATCTGAAATCTATATAAATGATCTTAATGTATATATATATATATCATGTACACAAAGCATTTGTTACCAACCTTTTTCTCTGATTTAGACATGACATTGCGTGTGTTGGCCTTGTCTTTGTCACGCAGACGTTTGGCAAATTTATCTCTCTCATCAATATCCTGTAATCTCTGTTGCTCCTGTTGGTCCAACTCGTCTGAATCCGAGTCCGATAGTGGGTCATCCTGGTCAAGATTCTCCCTGTTAAAAAGTTTTTCCATACTTAATTTTCACAATAATATAATTCAAATAACAATTACTATACCAAGAATTAAATTCTAGCAAGATATATCTAGCATCAAAGTTTAATGAAGTTATTTTTTTCTTATTTCAATGTAAATTTAGATTCAAATATGTGAAATTATGACCTAAATGTCCATTGAAATATAGCTATATGTGTACGTATTTACATACTTAGTATGCAGTAGTACCAGTACACATAAAGTACATAAGTAAACTTACTTATGACTTACACATCACAATAATTAACAAAACATTTCCAAGGAAGGCGCCTTGTCCAAAGTAAAAGAATCATAGAACAGTGTTGTGATGGATTCTGAAACAGCTATTTATGCTAACAAATTTCCTGTTGGCACCAATTATATATATTTTTATAGCAACCTCCCCCATTTCCTCTCAAAGAAAAGAGTAATGTGTGGCAGAGCAATATATGCCATCCCATGCCACAGAAAAACAAATACATTTTTGTATGACATATGGATATGAATACAAATATCCAAATGGAAATTTTGAGTCAAAAAGCTATGAGGGGGAAATATTAGTTTGCCTTTTGACGATAAAGTATGTGAAGCCTTAAAGATCGAAAAGTGAGAGGAGAAATGTTTAGATAATATCTAAATGCTGAAAATAAGGGAAAAAACTTTTCCAAATATCATAAAATCAAAATGCTATTAAGGAAAACCAGTCAATGTAATAATTATAATCCTACAAAGTTTAATAGAAATTAAGTAAAAACTGAGAGAGGGGATTCTCCAGGCCCAGTCAGAATTTAGATTATGAAACAAACATGGTACTGAAACTCCACCAAAAACAATCCAAATGCCATTCAGGAAAACACAACTTGTATTACAGTCATAAAAGCCTATGCTACAAAGTTTGAAAGACTGAGTGAAAACTGTGAGAAAAGATCATGAGACAAACAAAACTTTACAACACATGGATGGACATCATAGCATAATGCTTCCTGTCAAATTTTTTTTTGTGTGTACCAGGTATGTTAAAATCACAATCTGTTCAAAATGTAAACCAGCTTTTAGAGTGATGTTAGGAACCCTGCCATTTATCTAATTTTAACACATACTGAATATCATCTTCACTGCTTTCCTCTGAAGATTCTTGCTTTCTCCTGAAATGTTTCTGCTTTCTGTCTCTCTTTTCCCTCTGTAATAGAAAAAATATTAATGAAATCATATGCTATTGATTTATTCAAAAGTTCTATTGCATGAAATCTAAAAAGTAGTTCTGAAAACATTTTTTCACATCCTCTTTTCCCTCATTAAATCACAGCTGTAAACAGTACCATGCCCTTGCTATTTTACTAATTCAAAATTGGTGATTGGATCAAAGCCAATAGAGTTGTTTCCTCTATAGTTTTCTGTAATACCTTCACAGGCAAATAGGTTTCTTCTTCACTATCTTCATCAGAGAGAACTCTGTAGCTGTCGTTCTTCTTTTGTAACTCTAGTGCCTCTCGCTCTCGTTTTCTTCCAAGTTTCTCTGTCTGAGCTTGGTGTGGTACCTAGAATTTTGAAATTTTAAATGGATAAGGTAGAAGAATACAGTGTTCCATCTAGGACTTAGAAGTTGAAGGTTGCAGTGATGACCCAAAAAATTTTTTTTTTTTAAAATGGATATTCTAGGGCATGAGCCAACAAAGTTTCAGATAACTTTTGCATAAGCAGATGAAATGGTTAGACCAGCTGAACTTGCAAGAGAAGCTCCAGGTACAGATCAGGACCAAGGCTGGACTGTGAAATATTCTGTACATGTAGTTCGAGGGAGCAATACAATGTATATGCACCTTTCTAAAACTATAAATGGTTGAATATAGTAAGTTTTCAGAATTTCTGCATAAAGAATATATGCTTTTAAGTATAGGCTGAAATGAAGGATATTTTCTACCATCAAATAATTGTTTTTATGTGAGACAAGAAATTTCAAAACTGTTCAATTTGAGATTTTTTATATAATATTTCCAGGTGTGTTCTATCACCATGAAATAATTCTGGGCCACCCGAACAATTTCGACCGTTACTTGAAAGCAGCCCTACTCACCCGAAATAGACCCAAACTCATTACAGGTTATACATAAGAAGCTTTAGAACTTTTCAATACACTGTAAGTCAATAGGTTATAGCAGGAATATCACAAAAAATGATAACAGATCAACAAATTATGTTAACTATTTCCATTGCTAACTATAAGGTGTCCTTGCTCTATAAATCTGGAGCATTTCAGAGTTTGTTGGGAGTATCCCAGTTTTTTCTATTTTGATTTTTGATGTTGTTTGTGACTATAAGTATATAGGCCAAATGTAAACAAATGAACCATACCTGGTTGTGATCATCATATGCACATCGAAAAAATGAACAATGAATCATGTGAGTTAGTGTAACAAATGATTTTTGTTGCAAGACATCAATACAGTTTTTAGTACATGCATTTCTTTATACCCATGTTCTGATAATGAGACAGAGAATTTCCTTATTTTGTTCTAAAAAATCAGATTTATCACTTGCTTCTACCACATAAATCACATTCATGGCATGTTATAATTTCTTGGTATTGAAACATCATGCTGGATGCTCACCTGTGGCCATAATCTACATCAAAGAGATGTTCATCTGCACAACACAAGAGTGAATGACACTATAATGGACTGCCCTAATTGATATTTTGTTATTTTATTGGATGTGTACGTGGATACTTCAAAGTTGTTATATTCCAAATCATCAAATAAAAATCGTTTAATAAATAAAAAATATTCCTTTCACCTACCAAGCTGATTTGTCATTCAGTTTTTTAGATCTACATGAAAGAAATGTGACCGGACTTCACCTCTTTGTTTACATTCGCCCTGTATACGCATATTGTCATATTTGACTGTATCCGTATATACATTGCCAAAGGTTCCTACATGGCCAGATTTACAGATCCAGTACCCGTTTGATAGATCATGTTATCGGTTATTTTGTCTTGTTTTCATAGGCTTCCCTAATCGCAAACTGAAGAGGAAAAGTTTGAAAATTAACATCATAATATTATCTTATACGATACCTTTCCCCATAATTCCCGGGCAAAGCTCAGAACATTAGTGTCAATGTCTATTACTCCGGTGTCTTTGATCGATTCCACAAAATGTTCAGTAGTGGTGGCTTTCTTTGCCAATCCTATCATATACTGAGTTATGTGCTTGTCAGAAATACCGACAATGTCATGAAGTTTGTCATTCACCCAAGTTTCAAGCATCTCCATGGCTTCTAAACATAATAATCAGAATTTTCTACACAAATTCATGTTTTGATTTTCAGACGTTTTCCCACGTTTGACGCAGATTAAAATCCTCGTCGTTGATGCGTTTTGAATATATTGCTTTTTGAGACGACCAAAATAAGGGTGCATTCGTTCCAGAGGTTGATTGCTTTTCGATTTGTATAAACAAATTTAGAAACTGCATGAAAAAAATTCTTATGGTTTCATTCAAAGCTACTAGATGTTTTGCTTGCATAACACATGTTTAATAGCTTGTATGACTACTTGTCTTTGTTCCAAAATGTTTGCCGTGATTTTGAGATGACCCATATGTTGGAACCATTGCTTCCGGCTTGTCAAGCGTTAACTGTTGCTTCCGGCTCGTACAGCCGTCACCAGTGAGTCCACCAGTGAAGTAAGTTGCGCTTTTTTGTATTTATGTTATATGATAAAATTTGTCAAATATATTTCACGATTCAGAAAAAAAATTACAACATGTCATAAAAATGATCAACAAAACAATTCTAATGGGGCAACGATTTGTCCTCTCCAGCGGAGGGAATAATCCTTTAACGCCCAAAACCTTATTGTGATTATCACTTGCATTATATAGGTAAAACAACGAGCTCCATCATCACTACACTACGTTTATTTCTAATGGTCATATATGTATCTCTTGTGAGCTAGCTCATGGACTTCCTACACTGTTTAAAACAAAAACCAATTTGTATTGTTTTTAATAAACATCAAAGGAAATCCACCATAATGACATTAAAGTTTCCCTGAAGGACATGCTTGCCCGACAAACTTAGCTTTTATAAATATTATTGCTTGTTTGCTTTAGCTACAAAATTTCAATATATTACAGACGAGACCGCAAGGTTTAGACTACCTATTTTGCAATTTTATTTTTATTCTTGATCTTAGTGAAATAAAATTGCAGATAGAGATTGACATAGATACAGACATACAAGATTGTTCACCCACAAGTAATCACACTACCAAGAGTATCAAGTAAACATATGAGGCAGAATTCAGAAAAATGTGTAGCCATGCACACATCAGCTCGGGAAAGAATTTCAATAAGTAGTCTCAAAACCAACTCTATGCTTTCCATTCTTAAGCTGCACATTCCAACCAGTACTTAGACTCAAGTTTGGTTTCTCAAGCAATTTGCTTTATTTTCGTAACCATAATATTATCATGAACTACAGCATGTACATGGAAAATTAAAAGAGGTAAAGGTTGAGATCTTCAGAACCAACACGTCAGAAGAAAAAAAAACATACTTTATGCATCAGACTAAAGGCAGGTTGTATTATGTTGCAAAATGACTGGGCAGGTGGGCACAAGCAGTGTCAGCTCAATAACATTTGAGGCATTTTCAACAGACTAACTTCAACCTTCATTAGGAGGTTCATTACCATGACAGTTTGGGCTAGTTTGATCATCGTAATTTTTTATCCATAATATACAGAGTTATGGCCCCTTATTCAGTGTTCCCTTGATACTTCACACTTATTGAGTAATGGCCTTTGTAAGATTGACGGAACAACAGCTTGAATATATTTCGCAGTTCATCTTGGAATATTATTGCCATTATTGCTCACTGGTTTACTCTGGTTTCCTTTACCATTACACAACCCGCATTGTAACTGACATTAAGGTGTTGAGCTAACATTAAACAACACTATCCTTCCCTTTCCTGTTGCAAAATCCTCATTTGACCTTTGAACTATGACAGTTGTATTATGTACTGCCTCTAGGAATTCTTGTTTATGGTGGATTATTTTGTTCTTAATGTTTCTGTTTTATTTTGCAGACTAAGTCTTGTTTACTATTTGTGATAGCTGCAGTGTGTTATGTGCCAACACTGGTAAGGTGATTAGGATGATGGATGTCACATTCAGAGTTAAAGCTGTCACAGAACCTGGACAGATTGTTTGTGTTGTTGGAAACAACGGGACACTTGGCCAGTGGGATCCACGCCATGCCATTACTCTGAAACAGGAAGAAAAGTAAGTTATGCAATTGACCCCAGTAAATACCCTTTGTTTACTTTGAGTCAAGAAAAGAAAATAATGAAAATTGATAAATATGATGCAGGTTTCATTAATTAGTGCCTATAAGTTACATTGGTAATACACAAGTTATTGACAAATAAGAAATATTCTTGATATGTTTATATCATAATCATATGAAATCTGATAAACACAGTTGTTAGTGTATGATTCATATAGATAGATAGAAATAGCTTTGGCAGGTAAATGTTTTGATATATATACTGTAAGAAAGTGATAGGACACTTTTATCTGTCTACCTGATCATGAGTGAGCAACTTGTGTATATATATACCCTAAAGGGAAACCATGTTTTAACACACGAGGTAGATTTACATTTTGTATTTTAAGATGTCATGTTAATTTTTCTAAATTGTAGTGAATAAAGTGATTGATTAATTTTAAACCAGAATTGTATAAGTGGATCAATGTCAGGTACCAACAGTATATATGTATTATATATGTACCTACAAATGTATTAACCATACCTACACATTTGGCTAATAATTACTGTTATGTGGATTATTCAATAGTTAAATGCCCACTTTTAAAGCTTGATGGTGAACATGTTAATTTCCATGCCAGCTTTTATGTAAAAGTCAGGCAATTTTGTTTTAACACAATTTTAACAAGCAAATTTTACAAACGATCAATGGAGAGTTAAAAAAATAAATGTTCATACCCAATTGTTATCAGTTCTTTATTTATAAATGGCCTTAATTAAAGGTTTTCATAACCAAAATTTGACTTCTGACTCAGTAAGACGATGGGCTTTTTACAGTACAAAAAAAACTTTTGAACTGGACCACAGAATTCAGCACATGATATTGAGGTGTCCAGCTTTACCTATTCCAAACTAACTAGTTCAGTATCATTAGTTTACAGAATTTCAGGATAAAACATTGTCAGTAGACACAAATATTTCCTGAGGGATTATGTTAAAAGTATGAGTTGAATTGACATTTCTGAAACAATGTATTTTGAGTTTTATATATATCAGTTTGAACATCCAGTGCATGTACATTCATGTATCTTGGAATAATTGCAGACTACCTGAACGGTTTAAACAAGGTTACATGAAATCAGCCTGATTGTTAATGTTACAGAACATTATACATATTTATGACTATTTTTTCTTTCCAAACATGGGCTTATTAATGGATAACAACCGCCAGCTGATGTGTTAACATGATACATTGTACATGACCATTATAATTTGTCTGTTACAGGGACCTATGGAGTCGCTGTGTGGCCATGGATGTAAAAGAAGAAATATTGTATAGATACATGATATGTCATGATGGAGAATCACATCAAAATGGCCACACAATGCAAGTGGTCAAATGGGAGGCCAATATAAAACCAAGAGTTTTATGTCGAAAAGGTACAACTTGGATGATATTGTAATGACACTCTTGATTGTCATATGCAGCCTTTTTCTATTGATAATGCATCAACCGACTTGTCTTACATGATTCAAAACAACAGCTTTAGATCAATGTATTTATTATATATCATACATAATAGAACTATTCATGTTCCATAAAAGTAAAGTAATTAAAATATTGGTTTCATTTCTTTGATGCGTATTGTTAGTTTTCACATTGAAACTTATGCCATGCATAAATCTTGACCAGCCAAGTGTTAAATTGATATTGGTGTAAAGTAGTTCAACAAGTAAACAGCAGGGACTGAAAAATTTGTTCATAATAAAGGGTATCATAATAACCCAATCACCATAATCAAGAAATAAATACATAAATTTCACAGCAATTTAGAAGAGGGTTGTGTATGTTTTCAAAATTGGTTTCCATTATATCCAATTTCATTATATACAGGCAGGACTGTAATCAGATAAGTTTAATAATTCATAACATCTTAATTGACAAGAGTGAAAAAAAACATTTTCTGATACTTAAAGGGACATTGTGGTAAAAACCATTGATTTTGTTATGTATTGTGTAAGTTTTATACACATCCAGTAAGGTCTCTATACTATCCTGATATCTTCTGTCAATTTCTAATATCCAGCTTGATCAGTTCTTTTATTCTAGAAACTCCTTTTAAATTTAGGGCTGATAACGTCACACAATAGTTTTAAAAAAGAGTCAATTAATTTTGTAAACACTGACACGTGATGGTGGACAGAAGTGACAACGACAATAGTGAAACAGTCAGTAAAATCCGGTTTTCAGCACTGGATTTTGTAATAGGTGTGGCAGATTTTATTTGATAACTCTAAGTCAATTCAAAATTACAAATTAAGTAGCATCAATCACCAACCAATTCAGACAGGAAGCCATTTTTGTTTATGGGTGACTGTGTTTTGTGCACATGCATTTTCATAAATGACAAAAAAATAAACATATACAGACTGTTAACCGACAGATCAGGATTTTCTATGTATTAATTAGTAACCTCTTTATGTGAATATTTCAGTGAAACCAAATTGTCATTCCTCATAAGGTGACGAAAAAATCATTTAGATAAAAAAATGTTTTACCATGATGTTGCTTTAATTTGTTCATCTTTTCTCTACAGGTAGATTATTGTAAAAAAAATATAAGCACACCTGATTTTCAAGTTTAAAAATATCTAGATAATTTAGGTAGATTTTGTAATTCATTATCTAGATATCAGTTTCAAATGATGTCTTATTGACAAAAACATTCTGTAGAAGTATATATTGTTTTGTTTTGATTTTGTTTTAGATTTTGCTGCTGAGTCCAGAAAGATTGCTTCAGGTACTGCTGTGTTTGGGGAATATGGTAAGCAGGTGTTGTTTTCAAGTACATGGTACAAGGTTTAGTACTAATAACTGAAAATAAACTTATTATTGGCATTTCAGAAATCATCTTTTTGCCTTTATGATATTCTAGTCATGGATGATATCTTATTTTACAAATGGTTTGGAAATAGGAGTACCAAAAACTTTTGAATACTGCAATATTAAAGTCATGACATAATCAAAATTATTAAGAAATTTGAGATAATGATGTGTCTAGTAAGTTTTTAAACATGATATCAAGGCATAACTATCATTTCTGAATAAGTGTGTATAAAAGAATTCAAAATGTTTGCAGGATAATGACAGATCATTTCATATACATCACAAAATCTTTCCAGAACAATCAGTTTCGACTGAATATTTGATTTATAAAATAGATAACTATAACAGCAATTTTTAAACCTTTGTTTTAATGGAACATGTATTATGAAATAGTCCCTCTTTCTTTTTTCCTGGGACAAATAATTTCTTTAATATTTTCTTCATATGAAGAAGAGAACTATTTCTCTGATACTTTTCCTAGGTAAATCAGAAATGTTTTTCTATGATAGTTTCACAAGATGAATCAGAGGACCTATAATCTATTAAATTTTCTTCCCACGATTAAGAGATTTATTTCTTTAATATTTCCCCCAGAGGAACATGAGAATTATTTATGTTTAATATTTTTCTGCAGATGATATGGAGAATGTTGTGAATAATGGATGGTTAATGGACCAGACTGAGATCCACATAGAACTGAGAGACAACCCGATACAGATGCTGAGCTCAAGGCACCAACAGCAGACATACCGCGTCAAGTGTACACCTCTAGACTACACACACAGCAAGGATATAGAGGTCACTGCAGTTTGTATCAATTAGTTATAGACTAGAAAAGAATTTTCACGAATCTTTCACTTATACATTTGAAAAAAAAAAAAAAATCGGTACATTTCCAATGCTGACAATTTAATCTATACCTTTCAATCAGGATACCAGGTTTTCATACTGATGCTGAACAGTTCTTAGAACCTCATAGGTGAATTTCCATAGGCAGTCCTGCATATTACTTCATCTTGTCATGATTTGGTTATTTGTAATTATATTTTTTTCGTGAATGTTTATTATCATATTTGTAAACAGAATGGCCATGATGGGGATGATGAGGAGGCTTCATTTGCAACATCATCACAGTGCACAGTCTCTGTAGCAGTAAGTGTATTTCTCTCCCTTCTCCTCCCTCGCTTATTTACATCACCCTTTCTCCTTCATATCCTCACCATTTATAATTTGCATACCATACCACCTTGCCTTGTATCCTTGATATTTCAGCATCATCACCTTTCCACTTCTCATATCTCGCCCTTTATTCATCTCTCAACATTTTCACCTTGCCAAAATTTCACTGTTTTCTCTCAACATTCTCACCCCCATTATCCCTCTACCCCATCATTAGAAAACCTACATTATCATCGTCTCTTACTCTGGCAACTTCTCCATTGTCATATACATTCTCCCCACTAAAACTACCTCCTACAATTTACCCAAATTTTATTACCATAACAATACCACTCTTTATACTAAATCTCCAACAAGGTAGTTGGCTTTCAGAGCTACCTTTGCTAGTTTAGCGATCCATTGAAGTTAGAAATGCCATTTCTAAATACTGTAAAATCCTATGATTTTATGAGGCTGTTTTTTTTTTTTGTGATTGAAAATGAAATTTTTTTATGATCACTTGAATATTACTCAATAAATCTACTTACACTAATTTCAGTAACTTATGGAACTATAATTTGTGTATTAAGAGTGCCCATGAAATCTATCAAAATGTATTCCTGACAAATAAATAAATGATATTACAGTATTAGTAAGCTTTCATTGTTCTACTTTCTATACAGCAATGTGCAGGTATCCCACTTGAATAGTGTTGTTTTGGTATCTTGTATTAAAAAAAAGTTTTGAAGATTTTTATCAATAGCATACTATACTTATGAGGGAGCCAACATACTAATTTACTGCTGACTGAAAGTCATGAGATGGGCTTACTACAGGGCACTGGAATGGAATTTGTTGGTAATGCTAATGACCTGCAGTAGCTACTTATGGATATACCATACACAGGCTTCTTCTCAGATGAATTTAATATAGTATATTTGTACTGTATTTTTATAAAATATTACATTTATATTTTTTTTTCTGCAAAGGCATTGAAGGAGGGACAATGCCGGCGACATGCCCAGTCAGACTGTGGAGAAGTGTTTCTCAGGGATGATTTCCTTATATTTGCATGTCAGTCTACAGATCCAGAAAGCTTGGTAAGTCTCTCTGAGTTCAGAAAGCATGACAGAGATGTGCTATATAGTACCTGAAGTCTTCTTTTTAGTTCAACTGATTTTTTCATTCCACTGGCGTCTATATGTCAAGTGTGACTTGAGAACATGAAAGTGTAAAATGTTCAATACATATGTTTGGCCAAATGACAGACACAAATTTGCAAATACTTGGTTTATTATGTAAGAAGTACAATTTTACTGAGAAATGATGATTTTGGGTTTTGATTGCAGGGTTTCCAGCTTGATTTTTATGTACATTACGAAGACAAACCTGCTAAACATGTCGGCTATTCCTATATTCTACCTGTAGATACTAGTACGACAAAATCATCAAAAGTGATTCCTATCAGTGGCCTTAAACATAAACCTATTGGAAAACTTAATGGTAAGTAATCAACTCAAAACATAAACACACAGAAAACTTAATGGTGAGTAAGTATATCCGTTGATGTAGTATGTGGACATTATGGTTTGTAAAACTCCAATAGTTTGATAGCCCTAATCCATATTGATATATATACACAAGGATGACACAGAACATGTATAAAATATTTCTGTGATTTAATCTGACCGAGGAACATCATTCATAGAATCAGGAAAAGGTACAGGATTCATATAATCTATACACTTATACACCTGAAATTTAAGTTGTATTATATATTTAGGCACAGGTCAGGGTTACTTTAGACTACTTAACCTACACAAATATCATTTATTTGTCTTTTATTCAATTGAATAAAAAGCCAACATTTTATTAGTGATAAAGACATGGCATTCTGGCCATGAGTAGCTGTTGGTATTACTGCTGTTTTGCTGTCATAGTGTCCTACTTTGTGGCCAAGCCAGTGGCAGATCTGAAAATGTTGATGGATGTGTCATATCAGAGTTACTGGGGGAAAGACGCCAAGAGTGTGGACGTGGGACACCGTGGTCTGGGCAGCTCCTACAAACACAAGAAGTATGACTTGGCACACCATGCTGTCCTGCTGAATATATATCATTGTACTGGTCTAATATAATATCTGTATAATGTCAGTATATCTGTATAATGTCAGTATAATATTGGTATTGTATCTGATGTGGTTTTTTTTGTATCAGAGTGAATGACATCAAATAATACAAAATTTAACCAAAATAGGGGCTTATGAATCTGTAGAACCTACAGTTAGATGAGACTAAAAGGTTGTCCTTTCTATCCCTTTTTGTAACCATCTCTCTGTTTAACGTAGATTTCATTTCTCCAAATTTTCTAGCATATATTTTGACCACTTTGCATCAAACCAAGACAGCTCTAGACTTTTTGTCGGGGTTAAACAGAAACATTTTCAGATTAAATGTTATCTTGGAAAACTTTGTAACTAAATGCCTTCAGGACATGAAGCTGAATTTTAATTGACTAATGTTTAACTCTGACCTACAGGGATATATATATTTTTATTGCAGTACTAAAATATTACATATAAATCAAGTTTGGAGAAATACAGGCTGATATTGAGATACTTTTGTATATTTTACTGAAGAGAGCTTTTGATTTTCTTGCTCTCTGAGAATGAATACAAACAACATTATTTCTTAAATTCTATGTTGCCCACCATTGCCCAGAATAAGTATTACATTGTACTTTGTAGTATAGGTAGCAAATATCCTATTACTTACATTGTCCCAGGACTTGTAGATAAAAATTCATTTTCGTGAATTACTGTTAGTTTTTTTTGTTACCTTTATTTATTTTTCTTTCAGTCTGGCTGCCGTCCGAGAAAACACAATTGCCTCACTGATGTCTGCTGGGAGCCATGTAAGTAAAATACATGTAACAGGTTTTGCAGTAATAATACAGAAATTACTGAATACTATTACCATGATTATCTGGTAAATCTTGCAGTTAACCAATTCGTACTTAAAAGTTAAAGCTGAGAGCAAAGCCAAAGGATTTCATATTGTCGTTTTTGTGTGCTTTTTCCACCAAAAATTTTCTTTACACATATGACCCTTATATAACCAATCTGAGCTCACACATCAAATACACATGTACCAAAACTCAAATTCAATGCTAGAACAGGCGATCTCTATGACTATATTGAAGGAATTGACAGCGCTCAGTAAAAACAAACCATAGATTCTGATGCAAAAGTTTGCAAAGCAGCAGGTCTCAACAATATTCCCACAGAAGTGCCGAAGAATGACACGTGTGTGGATATAATGTTATGGTATAATTAGTCATTGTTTTAACTAGAGAGTTGTTCTGGATAAATGGAAACATGGTTTGATCAGCCTGATTAGGAAACCAAATAACACTGACCCTGTGGATCCTAGAAATTTAATCCTGTTGTCCCTGTAAGGTTTATTGTGTGACATCCCCAACCATTGTCTTAATGCTTAGTTGGAGAAACATGGTATTTTACATGATCTGCATATTCGTTTCCGTAGGGATAGAAGTTGTCACGACCATGTGTATTGGCTTTATAGTATCGTGAAACATTTAATCAATGCTATACATTTGGCATATTCTTGTTTTATAGACCTAAGTAAAGCTTTAGACAATGTTAATGGAGACTGTTTGTGGTATAAGCTGTTACAGTCTGGTATGAAAGGTGCAATTCATAATGCTGTGTTTTTCCAAACCAATGGTGTAACATGTTGTGTACGTGTCAGGAACTGGCATACTGATTGGCTGTCTGTGTCACATGGTGTAAAACAAGGATGTTTAGCTTCCCCGACACTCCTTGCAATCTACATTAATGATACAATTGAAAGGCTAAAATTCTTCAGAGTTAGGTTTTGACATTGATGGTGTCAGCATAAGTTGTCTCCTTAAGCTGACGACACCGTGCTGTTGACAGATCGATCAAAGTCAAGGGATAGACGTATTACAGAACAGCTAATTAGAATCTGATTTTACTGAACAGCACTATATATAGGTGGGCTTATTAGATACCGCACATGGGCATATTGCATGATAAATACAGTAATAAACGGCTCGTATCAAAAGGTCAGTTATGGTAACAAATTATGTAGCAGTGCATTATGTTTTACAATCTTGTATCAGTACGCAGGATTTGCTTTGTTATGGTGTCTAAATATAATTTATTTTTTATAATTAATGTATAAAAAACGCTATCAAGTCTTCCTGACAGTGTAAAGTTTCACAAAGTGTCCTATTTTTGATAAGCAATGATTCATTTGATAACAGGGTGCTGACTACGTTGAGTTTGATGTGATGCTCAGTAAAGATATGGTACCTGTGATATTCCATGACTTTCATGTCTGTATTACCTACCGAAAGGTAAGTGTCAGTATGTGCATCATCTTTGAAAAAGTACTGGTATGTGTTAGCATCATGTGTGAATCTCCTACCACAAGATATTAGTTGTTAAGTCCCTGTCACTACTGTGAAATCATTAACTTTCTAACGGGGTTTTATTTTCCTTGATTTTGTAGGTAACCTTAATCTATGAATTTGTATTATCACCAACTTAATGTTTGTATAAGTAGACTTATTGAGCTATATTTACTCACATAATCAGCTGTCCACAAAATATTGAAAAAATGCAAAAATTGAGCACCACAAAAATATATATGATTTCACAGTAGTTGATAAGTTTCTATGGTAACTATCAGACAATTTCAGAGTCTGTTAACATGGTTTTTTAATATCTATTTTGACCTGTGATACAAATAGATGATATTCAGCTAAATATAAAACAGGTCGTTTTGGGCTATAATTATAAAACCACTGTAGATATAACATCATGAAATATACTGACACTGTCATCAGATACTGATGTAAGTCATTGTGACCTTAACCATAAGGACAGTAATTAATAAAAGACAGTAATTCATGTTTATTTTTACCACATCTAAAAGTACAAAGTAATTTACCTTTATAGAGTAAAACAGTATACATATGATTTAATAAGTATTTCTTTGTTACATTTCAGTGGTTTTGTAAATTTTGAAGGCTGTGGAACCATTGTGTTTGTGTGGTGATGAATAAAATATGATGGCTTTGAATAATGTGGTACATATAAGCCTTGTTCAATGTACAATGATCATGAACGGATAATGGATTAATTTATAGACAAAATTAATGAAGAACAGTGTATGTGATAATAGTTTCAAATGTGCATTATGTGTGTTTGATTCTTTTGTTTCAGAAAAAGAAGGAACACCAGTTACTGAAAGTAGGAGTTAAGGATCTCAGTGTGTCAGAGCTACAATCAATGAAGGTAACCAAAAGATCTCCTAAGTAACAGTAACATTGGTATTTTACTTTAAGTAGTAGGTTCCCATTGGTCTCTAGTTGCGCCTTTTTTGTGCTCCCCTGAAAATATTTGTAGGTGCATAAAGTCACTGCTTTGTCAGTCTGTTGGTCTTTCTGTCCATCCTTTGTGTCTAGTGCATAACTTTGCATTCATTTTAGCAAGGATCACGCAAGTTGGTGTACACATTTGTCATACTAAGGGGATGTGCATTGTACTAAATTCAGGTCCTGTGACCCCCTGAATTACAGAGTTAATGCTCTTTGTTAAAATTTCTTTTCAGGAGCATAACTTTGCTTGCATATAAGGTAGGGTAATGAAACCAAATCCAGGGCCTGTAACCCATATTACAGCATTATTGCCATTTGTTGAAATATTATATTGTGTTTGATAAAGTCATATCAGGATGCATTCATCAGTTTCACTGATGTTCTTGTTTTATTTTTGGAATGATCAGAAAAACAAAACGGCTGACATGCTGTCGTCTTGGATTTTGACTGTGGAATTTTGTTATTTTCTTTCTTAGGAAATACTTGAATGATCATTCTCAAATTTGATATGCATTTTGCAATTGGTCCCTCCTTGTGCTGTTTCGATTTTGAGACTGATCAGGAACTGAATATGCAGACATCAACTATCTTGGATTTGGCAGTTTATGATTGTTATCTCTATGTTTTAAGAGGAATTCTCCAATTTCGTATGATATAGAACAAAAGCAGATAAAAGCATAACCAATTTTAACAAATAAATGGTAAGATCAAACAAAGATAGACACCAAATGTACAAGTGTATCTGTTGAAGTTCACATGTGACTACTGACACCTTGTGTGATTCTGTGTAAATTGAAGTGTTATGTATCTCCCTCTGTTACAGCTTGCTGATAAGACAGCGTTATGTGATGATAATCATGGTGAGTCTTTGTCATTCTAGCTGACAGTTTCCAGTATTTTCTCTATAATTTTGAGTATTTCTTATTTAATTAACGGAATCAATTAACAGGTAGTAATCGAGTGAGAATGGAAATGTAATGATAATCAAATTTAAAATGATCCTTATTTAATAATGGTAGTTCTTTGAATTGAAGAAATTAATTTCTAACTTCAAAATGATTATTTGTCAGCATTTTGTAGCCTTTACGTGTAATGTATATTAGTTTATATTTGTGTTTTGTGTGATAATTGAAGGCCTTGTGTCTGTTGTAGATATGGATGGAGAAGATCTGGATCATATCCATCACCAACCTTTCCCCACACTACAGGAATGTTACCAACTTGTAGATGAAAAACTGGGCTTCAATGTTGAAATAAAGTTTCCCCAGCAAATTATGGTATGTCACGAGACCAAGCACAGTTTGAACCTAAACCTCACAAATCTAGTGTGGTCTAGCTGTTTAATAGTCCCCTACTGGTGCAACTTGGATTAAGTTTCAGGGTTTTTTTTTTGTCACGGTCACTATTACTATTTTCAGAAAAGTAATAAAATATTACATTGTAATATCTTGTTGGGCCAGTAGGGGACATGTACTATGTCAGCAATACTCAGTATGAAACTAAAATCATACAGGAATATGAAAATTAGTTATTGAACAGATATCCATGAAATAATATATTTATTTGGAATTTTCTAATAAAATCATGATTTATTTCATCGGTAAAAGTATTTTTATGATTGAATAAGTTGAATTAGGTAGAATTTATGCTTATGATAGGAGGAGTTGAAAATGCTTCTGTCTTCAAGAAGATGTTTAAAATTTTAAAATGAATTTGATTAAAGGGAGGACAGTGGGAAGATGAAAACTTCTGGGATAGGAACCAATATGTTGACATTGTACTGAAAAATACCTTTGAGTACGCTCGTGGTCGTAAAATCATCTTCTCCAGCTTTGACCCTGAGACCTGCATTCTGTAAGTACCCAGCTGCAATTAGTTTGGTTCTTGCAAAATCACATCATATTTTATAGTAGATGTGTGGTAATGCTGAGATTAATGATAAGATATCTGTTAAGACTGTTATCACTGTTATATAACTACTAGACAAAGAGTTAGCATGAGTTTTGTGAGCCCTGCTGAGTTTCTCTATTGTATATATTTTTCCTTTTGCTACAACTGTTGTTAATCTATAAAAAATAATAAGCATCTTACCAAGAAAGTCTGTTCACATTATGAAAAAGAATGTTATTATTTGTTGATATTGTTACAGTCTGCGACTCAAACAGAACCGATATCCAGTACTGTTTCTGACAAATGGAGGTGCCCAGTGTTATACACCCTACAGCGACATTCGTGAACAGAGTATACCGATGGCTGTGTACTTTGCCCAGTTTGCTGATATTTTGGTAAGTTATGATTATTTACTGTAAAAATGCGAAAATAGTTCTCAATGCCTTTTCTTGTGGAAATCATTTCAATTGAAGTAACATGCAAAATTTAATGAAGTGAAATGAGGAGAAGCTAGTGTTTTAGATTTGATAAATAAAACAAAAAATATTCTATGAACCAGCATTCTTTTGCAGTTATAAAAATTCTTATATTTCTGCATTACAACAAGTTTGTGGTAATTCAACTTTTGTGAAACTCAACATATTATACTGCAAGTGTTGTTTAGGATTAATAGTTAATTCACAATAAAGAAATTTTGTAAATTTGGCTGGATCACAAAATTTAATGGCATGTAAAAACCCCTGTTTTACCCTGAAAGTCTTTCCATAGATGACTGGATATTGTGAGGATACACTTCTTTGTTACCAGGGTATTGATGTATGTACAGAGGTACTGCGTTCACGACCAGAAAACATCCAAGAAACCAAGGCAGCGGGACTTGTTCTGTTCTGTTGGGGTGAAGATACCAACAACACTGATACTATCCGTAGCTTACGTGAACAGGGAGTTGATGGCATCATATATGACAGGTTGGTTGTCACTTCTCTATAGGTTTTAGCGGAAGATATTTTACTGTTTAACTTCTTGCCTCACTGTGACATGAAAAATTAAATGTGTTCAGGGGTAAACAGTAGAACATACTATTATTCATGTACAAATGTGCAGGTTGGTATCAACTAGGCAGGGATTTTAGTTAGAATGTTTTACACACGTTCACAGCAGGGAAGAAGAAAACTGCATTTGTAAAACCACCCACCTTGGATTTTCACCCGAGGTTACCTAGGTCATTCTTTCTTACTGACTGAACAATTGTGGCTCCTGAAATTTAGGTGTATATCTAAGGCGAAACCTGAAATACAAATTGAAATGAGTGGCAAATAGTTTTAATTTACCTCATACATGAATCTAGTATAGCAGAGGTTAAAATAGCAACACAACTGTCAATTTAGTCACTGTCTTCTATGAATCATGACATTTTTAACACAAGCCTCCATCTGGTATATTTATGTACAGCAAATGCTTATTTTAACAGCCATGACTGACTAAGTATTAATTACATATTGTTCAATAGAAGATCTGGTTGGAATTCAGTGCTCTAGTTAAGAACCTTTTTCTGATCTGTTGATTTTTTCATGTATTCATTCTCATCGTACTGATATGTTAAATTGTTTGACTGTTTTTGACTAGGAGTACATTTTATGTATAATAAACAACAGTTTATGTGATATTCTTCTCATCTGTCAATCTGTAGTAAGAAAGATTCCATTTATGTCATGTCATGGAGACAATGAGGTGGATTTAAAGTACTACTTCTGTCTTGTTATGTATGTCATCTAGTTACCTTTATGTGAAGTGATAGTAGTTAGTAACCCTATGTAAAATAAGAGCACTGGGTGACCTCTGTTTAAAATGACAGTACTGAATGACCCTGATATTAAGTGAGAGTACTTGGTTACCTCTATTTTATGTGAGAGTACTGTATAACTATTGTGAGAAGTTACCTTTTTAATATGAGATATGTGAAGTGATAGACCTCTATGTGAGGTGAGAGTAACCCTATGACCCCTAAAATAAGAGCATTAGTGACCCCCGTGTGAAGTGAGAGTACTGGGTGGCCTCTGTGTAAAATGACAGTACTGGATGACCTCTAAGTAAAATAACAGTACTGGATGACTTCTGTGTTAAGTGAAACCTGGATGGTCCTTATGTAAAGTGAGAGTACTTGGTTACCTCTATTTGATGTCATAGTACTATATTACTATGTGAGAAATGAGTGTACTAAGTGACCTCTTTTTAATGTGAGAGTACTTTGTGACCCCTATATGAGGTGAGAATATTTGGTGAAGCTATGCGAGGTGAGAGTACTTGGTGACCTCTATGTGAGGTGAGAATATTTGGTGAAGCTATGCGAGGTGAGAGTACTTGGTGACCTCTATGTGAGGTGAGAGTACTTGGTGACCTCTATGTGAGGTGAGAGTACTTGGTGACCCTTATGTGAGGTGAGAGTACTTGGTGACCCTATGTGAGATGAGAGTACTTGGTGACCTCTATGTGAGGTGAGAGTACTTGGTGACCCCTATGTGAGGTGAGAGTGCTTTGTGACCCCTATGTGAGGTGAGAGTGCTTGGTGAACCTATGCGAGGTGAGAGTACTTGGTGACCCCTATGTGAGGTGAGAGTACTTGGTGACCTCTATGTGAGGTGAAAGTACTTGGTGACCCCTATGTGATGTGGGAGTACTTGGTGACCTCTATGTGAGGTGAGAGTACTTGGTGACCCCTATGTGAGGTGAGAGTACTTGGTGACCCCTATGTGAGGTGAGAGTTCTTGGTGACCTCTATGTGAGGTGAGAGTACTTGGTAACCCCAATGTGAGGTGAGAGTACTTGATGACCCCAATGTGAGGTGAGAGTACTTCGAAACATAAGAGGTTTAGTTATGGGTTGTTGATGACCACATCTATTTACAGGTGGATTGTACACAAGTTGACATCAGAACATGTGTATGAATTGTCCCAAGACAGTTCATCTATCCAGCAGTGCTGACCATGGTATAGATTTCTCACAAAGTGTGTCTGGTTAGCTTGATCTGCTTACAACGTAGTTATATATAGAATATATTTTATTGCAATTCAGACTTTGTTGTCAAATGTTTGCTTTTGTTTTGATTTAATTTTAAGCTTTTTTTCTTTTTTTATTTCAAATTTAATTTGAAAAAGCATGTATAGATAAGTGAAAGAGCTAATCAGATGATGATGTACCACTCTTGCATATTAAGTGTGATAGCCACTAACACAGGACCATTGTCATGCAATCATGAATTGCTGGGCAGTACAGTAACTGGCTATCAATGTTGTAGTTTATTTTACAAAATAAGTAATAATTACCTCTAACTGCTGAACCGGAAAGTTTTTGCCTTGTCAGATGTTCAGTACACATTCAATATTGGATAAAAAATGTAACAAAGTCAAACGTTAATATTGGTATGTTTTCATACGTGGTATACCTGTAGTCTCCCTTAATGCACAATTGCTTAACTCGAAACCATAGTCAACAATACTGATTGCCATTTATTTGTTTACTTATCCTTCTATTTTGTTGATAATAGACAAAACAAACTATAAGACTTAATGCAAATATGGAGATAATAAAATGTAAAATCCCCTGAGAAAGGTGATACATGTTCTTACAATGAAGTATTTTTTCTGGGTATACCTCAATAATTGATATTATCAGGCTGTCCACCGACTGCCTTTCAGATATCTCTGATCATAGCATTGCCCAGCTTTGCATGAATACATGACTAAGTCCAATTTCTGTCACTTCTTGTGTGATGTCTGTTGTATTTTGTTTACATTCGCTATGAATAACAATAACCTTTGGTAACATTGAAAGTTTTCATGCTGTGGAGTTGCTCATTTATAACTTTATATACTCTTCCATAGCAGAAATACAAGCATATGTAGCTTACTGGGAACAGTGACTGTATTAATATTAGATAGATACAAGGACAAGGAAGGAGTGATTGTTTATATTAACATATAACAGAATCTCAAATTTTGAGGGTACCAAGTATATGGTGTTACTTTGAAAAGAAGAGACTGAAAGGTGACTTGTCGTGTTGATATACATGTAGTGTTCAGTATCAGATTTTGTTTAAAAAGTGGCGTAAGTTTTAATGCAGTCTTAACTTATTAATGTTTAAGAAGTAGTGATAGTGTCAAGTGTTGATATTTGATGATTAGTGGAATGACATTGAGTTGGATAGCATAGAAAAGGGAGCTAACTTGCTTGAGTGTATTGACAGTTTTTACAAGTCTAAATGATACCAGTACTTGTAACCTTTATAGTAAGTAGACTAGATTCAGTATTAGCATGAGTTTTGCTGTTTAAATTCAAATGTGAATAGATTAATACTGTAGAGTGACTGTGATTTTAGTATAGCCTTAGACCAGGGGATACAAATATAATTGTTGTCGTTGAAGGATAGTTACTCCCACAATATGAAGTATTCTTGAGATGACAAGTAAAATTACATACTATCAGAAATTCTATGTTGTGGGTTACTGATAGGTATTAAACTGAAAGGATCAGAGTTGCCCATGGCTTGTTATGTTTAGTTGGGTCAAACTGTAAGTCCTTTAACAGTGGGGAGAAATATCTGATTATCACTGATACAGCTGCATGTCCTGTTATAATGTATGAGTGGTGAACAATTTTGGTTGTATTCTGTTGCATTGCTCTATCCTGTAATTACCATTGTATGTTTTCTGTTAGCTGTGCATGCTGAATTGTATGTACTACACTAGCCACACTACTGCAAACATAGCATTATTCTAACGATATAAAATTAACATAAAACACAAGTTTGTTGGCATATATTTATATTGTCAGTATTAGGGTGGAAAAGTCATGACAGAGTTGTGTGGTTCCTTGATGTTTTATTTACATACTGTCAACAAAGAAAATGAAACTGCAAAATACATCCTCACAATGTATTCCAAAATGAACCTCATTCATCCAACTTCGAATGTGAAAGATACACACCAACACTTATAGAACACTAATTGTTGGCTTGGATGAAACAATAACACTAGCTAGAACTGTCATTCTGAGTGTAACTAAGAACTAATACATCTTCTGCCTGCAGAGTGACCTCAACATTTTACATATGACCTTGAATTTCCCTAGACATGTACCATTCCCTTGTCAAACCATATATTAAAAAATCTTTGGCTGTAATATTACACAAATACCTATGTAAATTCAATTTTTACTGAAAACAAAAAAAAATAACAAAACCCTGCCAGTACATTTACATATGGCCCTTAACATTTCTGTGTAGTTTCATTGAAGTTGATTTCAACATTAAGAAGTCTGGAAAGATTCCTGTACCTCAATTTATATCATGTTACCATGGCAACCAAATTATATCAGATGTTTTGGAACTACTATGATTGTAATTACTTGGACATTCTTCAAAATCTTTTGTAAATCAATATCCAACATATCTCAATTTCGATCAATCAATTGCCTCCATTATGTCACCATAATAATGGTTATGGAAGCACCTGATGTGTCGATAAGTAACACCATTTGACTAAGTTTCATTAAAATTGATCCAAGAACTGATGAGCTGTTGTTCATTACAAAAACCTATGTATAATGTCCTGGTTACCATGGCAACCAAGATTTTTGTTTACATCAGATGTTTTGGAAAATAGTGCCATTGCAATTACTATTTTCTTCAAAAATTCTTATGTATCAATTTTTAGCATAATCAGATAATATTTCAATTTTAACCAGTCAGAAGCCTCTATTATATTTCTATAGCAACACCTAGAAGAGATGTGCCAGTTATAGCCTTTGATATGTCAGACTATTTGACCAGGTTTTATTAAAACAGGTTGAAGGACTGATGAGCTATGGTCCATTACACAAAAACCTGTGTATAGTGACCTGGTTGCTCTGACAACCAAAATTTCTGCTTGAAAAATGTGCATGCTTCATTGAAATTGGTTCAAAGATGATGAGGAGCTACCTGTACAAAAATTAATTGATGGGCAGACAGACACGAAGAGACAGACGGACTGATACAAAAAGACAGACAAAACAGCTGATTCCACTATACCCCACCCCTAACTTTGTTGAAGAGAGGTATAACTATCGAGTTTTAGAGAAACAATTGTGCATTGTTTAACAACATTTTATTTGATTAATAAATTGGTAGTGTAGCATATTGGTAGTAAAACATCACAGATATATAGTGCAATATAAACTAAAAAGGTGTGTAGTTCTGACATTACAGTGCTGTGTAGTGTAACTTACATTACAGTGCTGTGTAGTATAATCGATCATTGCTGTGTAGTGTCTTAATTATTTCTGCTGCCACTATATTTATCATTGGTGACATGTATGTTAAGTATATCATGATTTCAGAACTAAGAAGTCTATTTGACCTTAAATAAACAATAATGAGCTTTCACAGTAAAACAAATATGTATATTTACAACTTAAATGGATAACAGCTTGTTCCGACTTTATTCAGTTTTTTTTCCTTCAAAGTTCATTTTGTATTTTTGTTGCTCAAGTGTATGATGCATGCTGCTTATATGACATACTCTATACACATGTACTAGAAAATCAGCATGTATTGTACATTGTGTTTGATATGATAAAGCTGCTGTCTTTTATCCCACTCGTGTGTTGAATTCTGCATTTATAATTAAAATATGTACTTATAATTGTTACTCACTGCCTCTGAACCTGCAGATGTTGTTACCTCAGTAGCTTTATTTCTTCTTAGATAAAAGATCTTTTTGAAATTTTTCATGTTCAGCGTAGCTTAAACTGTTATAGTTTATATGTAGGCCAGATTTCAAGCGTCACAGAATATCCCTGTTAGCGATCATGGGCTATGTAAAATTTTGTTACATGGAGTTTGTTGCCTCCTCCATAATTATGGACATCATAATGATCAGTATCATATATATGTCCCTGCCAAATTTATGGCCCATGTTCAGGATTGGTCCCAATAGTTTATGCAACAATTTTGACTTCATCTGTAGTTCAATTTGGTCATTGGTAGCCATTTTTAGTTTAGATTGATTGTTGTATTTTATTTTCAGTAAGCATTGATTAAAGCAGGCATTGTACCAAATATTCATGTATACATTATAATTCATAGTACATATGTATATGTTGATTGGTGTAAGTGTAATGAAGTATTAAGAGAGTAATTGACAGTTCAAATACATGTGAAGTTATGACTTTATAATATGCAATTCTGAAAATTGGTTAGGAAATGAAATTATCTGAATTAATATGTAAAGAAATATATAAAGAAAAGGTAACAAATGAATGGACTACAAAATGATAGATTTATTGATTGATTGATTGAGAATTCGGTGTTAAATATGTGTTTTATTATCGTGTTGTATCAATAAGAAATCAAGGTACATTGTACTTAATTAATTTACTGTTATTGAATATCAACAGGATGGATCTGAACAGACCAAGATCTTATGTACTCCAAAACAGAAAGAATGAAGTGTGATAAGCAGATACTTGTACGCCTGGGAAAAGGAACACAGAGTTGAGATGTATACATGTATTTGGTAAATCTACAAATTTATGAGAGTGACCATACTGGTGACTTACAGCTCACAGGGGACGTAAACAGGTTAACTAGCCCAAAAGATGGAATTGATATAAAACATAGGCATCCAAGGAACTGACTGGACTTAAGGAAGATGTTAATTTTCTAGATGTAGTTAGTTTGCTGAGAAGGGATGGACTAAGAGTGTTAAACCAAGACTTTCACTTCAACAAGGATGAATTCTGGGTAGCTTATTCATTTTCAGAAGAACAATCTGGAATGTTGAGTCACGTTAAACAAACATTTACACAGAAATCTCCCTCTAAATGACTTGTTGGTGTTCAAAGTGAAAACAGTTTACGTTAAGGGAGATAAATGTCAGTGCACATACATGTTTGTGATAATTTTTATTTAAAGTAGTGCTTTGGTTTTTAAAGCATTGTGCTGAGTGATGATTGTGCTGTGGTGTATGTGGCAATAATGAGTTTAACAGTCTGTGGTTAGGACACCCCATTGCTCACTCTCTACCTCCAATCAAAACTGCCAAAAGATCTACTTCTATATTTTTGGTGTTAGGAAAGTGCTTAACAATTTGAACTCGTCTCCCTATGTTTAAACACCTAATTGTATATTTACTAGTCTAATTTAAGTAGAGGAGTGCTTCAATTTATTGTGATCATTTTCTCACACAGAGTGTACTTAAACATATAAATAGAAATAGTTATTTTCTCAAACAGAAGTGAAGAAAATAAGGTCATTGTGGTCATTTTGTGGGGCAAGTATGTCAATTTCTTTTATCGATAGATCTAAGGATCAAGATTAAAGATTAAGGAAATAAAAAAGCGTGGATTCTTCTAAACCAGGTTAGATGTATTAAACTAGGTTTCATCTAACAGCTAAGTATATTTGATTAAACCAGATTAGATAACAACAGGCCAGATTCTACTAAACCAGGTTAGATGTTACACTTAAGGTTCTACTGAATGAGGTTAAATATAACAGGCCAGATTCTACTTAACCAGGTTAGATAAAGCAGACCAAATTTTACTATACCAGGTTAGATAAAACAGACAAAAATCTACTTAACCATGTTGGATGCCTTCAAATATTTCCATACAGTCTCCTTTGGCTCAGGATGCTACTTTTCTGCCTATCTTTTCTAACTTATTTGACTAACAATTCCTAACTATCAAAGTCTTTAAAGGATATGTTTACACAGAGTTCTGTTAAAGTGTGTTGTTGCCATTCCAATATTGTTCATGTTGGGACATATCTGTTTATTTATAAGTTATGTTTCAGTGGTAATTTGTGCCGATGTTTTTCTGTTGATGTGTATTTTATCATCATATTTTATTTTAGTCCATGTAATGGGTTAACAGTACTGTGATACAATATTTAGTAATATATAGCCATTTATATAGAAGCGAATCTCGGCAAAACTATGTACTGGTCATATTACCTAATTTATATATGCAAAGTAATAAAATACTGGTATAATTTTATACCTGTTACATGAAACACATTTAAAATGGCAACTTTCAAGTTTTGAAATGCTTTTATGAAAGTCAGTTTGTATTTCATTTATGGATTATTTCACAAGCATGCTTAACTGTATAGATAATACATGGTCAAGGTCTTAAAAATCAGTGGCGAGCCTCTGTCGATCAACTTTTGATTTTTTTTGTCCCGAGCCAAAATACAGCTGATATTTTAAGACAATTACCACAATTTATATTTATCCTGCAACATTGAATTGACTGAAAATCAGACCATGAAAACTTCAGCACTTTTTTGTTCAATCTTTGTTTACCTGTCGTTGACTTGCATTACGCTGAATTTTGCCTAATGATGTGCGCCAAAATAATTACATTGTACAGATATGCAATTCCAAAATTCAATGGATACGACTGTGTTTTTATGAATTTTTGTTATCTATATTATTAAAGGTAATTTTAAAGTAGATCCAGAGAGTAATTCTGTTGAATTACCGCACACGCAAAAAATAGTTGTTTTCTGTCAATGCCCAATACAGTCAAAATATACATGTATGTGGCATGCGTATTGAAAATGGCAGTGCCATTTGCAGGATAACTTTGTATATTAGTAGATATGATAAAAAATAAGTACTTGCAACGGAATAGATAAGATCAAATAACAAAAGTACAAGACTGTCTTGTGGAACAAAACCGGAAAGCTATTTGGGGCAGTCTTATGTTTTCTTGTTTTGTCTTATGTTTTACATATATATATATTGTTCATTAGTTAAATGTGCTCATGGTCCATTTTAGTGAAGAAGTTTATAGACAATGAAGTTTATAAATCAAAAATTATTTTGTGTATTTATTGAGTTCATCTAGAGAAGGTTATTTTAAATACATATGTACAACTCGTGATCTTTTCATAAAGGTGCTATAATATTTGCCCCATTACCTGAAATTTTTTTCTCCGCATTTTTTTCGTTACAGAATTATCATAGCCTTGTTTTTTGTTTTCTTTTGAATTTTTTTTTCTCTTTTTTTTTCTTCAAATAATTTTCAAAACTTTACAAACAAGTGAAATATCAAAGATAGCAATACATTATATGCATGTATATGAATTTACCATATACCTACCCCAAAAATTGAAATCTGTTGGGTTCATTTTGATGGATACTGGAAAAAGAAAAATATGTTGTTCAATTGATACTTTTTACACAATGTTTTTACAGAGATTTGCTTACAGAGTTGGGCAAGCCAACATTGAGCTGTCATTTGAGTGTTAAATATATATACAGAGTTTGAAAATGAGATAAGTATATATACATTGTGTTGAGATATGCTACATTATTGTGCATATGGCAAGGGTTCGAGTAGTTTCCTAGTTACAAGCTAGTATGTTTATATAATCGTATTTTAAATTTATTTTTAAACAGCATCCTTATGCATTGTAAATGTGTTGTACATTTCCTAGGTTTACTGTTGATTTTAAAGCATATTTTTTTCTTATTCATATAACCTGGTATCGTGATAACCTGAAATAAACTATACACTTGATTTCTTGTTTTTTATATCATAAAGTTGTTATATGCCAATACTCATCTAAAACTGCATACACATAACAATACCAGTTGCTAATATAGGATCTTGTTAAAGTGTTAACCTCATAATAATGTTATTTTGAAACAAATCTCTTCTTTAATGTTGCTTATCAAGGCATCAAATGAAAGATTTGTGGCAATTTTGTAAATATGATTCATAAAGGAAACATTTCTGATCCTTTCTACCAAGTGATTGCAAAAAGATTGTTTCAAGTCATTCATTAAATTGCATCATTTCAACATTTTAGGATTTTTAACCAATGTTTTTTACTGAAAGTCTCAATGCGCTATGTCTTGAAAACCAGATATCTTGGAGGAAATCGTGGGACTCAAAATCCAATGATCTTTATTGGTTCTATGCAAAACTCATATTTTTCTACTTTTCCCTTTTCAACTTAATCATTTGATAATAAAGGAATCCTACCTTTGAAATTAAGAAAGACATAACAAGAACTTCCCACACTATAACAATATATAAATATAAGATGGTCTCCAGTCTTTTGTTTTCTTGAGAAGACAAAAAAAAGAATGGCCACAACTTTGGGCCAAGGTGAATGAACACATCAGGTTTGAAAAATATCTTTCCAGTATACTCCTCAAGAGATTGGAGTAACAAACTTTCATTATCAAAATCCAAGATGGCAAGCTTTCGGCCTTTTGTTTCTCTAATCCGTCTGAAAATTAAAGAGGCACAACCAAGACCATAGGGAACATACACATCAAGTTTGAGAAATATCCTTGCAGTACTTGACAAGATACAGCAATAACCAGCTTCACTATCACAATCCAAGATGGCCGCCTGTAAGTCTGTTTATTTCCCAATCAGACTAAAATGTGGATAGGCACTACTAGGGACCATGGAGAACCTACATATGAAGTGAGGGAAATATCCTTCCTGTACTTCTCAAGAAATAGCAAAAACAAGGATTTTTCATGGATTGACCATGTATGTAAGGTGACTTGAACAGGCCACCTTCTGGTAATGGTAGACTTAAAAAATGGAAACAACAAACATATCTCGGCTGTTCACCTGAGGTTGCCATGTCTGATGCCCTACTACTGACAGAGCTCTTGAAACCCACACCCATAATGGAGCCCATACAACTGGTGATGTCATTCTGATACCAAATTGATTTGAAGTGACAGAAGTCTAATGTCATGATATGTTTACCAGCAGCAGTCGAAACAAATGACCTAATTGACCTTTATTAACATTCTAAAAATGTGCTTTGAGTGAAAAATAAATTAGTCAACTTTAAATAACCAGCGATTACAGGATGATGAATTATTTGTAGATTACTAGTGTGGAAGTTAAGGATCAGAATGGGTGACCAAAGCTAACTTTGAAGATGACAACACCAGTTAATGGATTAGAAATAATTCAAAATTCATAAATTATGAATGGTATGGAGTAAGAAGGTCATTGCATTTATGGTATTTAACTTATCTGATGGGTATTTTACACTGACTGATAGAGAAGGCTACTTAAATACGTTGTGCAGTAGATGCTTATCCTGTAATTTAGGACATCATTTTATGCAAAAACAGGAAGGAATTAGTTACTTTATTCGTTGTAAGTTAGAACACCATCCTTTACAAGTACAATGTATCTAATAGTAAAGGCAGGGTGTTTTTCATTTCTCTTTCCCGTTTCATATTTAAAATATGAACTCTCATGATCTTGATATGATTTCTGTGTTTTCCTGTTAAAAAAATAAAACAGAACAGTTATCATATGATTTTATTTAAAACTTAACACAAACATGCATTTTGTTTAAACAGGAACAAACCAGTCCATATCCAATTCATAGTATTTCACTGAATCTAACTGACTTTAACCCATTTCAGTCGACATCTATCATTGAATCCCTGCTTCAAGTCTATTACAACAATGTATTAGGCGTATTGTAATACAAACTTCCTCTGATTGACCAATGATTCTTGACTTCGAGCCATTAAATGAGTAGAAGGAAACAGGTATCCACTTATGTTCAATAAAAGGTTTCTAAACTAATAACTTACCAACATTTCAATAAGATTATTTAAATAATTCATCTCGGAGTTTCACATATTTACACACCACACATTTCAATTTTGTGATTAAAAAAAATGGACAATCTTTCTACAGAAGAGCTATCTATCATTAACTTAGGTTGAATGTCCTACATGAAGTAGATCCATGTTGAACTCTGTCCTTCATAAGGTGAATACACATGAGGATGCTATTTGAAGACAGCAGGCTGTATGTTGAGCTGTCTCACTCCAGATGAATTTTCTACAGATGAGGATGATATCTGATGACAGGAGGGTGCTGTAAGTGGAGCTGTGTCCTTCTGTAGGTGAATGTCTTACACATAAGGGTGTTTATTTGAGAACAGGAGGTGGCTCTATGTTAAGTTCTGTCCTGAGCTGATCCAAGTCTTTCTCCCACTCTTTTTCCCAGTAAACTGCCATGAGAAACTTGGCATTTCTTCCTGTCCGTATAGCCCAAGAGAGATAAGTCTCTAAATATAATTTCTGATGTCTGAAATAAACCCAATGCAACACTGTAAAATTATTACTATCTGCAAAAAAAAAAGATGTATCTGTTTTTAGATGATGGATGTCCATTAAGCAGCTACTAGAAGCAGAACTCCCAGTACAGAAACAAGAATAATCAATACATGTGATCTATGTCAATTGTTATAATGTAACGTTAAATTGCAGTCCCCAACATACATGCTGCACCACGGAGGTGAACCCATACAACGAGTTTGAAGTTCCAAAGATTAGTGAGGTAGGAGATAGAACCTGTACAAACTCTTTTTAATGTAAGTCATAGTTCAAATGTAAGTCAGTGACCTACTTCTGATACACAACACACCAATCAACCAAGATGAACCTATACATGAAATTCCAGTGACAAGAAGTGTTGGAGATAGAGCCCACCATTTTTCTTCAATGTAGGTCAAAGGTCAATTGTAAGTCAGAGTGACCTACATTAGATACACTTCACACCATCTCACCAAGGTGAAGCCTGGTGATGTCCCATGTATTTTAAAGTTTGCATAATTAATTGTGTAGAAGATAGGGCCTGGACAAGAAAGCAGATAGTTGTCTCCTCCAGTTCAACGTGGGGAACTAATAATTTCAATAGGAGTTTTTGAATAAAAAACTGTTTTTTGTCTCGTAATTTGGCAATAAGTCCATCTAATTATACAAATATTTTTTCTTTTAAAGGAACTAAATATGTTGTCCTTGTATATTCTCACCTTGATTTTACAAAATTTTATTCAATGAATCTGTAAAGAAATAAAATTGATGGTGAAAACACTGAAATGGAATAAAGAGATGAAAGATTCACACAACTAGATAGGTACACTTCTTTTCCAAGCCCTTCCCTTTTAAAACATCTTGGATGTAGATTATAGCTTACTCTTGGCTTAGACGAAGGGGACCAAATACTGCCGCCAGTGCACACATAGGAAGTCCAGTCTGGAAGGTCTCAACCCACTTGACAACAACTTCGCCAAGAATGGTAGGTTTCATGCCCAGCACAGAATGGTATAGGTCATGGGTTTGGCGGTATCGCAACATCACATACTTTAAGGTAGGATCATCAATGAACTGTACAGGCATGCGAGAATCTGGAGAAAACCCCTGGCAGAAAAGTGAGGAGGAGATCCTGATGACATCGGTGATCACTTTTTGAATATTAAAAACGTGCAACTGTAGAATGTTACATGTTTAAGCTTGGCTTGCACACTCAAGCAGTTTTATAACTTGTCATAATTCCTATAGAATTAATGTTATCATTCTGGATAATTGAAATGTTTCATTAACTTTCTAACTGATGTTTAAGTTTAAGAGTGTATGTTCACATTTATTTCCTCACCCGTTATCTGAACACTTTCAAAATTTTTACCAATGGCTGTATTCTACATTTCTTAAAATCACTCTTCCGAAAAGGCTTCTTAAAATCATGACTTAAGTTCAGCTAAAATAATGAAGCAACCTTATTAGCTAAAAAGTGTTTGTATTGAATGTGTTCAAACTTTATATAACATGATTTGCTGAATCACTAAAATTGCATCATTGAAAATAATTTCTGTCTTGTTTAGATGCAGGGAGACTTTTATTTATTGATATATTGATGATGTTTACTTTTCTGTATGACTAAATCACCTACTTTTGAATGTTTAATGCTGACATGTTATGCAAATTTTGGAATAAAAATGAGTAACTAAAAACATTCTTAAGATACCATTTGCTCTATGTAAAAATTCAGAACTTGACAACTAAAATAAATGGAAATATACGGTAACTTTTTACTCCAAGCTTGCGATGTATTCTTGAATCTTACACAGCCTTAAAAATTGTACATTAACATGAAAAATGTTTGGCATTTGTTACTTTAAAAGAGTTTATAAAACATTAACATGAAAAATGTTTGGCATTTCTTACTTTAAAAGAGTTTATAAAAAAATTAACATGACAAATGTTTGGCATTTGTTACTTTAAGTAGAGTTTATAGTTGTATGTGATTCTCTTACATTTTTGCTCAGGAATTTCCAGTACTCTTTTCCCAATGTGCCCTTAGGCAGACTTCCCAGGTACTCTATGGACACAGTGTCAGTATTGATGACGGGCTGTTCCCTGAGAAAAATGTAAAGAAATTCTGAAACATCATGTCCGTTTAAAGGCTCTATATATACCTCAGAAGTTGTTTTTTAAGGGTTCAACTTTTTAGCTATTTTTGATGATCGAATAAAATCACAAAATATTAAATATAGGAAAATGAAATTGATGATGCAAACCATTGTTTGTTACATATTTTCCATGAAAATGACATCCTTTAACACTGAACGTTTAGTAAAAAAATACCCTTTACAATAAAGTGTTAACTTTATTCACTTTCTATTTCTTTGATAAATGATTCAGTTTAAACTTACTCCAAGATGAGTCTCCCCACAGGGTCTTCTTCCATCTTTTCTTTCAACCTCTTAATGGCCATGGCACCACTCACCTCCCCTAGTGTAGCTACCATATCTGTGGTTGGTGCCAAAAAGGATACACTGAACATTAATATTTTGTGTCAACTTGTTTCAAGTTCAATTAATATTCTCATTCTGACTGTTCCTTTTTTCATAATTTGGAACATTACACAGAACCTTGAATTGATTGGCACATCTGTGACATCAAAATAAACAACTACTAAAGCATTTTTTTTGGGACATGTAGACACAAGTCAATATATTTTCCTGCACAGAACTACTGACTGTCTGCCTTTAACAATTTGTAGGGGCTTTTACCTTTATAACACTTTTGCACTAACCTAGGACAAATGAGTTGAATAACTGAAATTCTGTTTTATTACTTCTTATCTTTTTTAGGGAACTGGATTATTTTAATGCCCATGATATGCCTGCTATATTAAAGTTTGTTTAAGAAATAAATTTTCAAACTTAATTGTGGATACTCTGATAGTGTAACTGTGTTCTGGATAACCTTTGCCTATTGACCAGATATACTGGGTTACATATGGATAAATTCAGCCATTGACTTTTAACTAATTGTAACTAATGAAGCTATTTCAGGTTACCATGTTGTTCAACTGGCATACTGTGTACAAATAAAGTGTATCAAAAATTAGAAGCTTTAAGACTTGTGTTTCCAAAGTAGAGATGCCTGAAAATAAGCAACACTGACTGACCATCACGATAGGGATCATATAAACACATGGATGCTGATCCCACAGTGAGAAGAGCTTTCTGGAAAAATGACGTTGGGATATGTCCTGGATACTGCTCATTTTTCACATCCTCATGATGAAAGTCATCTGGATCATCTTCTATATCTGTGTCACATTTAAAACAACATAGTAAATCAATGTTCTGAAACAATAATGAGCAAACAAGTTGAAATTAACTAAATAATTGGTAGTCCAAAATATGATTTCAAACTTCCAATCACAATGAGCTGGTCACACCCTTGATACTCCAGTGGTTATGCTCACTATTACTCTCTGCACCCTTGGAACATTTCTTGGCAAAATTGAAGGTTTAATGTGTGTCATTTAATATACATTAAACCAATCTCAAGTCATGTAACAATACCTTGTATTAATTTTGAAGTTGGGTATCACACGTTAATAATGTTCAAATATCAAAGGAGCTTATCAGTCTGCGAATGGTCATTTTTTTTCTGCTGAAACCCACTCTATGCCAATCAAATTACTTCGCTGGTGCCTTCTTGTTGCCAGAATATGTTTAAGTATGACAGAGAGTAACAGTGATCGTAAGCCTTGAGTTTGAGGATGAATTGGTCGATACAAACTTCGAAAACTCTTCCCAAAAAATACACTGGAAAACCAATCAATGAGTTGATTTTTTATTTTAAAGCAGATTGTTTGGAATACAAATTGATAAGAACGAAAAATATATCAGCTTGATATATATTGTAAGTGCAGTAGTTTTTCACCAAATGAATCTTCCTCAGTTAACAATATTCATAAACTTTGTAGGTTTTATCTAACTACGAAGACTAGTATTTTCCTGAACAGTCTATATATTAAACTATTTCAGATTCAAATATTTTACATTCAATGGACATGTATAAACTTGTCTATCATAGGTCTAGCCTCAAGGCTGTTACCAATTATTTGATAAGATCTTTGACAAATGACGCAATTACGAAAGTTATATAGCATTGTATGACGTGACATTGAAGGAGTACTGTTGTTCATTCTCGCATTTAATCATTGCTTAATAGAGATCATTTAATGTTTTTCATGCATGCATGTCACCTTGTTTGTTAGTGTCTTGGTATTGTCGTTTGAACTGATGTGGAAATGAAATGCTTCTTTCTCTGTTAAGGAGACGAAAATAACGATGTTTTGCATATGTCAGTCTTCTGAGATGCGATGCCATGGGCGCAGACATCTTGGATTATAACATTCGCATACCCATGCGCACAGCAACCGGAAGCAGCATGTGAGTAATTTGTAAACAGGACTTATGTTGGTCATGTCTCGATTTTTGTTTCGTAGTGTACGACATATTCACATTGTTGGTGACACGCAGCTATGTGCGCGTGTATTCAGTGTACAAAACTGTCGCCCGATTTCCAAGTCAATGAAAACATTATCTTGTGGATATTTTGAAAGTGTCACCAAAACAACCAAGTTGCGTCAGAACATTTTCCCGGAAGTTGGATATGTTAAAGTAAATCCGTGCGTTTTGCAACAAGTGAAACGGTTGTCGATCAGCTGTGTACACGGGAAAGATGAAAATAACATTAACAGTGACTCAAATTATAACAATAAAGGAAAATCAGTTTTAGGACATGTACAGGGAAAACTCCACATACAGTATACGTGCAAAGTGTGTAATACACGTATGGCTCATACATTCTCCAGACATTCATATGAGAAAGGAGTTGTCATAGTGACGTGTTCGGGATGTAACAATCATCATCTTATTGCTGACAATCTCGGCTGGTTTGAGGATGTCGGCAAACGGTTGGTAACGATATAATTATATGCCACAAAATTTCGCATACTGTTAATTAGAAATAGAAATTTCTCATCGTCATGAGAAAAACACGATATCAAAAATTAAGGGAAAAATCAGAAAAGTATCATTAATATCGCATTTGTGGAGTTGATGAATTAAACTATGAGTATATTTAATCAAACAACAAAAGTCTATGAGGGATCAATTAATACATATAAACACACACGATATTTTCCACTTGCCGGTTACGGATACATCTTGGAAATCTTAATTGTATATGTAGGACTTAGTCTATAATTAATCGCCACCTTGCGAAAGTGGAGCATATCAACAAACAAGCTATTTTATTGTCTCTATTTTTATGTACTTAAAACATATATAATGATATATCTTTTTCAAATAGTAAACATGCATGATTTTTTTCTGTCAAGTTTCTTTTTTAATAGATACTGAGGGTGTAACGATACCACTTCGTTGATCAACACGAAATAAATTATTTAGTGGCTCTGTCCCATCAATGGAAGCTTACTAGATCTTGACCTTGCATGTTGTGTTCACCTTTTATTCTATCACCAATTGCACGATAGCAGGAAAAAAGTCCTGCTTTCCCTTTGGAATCCACTGAAATTGTGCGAACCCACTACAAAACGATCAGCCATTAATGTTCAAGTGTTCAAGGAAAAGTTCAACGTAACAATGTTACTTAGTTTGAATTTGAATTCATATAGCCAGAATTGCAATAAACAAGAATAATTATTATAGTCTTAGAAGAATAAATTAATAAATAGATAAATATATAAATAAAAAGATGGATGGATGCAAGCGTGCAAGCAAGCAATTCATTACATTTATTGACATCTGTATTCATATTTACGAAACGTTTCTAATGGAGATCAGAGTAAGAATTTCAAACTGAAAATCAATAGAAAGAGGTCAAAATTTATTGGAAAAGAACTACAAAGATAATGAAATTGGACCAGGTGCCCCGAAAGGATAAGCGTACCTTTATCGTCTAATGATTTATATCCATCGACATATACGGCTTTATTCTTTTAGTTCCCATAGGTCTTACCAAATAAGGCAGTCGTGTTTACACTACCGAATACATGTGAAGAACCAACGTTTTTATGTCACTGTAGATATGATGCCATTGCCTTATGATATTACAATAGAAATGATATGACCTTAGTCGGTCACAAGCTTCACAGCGCTGCATGGTTATCTTTTACGTCATGAAAAATATGTACCGGTTGTTATTGGCACGATGATAACACTATATATATATTTTGTGCTCTTGTCTATTCGTGACATGTACACGATCCAGTTAAAAGAAACTGTGTTTGAAGGATATTTAGAGTTCTTCTTGGAGACAGTTAACTGGTATAACTGCATGTGATGCCTTTTTGATCTTATCGTAGTCTAGATGTTTGTTTCTTTTTCTGACAGAATCCTGCAACTTTCTATATGCAGGATCATGGGCCAATATTGTGTAATGTATACAATATTGTTTAATGTATACCACAATGTTTCCCTTACTTGTTACATAATCGGGTATCGCTAAAACATGACAATGTTCCACGCAGTATATGACCCTCCGTGAACCCGGATAGGCATGCCCAAATAGCGACTACAGAATGTTTTGAGAAGATTTTTATCACAATATAACAGATTAAAGTTCGAGTACTTTTTTTAGGTCATCTGACCCAAAAGGTCAAGATGACTTATTTCTATCATGCATCGTTCTTCTTCGTGCTCCGTTCGCCATTCGCACATTGTCCGTGAACTTGTCATTTAAAACACTACTCCAGCTTAACGCCAAGGCGGAATTCAACCAAGTTTGGTCTGAAACATAATTGGGAGTATAGTGGTGAATTATATCTTAAATTCAGAAATTTGATTCGACTCCTAGGGACTTTGGGCCCCTAGTCGGGAAATTTAATATATACATATATTTTCAAAATGCTACTCTTCCTTAATGCTTCACTGGATTTCATTCAAATTTTGTCCGTAACATCAGTAGGGGTTGGCAAAAATTTCTCAAATTAAGACATTTGATTCAACCACAAGGTGCAGGGACACGTAAGAGGAAATTAGACAAAATTTTGCTTCGAAAGACTGAGGCCCCAAAAGGGAAAATTAGAAAATATTGTTTTTCTTCAAAATGCTACTCTTTCTTTTTTGTGATGTTTGAATGGATTTCAACCAAATTTGGTATGAAACATCATTGAAAGTGAAAATCATTTCTTAAATTCAGAAAGTTGATTCGACCCTTAGGGACTTGGGGAGCGAGGCCCAAAACGGGAAATTAGACAATATTTTACTTCAAAATACTACTCCTTCTTAATACTTGAATGAACTTCAACCAAATTTAGCCTGAAACATCATTGAGAGTGGGGAATCAATTCTTAAATTCAGAAAGTTGAGTTGAACTCTACTTGATATGAATGTCTTTGAATGGCTTAAAAAGTCACAAGGGTCAAATATGTTTAAATCTTTAAATGACTTCTTCTCAATAACCAAAAAGCCCAGATTGCTGATATTGGGTTAGTAGCATGCTAAGATGAAGGACTACCAAGTTTGTTTATTTGAATGACCTTGACCCGTTTTCTAGATCACAGGTATCAAACGTGTTAAAGTGTTAAAATAGCTTCTTCTCAATAACCAAAAGCCCCAGGGTGCTGATATGGACCAACTTTCAAGATCACAGAGATCAAAGGTGTTGAAATGCTAAAGCAACTTCTTCTCAATAACCGAAAGGCTAAGGGTCTTGATATTAGGCCTGCAGCTTGCTGTTTCAATAAGCAATTCGGGAAGAGTAATGGCAATTGTGAAGTGCGTATATAAAGAATATATGATTTCAGGTTTGCACAAAATGTCTTCGTGAACCAAAATGTCTTCTATGTAAGCGGCAGAGTAGATGAGCAATTTATTTTAGGCCTATTTGGCCTCTTTGATATGTATGCCTTTATAGTCAGATGACCGTTAAGGTCCATTGGCCTCTTGTTTATTTGAAAAAACGCACAGTATATCATCATGTATAAAGGATTAGTTTAACTTAGTTTCTTCTGAACGCAGGCATAACTGCCTCTATATTCAGATCATCGTCCAAATAAACATAAAAAATGACATGAACAGTGTCCGTATTGTGATGTTAATCAAAAGATGTTCGACGTCTCATTTCATCGTTACTCCAAAATTTATCCAATTGGGATTCGAATGTTGACAGGGTGGGTGCTTGTATAACACTTTCAGGCAAGTTATTCGAGCTGTTCACGATTTGTTGAGTGAATGAATAAAGATTTCAGAGCAAACCGTATGGTGTCACAGATGCTGTTTTCCGTTTCTATGGTGATCATAATGTATATATATTTCACTCTCTAAAGTGATCATTCGATACGTACATAACTTCACAATGATTCAATCATGTTTAGTCGTCATTAGTTGATATTAAGACTGTAGATGTTATAAAATATTGAAAACATGAACTGGTGAAAGGAAAGAATGGTATTTTATCTCCTGTTATGTCAATGTATCTGTTGGTGTACGTGTCACATTTTTTTTTATCTTTTCAGAAATATAGAGGAGATACTAGCTGAGAAGGGTGAGAAAGTGAAGAGGTTATCAGCGGATGGCAGTTCTATAGAAGTGAACACACCAGAGATAGATAGTGCGGACGGATCATGACATTTTACAGGTCACTAGAAACAATATCTTCTCTACATTTAGTAGTTCATTTAAATAATATTTTAATAAATTTCATTTTCGATATAATTATTTGCATATTGAAATAGTAAAAGAATTAAGCCAGGGATCTTAAAGTCATGAAATCATGGATGGTTTGTAAAGTATCTATTCAAACTGATTCGGCTTGCCAACAGAAAGAATGGTCAGAACAAATTAATTTAGGAGCTGAAGACAGTAAACAGCTACTCTGCCCATATTCATTATGCTTATTATAATGGAATTTGTGTAGGTGTCTAAGGTCACATACCCCATCCGTGGCAGTTTAAAGTTGATACCAACCACATGCAACTGCCTGTAACACAGACGCCGAATATTATCAGATATCTACCATCATACACACAACGATCCATTCATAATGTTTAGTGTCACAGCTGCTGCTTTCAGTTAATAATGAAAATGGTCATTTGATACATACCAAAATATTTACAATGGTAAGATAATATTTTTATATTGTTGATGTTAAGGATTTAAATTCGAAGAAAGATAGAAAAAAACACAGCGATGAAATGTAACTGATTTAGTCTCGGTGTACAGGAAGGAAACTAGCTTCGTATTTGTTTGAAGTAATCGATGCATTCAAACTGTAGATATTTTATTCCACATATTTTTATCATTCCAGAAATAAAGAGGAAACATTAGCGGCGAAGGGCGATCACGTGATGAGGTTATCAGCGGACGGCAGTTCTATAGAAGTCACAAGTAGATAGTGAAAAAGGATTGTGACTTTTCAGGTCACTAGCATTTAGAAGTTAATTCAATGACATTGGAATAAAAATAGTTTTTCATATATTTGCATATTAAACTTTTCATAAAATTAAAATTCGTATAACATATCGATTTAAATATGCTCAGCATTGCTACAGAAAATCCGGACAAATTTTAAGAAAAATCAATTGCAGAGCTGAAGGCATAAAATAGTAACAAAGTTTCTTCGCTAATTCCAAAGGGAAGGGCAACATCAATATTATTATATTAAGGAACAAAATTTTCTCATAAAACCGTACACATTATGGGACGTGATCTATATGAATTCTCATTATAGTAGAAAGTTCCTTTAATGGACGATCTCCGTATGGTCATGTGGAGTAAAGGCAGTAAACAGTTGCTCGCAAGAATTTCGATCAGAAGGTGCACTAGCCCCTAAATTCTATCAAAGTCATAATTTCTGTATTGAATGATTTCAAATGTGCTGAATCATGCCACTAGTCGGAGGAATAAAAGCACTTTATTAACTAACACACAGGTTAACGCAAACCTCGGAGATAAAAATACACCATGATTATCTACAGACTACAATCACAAACATTGCACGGAACACGGAAGTTAGTATACCGAATCATAGGATGCATACACTGACTAAATAACAGCTTGATACAAACAGGACAACTACATGGGTTAAACCCATCAATCAATTGAAATTTAAACATGTGGAACCCATCTGATATGTGTACAACATTGTTTGATGTTTGCATTCCTTTAATTGGATTTACTGCAACAAAAGAGTATCCAGATTCTAGGACACATTAAAACAACTTGGGGGTAGGCTAGATTTTTAACAACGTTAACATTGTATACCTTGGCGAATTAGTTTCGGATCCCTTATTAATCGTATTTCTATAGCAATGCTACGCCGATAACTTGCAACCAAACAAATACATAAATGCATTGAAATGTTGTCATACTGTGAAATTTATCCAATAAATTGATCATTGAAGCACCAGAATTTTTCTGAAAGTTAACCATAGACACGACCTCAAAATCGTTCAGCTGATATGACAGTCAGGTGTTTCTGAAGCTTGTCTACACTTCCCTTTTTGGTGATATAATTCATTGTATCACAAAGACACTTAAGTAAAATCATCACTTACAACGTGAATGACATTTCGATGAAAAACAATCTGTCAAAACCATGTCAAGAAAATGGTGGATATCTGTGTTTAAGTGTGCAACTTTTCTAAAGGATAACATTTAAGTATTTTTTCTCTCTCTCAAATGAGCCACATTTCTAATGTAACTCTTTTCAGACCACAGACATTTCAAATAGGGTTATTATGTTAACGTGTCGGTCTTCAACTCACTTGATCATTCAAATTCGAAAGCAGTCATCAAAAGTGATCATTTAAGATAATATTTTTTTTCTAATAGAAGATGTGCAAGTTTGGGGCTTCCGTTGCAAAGAACAATGCAAGTCGGTGTGGCCTATTGTTCATGATCGATTTTTATTCACTTGACGGATGGCAGCAAAGTACTGGCTTATGAGGATGGATTGATTGACTGTTTTATGATAACTGGAAGGAAGTTTGGCCAAATAAATATCCTGGAAGGAACGATAACGTTGATTGTTTAAGAAATTCCTACCTCAACAAGACCACCTCGATTGAAAATTCCTCGCATATATGCTTCGTTAAACTGGAAAATGTCGAAAAGGAAACATTTCTCCAATTGAAGTCATGTCTGTAAATTGTCTTCATGTAAGTTGTAGAAGAAGACGGTGTAGAAGGGTTCTTAGACTTGAGTGTTAGATTATCCAAGAAAGCAGAAAGATATCTCATAGACGTAGGACATTTAATGGGATAATGGAACATTTTAGCCACATGAAACCTCGCTGTTGATTGTTGTGAATTAGAGAGATGTCTTGTCGATGAAATAAGAGAAGATATTTATGGTATAAAACTCTAAATCTGTTCACTTTTAAGAAAGTAGGTGAACTGGTGTTCTTATGCAATTGAAAAGATGTAGTGATGGCTAGTATGCCAGTGTGTTTTAGTTTGAATATATGAAAAAAGAAGAAGAAAAGACAACGAACAAGCGAGAGAAAATATTGAATGACAAAGATATAATTTCTAACAGTCGTAATGTAGAAAAGGATGTTTCAATGCAGAGTTAAGATTTTAAAGTGTTCATTTCAGAGGGTTTAGCTATCGCTGTACCACGCAGGGGTTTTTTGCTTCTCTAAATGTTCCAGGCTTCTGTAGTGAAATGAATGCACTCTGCAACAAATGGCCGACCGTAATGTGTGTCAAAATTGATGTCATGCAGTCAGAAAATGTTCAATATACGTTGATTGTTGGTGTTGACGGTTATAGATTAAAAATGCGTATGAGTTGTCATTTTCATAGGGAAAGTCAGTTGACATTATCTTCGTCGAGTTTGGTATTAGATTTATTTTCATACCTATGGGAACAAACCGTGCCCCTGTCTCGACTATCTGGTTTTTGTTTACATACAACGCTTAATTTATCGGAGTGCTTATCAAAACAAGTCGCATATACCTTGCAAAATCATTCAATTTATTGATCACGTCTTGTTATCAAATAACAAAAGATTTATATCTTTACCATGTACCATGAAAGACATCAGAAACTGACAAACTAATCCACAACACAGGGTTTGGGGGGATGTAGGTTGATGAAGATTGCAGTTGAAGTTTTACGGTCTTCATGATATTCCCATTGAGAAATATTCTATTTCTTTGTGCGATGTGTAGCGGGAAGTGTTTGTGCTCGGTAGTATGTATGCCTGGAGGTTCCGTTATTGTTGTTCGTGTTCTCACAGAGGAACGTGTCACTTCTTGCTCGGATTGACCAAGATTTACAAGAGGAGTATCATCAATGAAGCAGAAAACGCTTGTCCTTCCCTAACTCGAGGTCTTATTTTCCGTGAACTCATTCAGGAGTCTATTTAAATCTTTCATATATCCATATTTTGCCATAGCTTACTCGAATTTCAACTTGAATTAAGAGCCAAAACCCATATTCAAGACAATAGTTACATATAGAGTAACCTGTCTGTTCGGCTTCCTTGTTGTTTTTTACAACCAGTTTACACCACAACCCTTTAAATTTGGAAAAGTACGTCTTGTAAATCGTCAACATCAGTTAGATACACTGTACTAAAACAATATTTCGAATAAAAGGGCAAGCCTAGGACTTGCACGATGTTCATCACGTAGCCCCACCACATGACATGTCCATTATTTTCCGCCTGCCGATCTTGCTAGACAACTCATTGGTTTGGTATGAGCATAATGGGACTGTTCAAGTAAATAACGCTTTCTATATTCTTTCAGGTAATTTATTTTGCCTTAAGCGAGGCTCTCGTAATTTTTGCCTATAAAGGACTCCTTGTATTTGATACCCATCTTAATCCTGTCCCTCCAATATATACACAGATAAAAAATCAGATTTATTCTGAAGATATAAATATAAAGTGTACAGGATTTTCATACACACGAAGCTCATTTTTTCCTTTAAATACTATTTCTCAACTGACATGTGTTACATTCGACGGATAAGTATTCGCCACACTTCATCATGGATATACTACAGGGTATTTTGGCCTTCGAGACCTCCTGAATTACCGGCGCGAGCTGGGAGGATTAAAAAAAAAAACCATCATCACGGCATCATTGCCAGCGTTCCAAGACCGGTACATAGTATCAACACTGTTACACGTTAAATGGATTTCTGGGCGTTATGATCCTGGTCAACATTATATTTTAGGAATCACAACCAGAGCTTTGACAAATCAACAATAAGAAGGAAAATAATGGCTTTATGGATAGTTACCCAGTGCTTTAGGCTTAACAAATGATGTTTGTTATTTTATATATACATTTACTTTTGTTTTATTTTCTTCTGGCTGAAGTGTCAACATCTAAAGTATTTGTCGAAAACCGGCCTCAAGTAATTCACTGCGAAACTATGTAACCATCTTCAGAAGAAGAAATGTTCACCAGCGTAGAACGAAGAGGAACGGGCTATGTTACTACTTCTAGTGTGATCTATTTACTGGAATGTTAATATTATAATCTTATCCTGGATAATTGTATGCATGTTTCAACAATAATGAGATTTTCTTTTCTCACCCTACGGTTGAAATGTGGAGATTCCCATTTTTATAACGACAATGATGCCAAGCAGAAAGCCGACATACATATGTACAATAACCATATATTTCCCTGTTGGAAAGACCGTAATGATCTGTTTTGCTATTTTGATATCCGCGGGTTGAGATTCCCTTATCTCACCAGCCTCCTGGTACTTTTACCTAGAATTTAACACAAGAATTAGCATTCACAGACAGGGATTTGCCAATCGTTCTGTAAGCTGACAATAAGTTAAAACAGAAAGCTTTCCAGTTTGTTCTATAATGGTGTAATCTGATGAAATAATTGCAAATAAATACAAGCGAATGCCACTTGTGTATAGCCAAGCAATGAAATGAAATTGCATCATTTAGTTGTTTTGTACCTATATGACTCTTCTGTGATACCAGGAACCAACGATTTTAAGTGGTGACGGAGGAAAGTCGGTAGAAAAGTGTTAAAATAAATATGGGGAGGTAATCAACTACTTAACTCAAGTTTGTAGTATGGTCAAGTACAGCGTACGAGTTCAGAATACCTAGGGACCTAGGCCTACATAGTAATACCCAGGGACCTAGGCCTACATAGTAATACCCAGGGACCTAGCGCTACATAATAATACCCAGGGACCTAGGCCTACATAATAATACCCAGGGACCTAAGCCTACATAGTAATACCCAGGGACCTAGGCCTACATAGTAATACCCAGGGACAGAAGCTTCCATAGTAATACCCAGGGACCTAGGCCTACATAGTGATACCCAGGGACCTAGGCCCCCATAGTAATACTCAGGGACAGAGGCCTCAATAGTAATACCCAGGGACAGAAGCCCCCATAGTGATATCAAGATAATGGGGCCTCTATAGTAATAACCAGGGACAGAGGCCTCAAAGTAATACCCAGGCACAGAGGCTTCCGTAGTAATAACCAGGGACAGAAGTCTCCATAGTAATAACCAGGGACAGAGGTCTCCATAGTTATACCCAGGGACAGAGGCCTCCATTGTAATAATCAGGGACAGAAGCCCCCATAGTAATAACCAGGGACAGAAGTCTCCATAGTAATAACCAGGGACAGAAGCCCCATAGTAATACCCCGGGGACAGAGGCCTCCATAGCTATACCCAGGGACAGAGGCCTCCATTGTAATAATCAGGGACAGAAACCCCCATAGTAATAACCAAGGACAGAGGCCTCCATAGTAATACACAGCGGCAGAGGCCTCCATAGTAATAACCAGGGACAGAAGCCCCCATAGTTATAACCAGGGACATAAGCCCCCATAGCAATGCTCAGGGACAGAGGCCTCCATAGTAATAACCAGGGACAGAGGCCTCCATAGTAATAACCAGGGACAGAGGCCTCCATAGTAATAACCAGGGACAGAGGCCTCCATAGTAATAACCAGGGACAGAGACCTCCATAGTAATAACCAGGGACAGAGGCCGACATTGTAATAACCCGAGATAGAAGACTCCATAGAAATACCCAGGGACAGAGTACTCCATAGTAATAACCAGGGATAGAGGCCTACATTGTAATAACCCGAGACAGAGGTCTCCATAGTAATTACCAGGGACAAAGGCCTTCATAGTAATATCCAGGGAGAGAGTTTATTTTACAAGTTGTAAGCTAAAAATACCCAGAGCTATAGGCCTCACAGTTTAGTGTACAAGTTGTAAGTTGAAACTACCCAAAACCATATGCCTCCGAAGTTTAGTCTATCGTGGAGTAGGCTGAAAACCCCCATAGAAATAGGCCTCCTCAGTTTAGTCCAACAGAGTGTAGGTGATCAATACTACCCAGGAACAGAGTCCTCCGCAGTTAAGTCAATAATAATGTAAACTGATGATACCCGGAGACAAAGGCCTCCACAGTTTAGTCTATTACGTTGTAAGGTAAAAATAACCAGTGAAAGAGGCTCCCGCACTTTAATGCAACAGACTGTGGAGTGATTACATCCGATGACAGGCATTCAAAATTTAGTCCATCATGGTGTAAGCTGACAATACCCAGAGACAGAGGCCTCCACAGTTTAGTGTATTATAGTGCAAGCTGACAATACCCACAGGACTTCACAGTTCAGTGTATTGTGGTGTAAGCTGACAATACAAATAGGCCTTCACAGTTGTTCATGTGGTGTAAGCTGACAATACCCAGAGACAGAGGCCTTCACAGTTTAGTGTATTGTGGTGTAAGCTGACAATACCAAGATACAGAGGCCTTCACAGTTAAGTGTTTTGTGGTGTAAGCTGACAATACCCAGAGACAGAGGCCTTCACAGTTTAGTGTATTATAGTGCAAGCTGACAATACCCAGAGACAGAGGCCTTCACAGTTTAGTGTAATGTGGTGTAAGCCGACAAGGACTGAGACTAGAAGAGTTCTGTCCATTGCATTGTAATTTGATCTTATTTCTCTGAGACTTTTTGGTCAATCGTATTGTATGCTGATAATACTTTTCTAAGACCAGCACAGTGTAGACTATCATAATGTAGGCTGAATATACCCAAGGAGAGAGACTAGAGCAGTTCAGACTATCGCAATGTACGCTGATAATAACTAGTCTAAGACAGGGGCCAGGACAGTTCAGTCTATCATGGTGTAGACTGATAATGTTAGTATTCTGAGACAGGACCAGGATGTAAGCTTACGATAGTCGGTGGCACATATCTTGTTCCCTATTGCATTAAGCTTGTAATACATAGAGACATTCGTTTATTTTACTTCACCCATCGTTCAGTATGCTTGTAATACCCGGAGACAGATACTTGCACTCTTCTGTCCATCGTGCTGTAAGCCGATGATATACGGAGAGAGACAGGTATTCACGCTCTTCTGTCCATCGTGCTGTAAGCTTGTAATACTCGGAGACAGATATTCACGCTCTTCTGTCCATCTTGCTGTAAGCTTGTAATACTCGGAGACAGATATTCACGCTCTTCTGTCCATCGTGCAGTAAGCTTGTAATATTCGGAGACAGATAATCACGCTCTTCTGTCCATCTTGCTGTAAGCTTGTAATACTCGGAGACAGATATTCACGCTCTTCTGTCCATCTTGCTGTAAGCTTGTAATACTCGGAGACAGATATTCACGCTTTTCTGTCCATCGTGCTGTAAGCTTGTAATACTCGGAGACAGATATTCACGCTCTTCTGTCCATCTTGCTGTAAGCTTGTAATACTCGGAGACAGATATTCACGCTCTTCTGTCCATCTTGCTGTAAGCTTGTAATACTCGGAGACAGATATTCACGCTCTTCTGTCCATCTTGCTGTAAGCTTGTAATACTCGGAGACAGATATTCACGCTCTTCTGTCCATTGTGCAGTAAGCTGATGATACTTTCAGTAGAAAGAGAGAGTGACGGACTATGTAATCTGTTAATCGAGGTTGATTATTAGCCAACGACAATGTTACGTGTGCATGTAAAACACGTGAGGAAGCCAAATTGCTCTACGTGACTAGGTAGATTAACTGACACAGATATACACTGTCAAGAGTTAAAGGTCAGAGAGATTTCCTTACATATAGAACCACGTTAATAAGTGTGATGATAGTGTGTCTTCTGCCATGTTCACACAGGTAAGGGAAACTTATGATGTTAAACCAGACTGAAATAATAAGTTTTTATCTAAATCTGTATACTTTTGAAAAAAAATGTGTAGTTTATTTATTCCCTAATGCATCAGTGCATTTATTGAATAGCTTATTGGTAGTGTATGCGTGATAGATTTTCACTGTTCTTAGTCGAAAACTGGATAAATGGACCTATAGAGCGTGTTAACCGCCCAGACCACTATGAAATATTAGGCGTGGTCCTCTGACCTCTGTACCTGTAATGGACAGGTAGAGTATAGATCCGGTGTGCTCGACAGGTAGAAGGTTGTGTATACACGTACTTTTATATACATATGTATGTGTGCATCAGCTTCCGTTACGTGAATACAATCAGCTGATCGTCGGGGACGTCCGGTCTTGTCGGTCGTATTTCTAAGTAAGTAATAAATATCCTTGTCTCGATCTATTTGGTACACAAGTCATAGTACGGATAAAGATGCAATTTTTTCATGTGTAGAAAATATAACGAGTTTGCCAGTCTTTGCGGAACTATAGATGGTCAACGGTATGTGTCAGGACATCTTAATACATTATTGCCATACAGTTTATTCTTTATGTCACGGTAGGTGCTTCATGTTTATCATATACATACAATTATACAAAAATCATAGCTTGCTTTTGTCTCTTGCAAAATCAAAAATAATAGCTCATTATATCAAATAGAATATTATATACGCAAAGATATTTTGCCTACCGAATATTATTTTTGCATATCCAAAATAGGACATTTGGAACGAACTCTTTCATATGTATTCGATATTTGAGACACTAACATTATAGTAATTCAAACATAAGATTTCTGTCTTGATTAATAAAACCTACCGTGTCATATGTATCAAAAACTGCCTTCTTTGTAATGTGCACAATGAAATTTTGAAGCTCATACTGGTGGCAAACAATATAATATTGTTTTTGTAGCCACAAATCTACATTTACATCCACCGAATCCAATGTTATGAATGCTATATTATTTACACCAGTTTGGACATGGTATACATAGCTTTCCTCATTCCATGTTTATAAACAAGTTCCCCATTGACAAAGATTGATGTGAAGTGGTTGTGGCTTTACTGAATCATAACATACGTATGTATTTAAAGGTAAAACGTTGGTGTAATCAATCTTGCAGTACGTAATGCTGTGAACTTACAATGTGTCAGTTCATTTTATATGCAATAAACTATACAAAATACTGTCAACAAATTCATGTTTACCATCCCATAAGAAAAAGCGACCGATCACATACACACAAGCAGATATAATTGTGTCTGATTTCCAGGTGGTTTTCATATAATATGGAGTCAAATTGGTCTTTATGAAAATAGACGAGCAGGCGATCCACCATTGCACAGGATTTCAGTTGTGTAGATTCACCATCAATGTTCAATAATGTTTTCTAACGAAATGATTTTGACTATTTCTTGATAATGTGATGGGTTTTGCTTCTAGATATGTTCAGGAAATAGCATATTGTTAAGGCTGTCTCGCAACCAGCTCAATTTACCACATCACATACTCTAAAAAGATTGAAGTTTAAATGTGAGCTTTCTAGATTTCTTTTTTGGCCTATCATGAGAGACAATCATCCGTAGCTCATTTCCAGATAGCTATGAACTAAGCGTGATGTGCCAACATATGAACTGTAGTCATTATGAATATCTTTAAGCTTATTTTAGATCGTTAAATCGTTTTACTGAAATCAATCTTCTTGGTGTGTTTGTGTGTCCTTTGTAGAAGGCACGGTTTGGCATTGATTACATAGCCTATATATTCATATTCGATTTGTTTTATCATTCTTTGCTAATTGTTGAACAGTTAAAAATTAATGGATTTGGTGTTTTTAGACTTAATGGATCGATTCCATTGTATAAAATGCTTGGTTAGTCTTGGACGATTCATGAAGTATGGAAGTAGATTACATACAAATATGACACATCCTACATCAAATTGAATTCCCAGGTAGTAATATGACATTGTCGTCATTCGTCTATTCAACCAATTACCAGTTTCAGTTCCTTACTTCAGTGGTGCAGGTGCGTGCATATGTTATCAAAATAAAGAGGTCTGGTTCCAATTAAACATTGTTTAGAGTTAACCACTGATTAGTGACATTTTTTAAATTTGAATTAAACAAACTTGGTAAAATTGTTTAATATTTTACTGCTGTAGTTTTGTTGAGACAGGTAAGGACAATATTTGTGAGAGTCAAAAATCCTTGTGTTTTCAGTGGTAACACCATAAATGTTTTGCTAACCACAGATTAACTCTTACCAAGCGTTGAACATCTGGGTTCTGATTGGTGAATAGTTCAAAAACTGAAAATGAAGCTGTTACAAATGTCGTGATTTCTTTCTTCGCGAATACCAGAGATTGTGGCAATATGTCTTGTCACATTTAAAACCTGACATTTGGAATGTCCTAGTTATATAACGTCACATCTGCATGCTCAAGGTTATCGAAAGGTTAACACTTGACTACCATATCATGAGAGCACTTGTCTAGAGATAACTGTTTTCGCTGAACTTAAATATTGTATGGTAGAATTTTGTAGAATGGTATTTTACGGATAAGGACGTTTGTTTATCAAGTTTGATTTTGGCACAGCTGAAGTTGTACTAGGAAAGAAGATTTTTTTATGAATCCTTTCGGACTTTCGGAAGATTGTTAATTACAATAAGTCCTCTGTAGTTTCAGGACTTTTGTCTTTGGTAACGGAGGTATTTATCTTCATTTCTAGTATTTAGCTTTACATTAATTTTTTCTTCTTTTCTTCTATTCATATTGCCAGCTTTCCTCTATAATTCATAAATCATCTTCGGAACTTGTCCCTGGAATCCACATGGGCATCCAGTTTAGTTCAGTTTGCATGCTATTGGTTTCGATTTAACTACCATGCTTGTGTTAAAAACTATATTCATTTCAAGAATCAAAATTAAGGAACAGTTACCGCCTGTTTGTCACACATCTCAAATTACATGTTACATAGTGTGTATTATACCTAATGTTTTCAAGTTCGATGATTCGATGAAGATTTTCGTGTAGAACGTTTTTGGTTGTCCTAACTAGTTTTAATGAATATCCTTTAAAATCACGTGGTCAGTCTCGCAGTGAACATGTAAACACATGTCCTCATTACTTGCCGATAACTTCGTGTTGGGTAATAGATGTGGCTTGACTCCAATTTGATCATATTACCTAAAGATGCATACATGTATGTAAGCTTTCCTATCGATGGCTATAAAGTGTTGGCGACATATTCCAATTCGAAGTAGTGGATCATGATCGCGATTGACCTTCAAACAGCTGATAGATACATAGACTCTGTATCAACACAACAATCACACCATCTACCCGACTCAGGATGTAGAAGTATTTCTAGCTATCTAGAATGAAGGACAATCAACACAAATATATTAGTAATAAATACAACGACATGATACTTGTACCTTAGTTTCTTTGATGTAATACTGTTGTTCGTTTGGTTTGTGACAATCCTCTGATATACGCCTAGCGTTTAATTACGACTTTTCACACTATTTAGTGTTTAGCGTATCACAGACATTTGTCACATTTGGATAACTGTTGGAAACTAGAATTCGCTGACACGCTATAACTTAGACTTTGATGGATAACCTGTAAATCATGACAATGAAGCGCATATGTCCAAACACCCTGAGGTTTACGTCTTAAATAAAGGTATTGTGGCAGGTCCTTGTTCAAGTGGTTACTGCTTAATGATAACAAAGGCGATGGCACACGTACAAGAGTGAAAAGAAATGTCTGTCCGTTATATGATGAACTCATCGTGATGTTTTGATTAAATGAAGATTAGACTCATCGACAATCTTTCTGAAATCTGATATTCAATTCTGCTGATCAATCTTCTCCAACACACAGTATAACATATATAAGACAATCTATCTAATACCTTGTACCCGACAAGTATACAGTTCATCACCCATAATTCCTATCGATTTAAGATTTGTTAGTCGTTTCGACATCAAGCTATTTAACTGGTATATGCTCCACCAGAGCGGTTCGAACAATGTAGGTCAAACGAGGATTTCGCTTCAGTATACCTGGTTTAACTCGAGGTCAATAAAAAACCATTAAAATATTCATTGCTTAGTTTGTACAAGTTTATACAAAACACATATGTCATATCACACGGATACAGTTTACCTTGGTTTCTTATGGTGAAAATATGCATATGATTCATTTAGAAAGTGGTGTATAATTCTCGCATCGCGTTCAAAGTGTACGAATATGTTGTTACGTCCTAAAAATTCACGGTTGTTATTCATTTCAGTATAGAGTATACTAATCTCTAAAACCGTTCTCCTTATATTCTTTTATACAACCTTGTAAGAAGACATTGTATTTGTAAACTGTATAGATCCTGTTCGCCCCAATGTGTGTACATCGCATAGCTTGTGTTCTCTTTAGTATACATCTTAGTGTATAATATTAAGTAAACATGGTTTGTGACCCGTAATAAGAAAGATTAGGATAAGATTTCTCAATTTCGTATGAATACCGTATTTGGGTAGTAAATTAACAGCAACACTTTAATAAATTGTGTTAAAACAGAATTAATTTAATCATAGCAGTGTCCGTGATTTGCACGAGATGGTATATATTTGTAAGAATAAATCTTTGAAATGTGTTGAAATGAGAATCAAGACCTGATGTGAATATTGGGCAAAGCCTTCATGGCGTTATTCTTTCTTCAACATTTCCTTACTCCGGGTTTTCAACTTTTTAAATGGACTTCAGTGTAAGACTATATGTTTGATAACCTTATGAAAGTACTTTCAGCGTTATACAAGCTATAATTCCTCTGGTATTGGGCATATAAAAATCTCGGTAAACATTGCTGTAGTGTATAGACAAATACAATATCGGTAGATGTCGTTAGTTCTTTCCAGTGTTACGTTTACTGACCGACCATGACCTTGAAATGAGATGCCTTACCTGGTGATTTTGCTATAGATGTGTAAAGGATGGACATTATATCCTAGGCAGCTGTGTATGTATTTAAATGTTATAGTGTATGAGATATATGGTAAATAAATGGAATTCTTAGTGAAGCTTGTGCATCAATATAATGGGTATCGACCAGCTGACCAGGTGGTGAGATGTAAGTGGGAAGAACATCCGTAAATTGTCACCGTTACCTGTAACAACTGGTGTCGTTAATGGCATGGTGTTAGTCTAATACGCTTCCAGGCTGAAGTACAGAGCTTCGTCGTTGGGGAGAGTGATACGACCTAACGACACCTCATCTTCATCTGTTATACATATCATATCTAAATGTTTTCCAGGCAGATGTCAAACATCCCCATAGTACCAGTGGAATCTTTATCCGACCTGCTGCGTGATTCCAACTTCACGCCAAGACCATGACACTGCGTACTCTAACATACGGGGTCAAGTGACGTGAATATGGCGGGAGAGAAAAGTGAAACCTGTGATTCGCCTTCCTCGATATTGCAGATTGCTCCTGTAACACCCCTTCTTTGCACAGACGAGAAGTCGTCGGATCACGAGTTATCCCCCATGACAGACACTGTTCCTCCTCCAGATGGCGGATGGGGGTGGATGGTTGTTTTGGGCAGTTTTTTGGCTCATCTTATCATAGGTTAGTAAGCAATTAAAATGTCATTATTATATAACTATTTATGATAACCTGAATTCGCTAGATTTCGCTCTTCATAGATAAATACATGCACCTTGATAATATTTTGATATTATGAAGCATATTGTTTCTCATTATTTTTGTATTACAAAGTAATTTTTCAGCCTTTTTGCATAATGTTTCGGCCATCTTATCAAGTACTGTGTGTATACAATGCATTGAGATCATTTCGGTCATGAAGCATACGTATTGGGTAGAGGTCACGTGGTCACACACCATTGCCTTAACGACAGGACGTCAGCTGTATTACCATGCTAAAACTAAAATTGTATTGTGAATACTAAATTTCTGTAACGCATGCTTCATCTGTTGCGATAATAAAGATAATAAAGTCTGAATAAGCATTGTTGTAGCGATAGAGATATATATTCAGGGTTATATAGGGACGTATATATACGTCCCTGATGTGAGTAAACGAATATGACAAACTGCCAGTTATAATGTATGTAGTTTATAATCGATAGAATTGTGGTAGGTAGCCATCAAAGGAAGTCACCATAAATTTTCCCCATATACTTGTTTTCAATTCATAAGAGTCCTGAACAACTTATTGTCATTATCAACAAAACAAATCACACTTATTGCACTTTCAAAACCACATGGCACCCTTATTGTCACCATGAACTCTATATAACACCCTTATTGTCACCATTAACTCAATATATCGCCCATATTGTCACCATCAACTCGATATAACACCTTTTTTCCTCCGTTAACTCGACATATCATCTATATTTCCCCCCATCAATCCGCCACTCATGATGTGATTCATGTGGGCTCCAATTGTCACTTGTGGTTTGTGTAATGTGAACCCCACATTTCACTCGTCGCGTGATTCCTGTTTACCCCTCATTTCACATATTGCATAGTTCAAATGAGCCCCACTTTCACTCGTAGTGTGGTTCATCTAGATCCACATTTCACTTGTGGCATTGTTCATGTGAACCCCACATTTCGCACGTAGTGTGATTCGTGTAAACCCCATATTGCGTAATATTATCATCTCAGATCCCACATTACATTTGGGTTGTCAAAGGTCAAATGTTACACTCATTGTGCACCCTTGGCAAGCCCTAGTGAATCTCACATTGTACCCGTGGTATGTCCCTGTTAATACCATAATCTTTTGCTACCAGCGCCAAATCGAAATATAGGTAATTATACCCAAATATATTTGCCACGACATGTCAACTCCACATTGCATCAGCGATAATTCAAGCCTCTGTGAACCAGATATTACACGCGGTTGCTTATGTCATCGATGGTAGTGTGACCTTTTCATACCTGTATTCTGTGTATGTGTGCTAGGCGTGTTCCAGTCGGTATATCAGGAGCTGCAATAATCACATGCACTCGATATTGATAAGATCGTCACCGCCATCTGTTACTTCGTGTGGTCACCATGGCAATATATGGTCATATAACTTGTAGATCGTAACTAGATTGAAAAAAATCCAATTTTAAATATGCACGCTAACGACTCGGTATCACGTGTAACACTTTCGTTGCCTAGGAACGTAGCTCTGTCGAGTCTCCGTATACTTCAGTCTCCAAAAACGATACGATTTAGTCTTTAACGTCAATAATTCATAAGTAATGGATTAGTGATGTAATGTAAATGTAAGTCAAATATTAGATAAGCAGTAGGTTCATGTCTATAATATTTAGTGCTTCAAGTACAGTCAGTGTACAGGGAAATCAAGCGGCTGAATTGTTCTCCACGTAAGTTCAAGGTATATCACAATAAGGGACTAAACACGTGACCATGAATAGATATAGCTGTTACAAGATCACGGCCGCATTTAGCTCTTCTCTCCTTCCACCACATCCATACTTGATTTCTTAAAAATGTTTTTAGTCGGAAAAGAACAGCATCTCCCTATATGGCTACTTCAGACTTTCATCTATTCTGGCATTTTATTGTGTTAAATACGAGTTATCCTAGCTTTTTCAACTAAAATTGAAGTCAACCTTTTGATGTTTTTTAGCATTAAAGAAAAAAGTGAAATAAAAGAAGAGGTAGTGTCTCCCATTTATATTTTTTCTTTATCAGGGCCACCGTGAAAATGAAAATTGTGTAACCCATCGTATCGTGGTAGCTAATAGTTTAATGAAATTGGTGTTCAGGATTATCGCGTTTCAGACCCCTCCTCATTAAATATGGCAGAGTATTAGGCTCAGAATGTTAAAAAGTTTGTTTACAGCGAAGGTTCAACCAACATCAACCAGCCGCATTAACCCTGCCAGATTAAAAGGCCTCATTAAACCTAGGGAATCCGAGTTCATTGGTGCGTTATCTAAATGATACACCTAGATGTTGGATTGCAACACCTTTACTAGCAATACACTGGAAGTTTTCGAAACATATTTTTTGACATGGAAGCATTTAAATAATCAGAAAAAACATTATGTCAAATTAAATAGGACACTAACAAACATATGATTAAATCGAGGATTTTTTAGACGAAAAAAAAATAAATATCTTTTCCAAATCAGGGTTAACTTTCAAATTTCAAATGTATGAATTCCATTACTTTAATCGGGATATTTGAAAAAGAGTTATCGGCAAGTCAGTATTCAGGGTGTCTCGGTCATCTTTTGGGAGAACATCCTATATCTTTGCTCGGCATTAGTTTTGTTAAGATACACCTGTAGATAAGGTTTTTCTACGGTGGTTGATTTGTGCCATTTCGTTATTTCGTCTTTTCAGCGGCCGCGAAATGACGAGAATTAAAAATCTACATTTTTGTTCTTTGGTCTTTTCGCCCAGAAAAGACGAGAATTGGGGTTTTTTAAATTTCGTTTTTCGAGAAAAACACGAAAAGACGAAAATATGACATTTTAAAACTTGATCTACGAAAAAATAAGGTCACTAATTAGCGTGCATTTATTTCGAATTTTCGCGTACAATTGTTCGTCTTTTCAGGGTGAAAAACGAGAATTAAAGTTTGTTTATTCTCGTCTTTTCGGGGCGAAAAGAGGAAAGAATGCTAATTCATATTTTTAATTCTCGTCATGTCGCGTCGAAATGGCGAAATAACGAAATGGCACAAATCAGCCACCGTATTTTTCTGATATTAGCATGTGCTGAAGATAACTTTCGCTTTGAGAACTCTTAGTTTTTCGTTGATGAAGATTTAATTATTTTGAATCAACACATATCCCTGAACACAGCAAGCGGGTGTCCGTTTTTGACGTATAGATGTGTAGTACTGTACAGCAGCGTCCATCCGGACTAAAGGCATTCACTTTGCGTTACAGTAGGTATATGGCCTACACAGGTTTGAACCTCACTTTGTAGTGAACTCCGTATTCCACGACAAGTTTCAGAATTTAACGTATTGCATCAATAATGTTTCTGTTGATTTGTATTGTTATGCTATAGACACGTTCTGAGAACCTGTTTATCATCTAGGAGGATTTATGCGATCTGGAGGCGTAATATTCATTGAACTTCAGCACAAATTTCACCAGTCAGCCTCAGATACAGCATGGGCGGTATCCCTTCACACAAGTCTCCGTCTTCTATTCGGTGAGTTGCTGAATATGTAGTTCCAGTTCTAATATCAAAGGAGAGTGTGTCCTCTTGAAGAGCATTTGCGAAGTTCGAAATGTGAAGATTTTGGGCCCGTTTTGTTCATGTGGGATTTAAATTCATATAGAACAACTTAATTTGAAGTCTTATACCGAATTTCCTATCGACACAAATTGATTCTTAACCGCGAGTTTTTGAGGATTTTATAAAGCATTCTAAGTGTTGTAAGTGTATCGTAATCAACCAATGTATGGCATATGATAAATCGGGAGGGGGTGGGGGTGGGGCGCTCAAGAGTATCAACCGTACAGAAATACACAATTAATGGTTATTTGTAAACACGTTTTATGCTGTATTGGTTTGGCAACGATTGCTTTGATCTACAGGTCCACTTGCCAGCATGTTGTGTAACCGGTTTTCCTGTCGGACTGTGACCATCATGGGAAGTCTTATGTCAGCGGTCTCTGTCCTCATCAGTGGATTTGTTAATAATCTGTTCATTCTTTATCTAACTAATGGTCTACTGCTCGGTAAGTATTCCTTGTCGTTTAAAATATTTGATAAATATTGGCAATAGATAAATTATGTCTTAATTGAATAACAAACCGCAACCATATCGAACCATTAATCCATAATCAATATTGATCACTGGTTTCCGTGTCGCGAGATTGATTTGTAGGGTCTACTTGCACAACCGTCCATTGTTCCTCGAACTGGGACATATGCAAGCAGGCAACCCTTTGTTGCTTTAATAGATATAAATTTGCATAAGATTAAGATCCTTCAGGCAGCAGCGTTACATTTTACGTGTGTGTGAATGTAACCGAATATCAATACGGTAGTAGTAACATAGGTGTATGTGACATAAGACCACACTCTTACTTCCTGGTCAATGAATAAAAGTACAGAACGAAACATCATGCCAGTCATTAAAAAAATTTTGACACATCTATGACAGATTTTTACTTATATACTTGTAAATATTGATATGATGTACGGTATCTTTTTCGATAATGAATGATATTCCACACTTTATTTTAGTAGGATAAATACATTCAAAAGAAATTTTCTCTCTTAAATACATGTTATGAGGTACGTTTCGACTCACTACAAAATGGTATATCATCAAGGTATTTTCAAAATTTACTTTCTCTTCGGTAAAACAAAGAGGGAAGTCAAATGTGGACTGAGGTCAAGTGCGTGTTGTTGTAATGGAAAGTTATGGCTATATCACAGCGAACTGAAATTCAGCTATGTTTACCGAGTTGATTTTTTATACCTCAGAACAAAGAAAACGTAAAGAAATTCGTAGAAATATAGCGACTGGTGACAGTTCCTCCACAGCATGGACGTCTGCAATTTCTCTTCTTTTCGATATTGAAAATAATTAAACTGAATACAAAATTTCATTTACAGGTATAGGCCAGGCTCTTATTTATACCACATCTGTTGCCATAGTTGGACTTTATTTCCACGCGCGGAGGGGCACGGCTGTTGGTATTGCTAACGCCGGGGTTGGGGCTGGAACCTTTTTATTTCCACCCCTCCTTGAGATAATGTTTGGACAGTACGGGTTTATGGGTACCTTCCTCATCATGGCTGGTCTGTTTCTCAATGGTGTGGTGTGCGGCGCCCTCTACCGGCCTCTCCATGTTGAAGATGACGAGCTTGTAGTTGAGTACAGGTATATTGGTACATTGGTTTTATAATTCATTTTGTTGGTATTGATGAATAAGACGATCATTCGTTTCAATGCACTTAATATCTTCAGGGCATCTATTTAACATTACTTTTTATCTATTTGAAATATTGCATTTATTTTCACACCCAAAACACTTTTTTATTAGAAAAAGATAAAAAAAAAATTAAATGTATTTTTCTATGATATCTATTCAGTTGACATTTTTACGTGTGTCTTCACCATCTTACATGTTTCATATTCCTGCCCAGACCATAAGCCATATTAGAAAAAAATTCCCATGATTATCTGTAAAGTTGTGCAAATGACTTGGCCGCATCGTTCAACCACATGTAAAAGAATTTCAAGTTTATTTTGGCAATGCCGTTGACTAGAGATCTGTTATATTACAAAGTCAGAAATCCGAGGTTAATGCCATGGCTTCAGAGCTTGAATGTAAAAGGATGTTTGTCTTGTTTCCTTATCTCAGACTATACAATGAAGTTTTATCAGCATTCCTGAAACATGACTAAATATTGAATAAAAAGGCCTGAGTTTTGACACGATTTTTGTAAAATTGGTTTGTCTACGAACGATTGATTTAAATTGCATACCAACTCAAAAAATCCTCCATAAAGCTGGCTCTGAAGACTGGTTAAATGTCAAGGTCATATGTTAAAAAAAACCAACAAAATCCAGAACTTTGCATAAACACTTCACCACAATATTTTATAGACGTATCATGTTAACGATATTATCAACTATGCTGTTTTAAGATAAGTTTTGAAATAACTCCTCGCCCATGGCACTAGACATCGGACACTTTGTGTTTTCTCCGCATAATACACTCGTAGTCTGATTGTTTGTTTACAGTGTAATTTTGTTATTATCAGTAAACAGCAACATGGTGGTCACAATGTAACGGACAGTGGAAGTGTCGTCTTGGTTCACTTTTCGCGAGAGGATCTGCGTGCACTGTCGCACTCCAGTTTGTGCTATGATATAAACATACTTGGAAGCCTTCAACACCTTAACAAACCCGCCAAAGTTAATGTTATACCTGTTCCCGCCAGGCCACTGGGCTCATCCTATGATGCCATGTCACATCACGGTAGGGTTAGAGCAGATAGCGATTCCTGCAGTCCGCGAGCAAAGCCTTTGTTAGGGTCTGATTTTGATATGACAAAAGAGCGGATAAGATCCGGAAGTGATATGACACCAATTAAAAAGCAAGCATTCATTAACAGCATGAACGCCAAATCGGCCATGTTGCAGGTCACAGACGTTAAACGATGTGAAAGTGACACTTTATCAAAAACGGAAACAGATGACGAATCGGAAGAAGATAAGAAAGAGAAGAAAATGCTCGATTTGTCTCCTCTAAAGAACATCCGGTTTGCTACCCTGGGAGTAGGGATAGGCCTCCTAACATTGTCATTCCAGTCTTCCTTTGTGTTCTTGCCCCCGCTGGTGCTACAAAGGGGACTCTCAGAGAGTCAGGGAGCTTTTCTAGTCTCTATTACGGGTGCCATGGAAACATTTGGCAGCGTGACGTCTGGATTTTTGGTTGACCTTGACATTGTCCGACCACATCGTCTCACCATCTATAACGCTGCCATGGTGCTACTTGGCGTATTGACTTTGGTGATGCCCTTCTTAGATTTTTTCATCTTGCTAGCGTTTGTGTGCGGGGTGTATGGATGTGTATTAGGTATGTGTCTAGCACAAAAAGCAACACTCGTGGTGGACATTACTGGGGTAGACAATCTTGTGAGTTCATTCGGAATCCTCGTCTGTTTTCAGGGTATCGGAACACTAATTGGACCGCCTTTAGCAGGCAAGTAATCTTGAATTTTATATATACTAAGCTATGGAAGAGTTACAGTACCTTAAATCCATGCGAGCTCAAAATGGCCACAAATCTACCTTTGTTAAAGAATAACATAAAAGTTTCACATGTTTTTTTTTTTTAATGCAGAATGTATATTTTAAACCTAGAGACAGTTGTCAATACTCCTTTTTTTATCTTATTCCCTCTGAATGTTATGCTTATTTTCACAAACCGAATTTGTGGCCAAAGTAAGTTCACCATTACTATTGCTAGAATGCTAGCGTCATTAATGTGCAGACTTTACCTCTTTACCTATCAATTTTGATGACATTGATACCAAGCTATATGAAACTTTATTGCTACAGGTTTATGTTTTAAAACTTTTGGTTATGGTGAAGGCCATTGTTACTATCAATGAAATATTAAACATATATAACAGAGATCACACCATTTCTTATTGTCATGAATAATTCTTCTTGTTTTGTTTTCAGCTGTCATAATTGAATATTTAATGCTTCATCTATTCATGAAATTTTCTGACATATTCACCGCTGAAGAATATGTTCTGAATATTCACAGGTGCCATTAAAGACATAACGGGGAGGTACCAGGATGGTTTCCTAGTAGGAGGTGTTATCCTTGTATGTGCTGGGTTGATTCAGGCTGGTGGTCTTCTCTATCATCGTCTCTCACACTCTCGGCAGGACAAAGATAGCTAACAAAACCTGGCCATTGCAACACACGGGATGGAACGAAGAAAACACTGGATGAGATGTTACCTGATGTCTTGGCTCTATTATCATAGAGTATACATTATATTCTACAAGCCTTTTGTATTCAGCTATTATTGTATTTTGAGCTGTCACTTACGTAATCCTTCACGACAGGCACAAGCAGCGTGCTTATACATTCCATCCGTGATCTTCAATGAGCTCCCTTAATAGTTGTTTGGTTACATAAAATTCCAGCTTCTAAATAAGTCGTATTCAATTATCCTGATAAGACATCGGAATTTAGAGTTAAGGGTTTTAAAAAAAATCTTTAAAGTTATTAACGGTTTCAAATTAAAACAAAATACTTTCACATATCTGCTTGAAAATCAGAACATTTTCGAATCTCTATTGCTACTAACGATATTTATACAGACCTGTTTGATGAGTACTTTATACAGGGATATTTTCGACGCAGTTTTACATTCGTACATTGTGCCTTTTTATCAGTAAGACGAAGATGAAACGTCAATTAACGTTTAAAGTGATGGAAGAAATGTGCCATTATGCTTTCAGGACAAATTTGACACTGGACGAAAGACAATGTTTTATCGTAGGGCGAAAATAACACGAGGTGAATATACAGTACTGCATTTAAGATGCAATCAACACATTTGCGCGTGAACCGTGAAAGAAGAAGACATTTGCTATAAACAAATGTTGGAAAAATCAGAAAGATAATAATCTAGGACTGATTAAGTGTGAGTCAAACATTTTATATTTCCTTACCTCGCCCATAACAGAATTAATTGTCCGTCACGAAAGACGAGAAGATATCAATTGCGTCCATTTACTACAAATAGATACATTGTATAGTGTCTACCTCATTTTGTACTGAGCAGTGTGTTTAAGTGTGTTCAAAATATTTAAAAAATCATAAATTTTTTTGAAGTATTATAATCACGTCGCCAGCATGCCTGCCACTGCGATCACATGTTGTGTTGATGAGAATAGTTGATAAGAGGTGGATTTTTGTTAAACAACCGGGGAAAGATTTTGAATGAATGTTTAAACAATCAAATATCAAGGTTACTAAAACTCATGAACTTAATTCTTAATTTTGACAAAAAAGAAGTATAGCAGTATTTGTTTGTTGCACGACACGGTTCATATATAAGCGATATTAGCTGAAGGTCAGGGACATCGTCCCTAAAACAAAATTATGAAATATAGTCGAAATTAATGATGTAATGCAATGAAAATGATTTGAGCTAGATGGAATACTGACCTGCTTGGTTAAAGAAAAAGGTTCTTACTATCACAACTATTTTTGACATGTGAGTGTGCATTTGGACAAACCTCGGAAAAGATCGAACGTGATAAATCCACTGTTAGCGTAAACATCACTTTAGTTGGCGTGGTCATCGATCTAGTGGACGCATGAATTGGACTTATTTGACGTAATAGAAATTGTTGGGGTTTTTTTTTTAGTTATTTTTAACCTCGTTTTATACATTCCTTTATATTACATGCACATGGAGTAATTATTGATGCTATCGAAGTCAAACTTTAAGGGGAACTCTCGCGTCAAAAACGTGAGAAATATTTTTCGTATTCTATGCAATATACATGTGTTATAACACGATATGGGAGATATTAATATTTCATGTTAAGATGAGGTATATCACACTGTTTTCGGGAATTCATTTACTCATTTGATCTATCGCGATTAAGTTTGTGTCTGTCATGGTATGAGAAGTCAATGGTATTTGTTGTAATATATCCAAATCATGACCAGCCAATCAGAACAGGAAAAGCTGTCAGCGTGGTAACTAATCACTGACATTGATAATTCCAACGTTGTTATACAACACAGTGAGAACATTGAGTTTTATGCATCAGTGAAAATAATTGCCGATGTTGAATTTGTATTTCAGTCTAATCATGGCGGACATTTAATTATATCGAAATGTCAATGCCAGAATATATTTTCAAAATTATTGCATACTTAAAAGGTGCCAATACTTGTTTCATGTCTTTCGGGTCACGATATCTGTATATGATTCTTCCGTTAGTACGAAACCGCTCTATTTTCAAATAGATATTTCAGTAGAGCGGTTTAGCATTGGTTGATAGGCAATAACATATGTTTGTAGCTAATATGAATTAAACCCCAAGGGTTCGCTGAAGGCAGTTTTCTTTAGAACTTAGATTGTAGGTGAGACTTGATCGACAAGGGCCGCACATAGGACTTTCGCACTCAATGATTTGTAAAAGGTGTGTTCGTTGTAAACCATCGTCGGTAGCTAGTAGATGTTCTATTATTATCGTTATTGTTAAGTTTATATACAAAATGTGTGATTAATGAATTTTTGATTTATTGCTGGTAACAATCTTGTATCCCATCCTATAAAGTTTACAGGTCAAAGTTGATCCGATATTCAAGGGTTTATTCCAAATATAACATTTTCCGTACAGGATGTTGACAGCTGACAGATATAATTTCTGGTTGTAGCAATGATCTTCTTCCGAATATTAGACTTCTTTGTGCGACATGAAGTTGGACGTGTTTGATGCTCGTTGATATGCTTGGTGCCCAAATAACTAATTTTGAATTATCTAGTTGCGGCTGTCATAGATAAAGCCCCTTCGCAGCTCATATTCTTATTCTCCTGGAAACTTTTCCTTGATTTCCACGTAAACCTTTCTTTAGTTCATATTTTACCCTCGTGCCATCGAAACTGATTTTGAAATAAGATTCAGTCGATATTTTAGTGTTGTCGTTGTTGCTTTTAAACTACTGTCCGAAATATCATTGGTATTTTTTTCATTTTTCTAAACAATATGCATTTACATGTTTCCTTGAAGTCCTGACATTTTTGTTGTTGTCGTCGTTGTTTAGATATTATTCATTTCACTTTTTTTCCGTTTAAGTGCTGTCATTATTTCATAGCATCCTTATGAGTCATTGTTCGTTTGAGGTTTATTGGTACAAACTGACAAAAACAAAAGATTAGTCGTAATAAAGAGTTTTTTTTTCCAGACGACACCGGCAATATACTTTCATTTTTAGTCGTGTTGTAAACAATACATTTTTTCTACAAAGAAAAGTTCCTATTTTGATACTGCCGATCTGTTAAGACTCTGATTTATGTGATGATAGCATATGCGAGGTTTTTTTGGTACATGTATGTTTATATTGTATTGTTATTCGGATGTTAACCAGGTGCCGTTAAAATGCTATTTATATGTTTATATATCTTATAAAGGAGCGATAATTGACGCAAGATGACGAATAAAATAATAGATAAATATTTATTGATTAGTGGTTTTTTTTCTCTGTTGAATTGGTGACCTTATGACCCGACTTCATGCCAATTTATACTTTATCTGTGGCACGGTTTAGAATATACAGATATATATGAGGTTATGATAAAATCATCCTGAAATAACAGCTTTGAACTTTATCGAATTTTTTACAAAATATTTTGGTAATTTGTGATTTTCCAACACGCAAGTTCCAGTCATTAATAGTGAGTACAAGAAGAACGAAACAGCTCCAGCATACAATATATTTATTTTGCTGCGTTTTATATCTCGTAATGAAATGTGTTTTTTACTTATGTGTCTTAAAGAATCTTTTGTTAAGATGGTAATAGAGCACGATATTTCGTTTGTTCATTATCCCGTAGTCAACGAATTGAAATGGGCTCTGCCATTCCGTTCGTTTGGCTAATCATGAATTGCAAACCCATATTCAGGAAACTAAACTGTCGATACGGTGTAAGGTGCATAATGTAGTTGTCGAATTAGACCTACAGTTCACGGTTTTGTGATTTAGTTCTAAATTCAAGCTTTGTAGGACAGTGAGATCCATGTCTGGTATTTTCTTTCTACTTGCGTAATACTTGCAGGCGTGATGCAACAAGAATCCATGTTGTGTATGACCAACGGATTTTCGTTCAGTAACTTCTGGTACAGAAGAATTGTACAATTAAACCCTAAATTGTTAGCGTTATTTCCATGAATATTGCATAGCTGATTAAACTGGGACTGTTTAACAAAATGTATGTTGCGGATGTTTGGTTCTATAACTGTAAATATGTTTGTGCGCATACTAATACGATTAGTGTAAACATGGCTTGCTTTACACAATAACCGCAATATTGCTCTGTGTTAGTGTGCGAAAATGTTATGAGGTGTTTCCGAAAACTACTTCCCGATGCAAAAAGAAAACCTCCCGATGCGTTACATTTCTATTATCCTAATACACAGCTGAACCTATGCCACTGCATGTAAACTGTCGTTTGCTATTTTTTGTTGGTTTCTGTCCTAAATCGTGACATCCCTACCTAACTATACATTTACCCGAAGTCTCGTGTCAATCTAACGATATTTTATACATGTTTATAAAGCCTGTCAATGAATCATCATTAAGACGTAGTTGCAGTCCAACAGAATTGATATTCCAACGGTAAGAAGCAAGTATTCTGATTTTTTTAGACAAAAGATATCAATACACCATGGTACCTAAAGTTGATTTATCACATTCTTTATCAGAATGAAGTTAAAAGTGGAGCTATGGATAAATCCTTTAATAAAGTTGAATTAGCATGCGATGATCAATTGCTTTACTCTTTAATTACATTGTTCTTGTTCTTTCTGAGCAGAATTCAGAAAATCTTCGTTTAACCCGAATCCTTTAAATAAGTGTTTATCCTATCAAATACACCTTTCGACTATGACGGCACTGTAAATAACCATTTGTATGACACGCTGGCAATATCATTTAAATATCCGTACCTACGAGTTGGAGCCGCACATGGATCAAGAAAGAATAACGACAGGTAGAGAGCAATAACAGTCAGTGTTGTGGATGTGCCAACAGTAGCTGTAGGCAATGTCATAACATCAACAGCGTGTTCATACGATACGCTTTTGTTTTATTGTTAGACGAAATAATCGCCAAAAAGTTCAGTAATCAGAAAAGTTGAAAATGGTATTCGGTAATACACTGAATTATCTTGTAATAAAGGTATGAATATCGCGAACTTCTCGATAGTTCAAAGCGACGGCTCAGGCTTTAACTGGTCTGTGAATAACATATGTAAACGGACATGGAGTAGGTGAGAAAATGATTATTATTCAGCATTTGATTGTTAGTGTTGACAGAAGCTGTTGACCACAACGACGAAACCTAGTCTGCCACCACTACGACGAAACATAGTCTGCCACCACTACGACGAAACCTAGTCTGCCACCACTACGACGAAACCTAGTCTGCGACCACTACGACGAAACCTAGTCTGCGACCACTACGACGAAACCTAGTCTGCCACCACTACGACGAAACCTATTCTGCCAATAGTAAGAACAGGATCACCGACAAAATAAACCATCGCAATTATCGCAAACTTTCTTCAACTCCGCGCTTCTTTCAACTATAATGTTGGCATTTTTGACACTTTCACATTTTGATATGACCATCGTATAAGCTATGGTTAGGTGTCATCTATATCGCTGGATATGCTTTAATTGGAGCAGTCTAGGCTTTTAATGATGGCATACTTCACGTAGTTGCTTTAGATTACGCCTGGATTAACAACAAATTATGAGAATAAATTCGTCTGTTCTCCGGTCGACCATACTCGTTTTCAGAACATATCACCCACGTTTGTAGCGAAGTTTATTAATATTTTCATAATAATACCATCAGAATGTTGTATTCTAGAGGAACAGGGACAGTATCAGCTATTGCTATAAAAGCACAAGATAATGTACAAGTGACCATACATTTAAGATGAATAAATTACCTTGTAATTTTATTATAGACATAGTCACAAAATTGAACAACATGTATTACATAACATAAACATGCGGAACACAACACTTTGACATTTAACTCAAATCAGACACGTTTTTCAATAAATGCACACTCACGTGACATATAACAGCGTATCAAGAGGATTACGACATGAATACGAAGAAAATTCAACCATTTCAAGAAAATGTGACTGAACAATACATTTTTATCTTTTATGATTGAATGGAAGTAAATTGCCGACAACAATGCGAACATGGTGTCATGTCAATGAAATGGTAAACCTGGTTCAAAAGTGATAAAACAAGGACCTAGTTTGACTACTGGAAGTTGCACTAAAGACACATAAGTCAATAACAGGTTAAAGCAGTTAAAAGCGACTTTGGAAATTCCAGTGCAATCGGAAGAAATGTCAATGTCAGTGCACTAGCCCCATAACTCAAGAAATTCCGTCATTTCCATATATAATTTTACACGAACTTCAAGTAAATGCGCTTATTCTGAACCATGTCCCTATTTGAAATATATTACGACAAACCTCGGGAACTAAAAGTACACGAGCGGTTTCTACAACTTATTATCTCCAAGGTTGTACAAAATACACAAAAACCTATCTTAACGATTCAAGTATAGGTCTACAATATCTCCTGTAAATGTCCTGGGTTAAAACTTTCGCGATTTTCATTTAAATCGAAATTTCGTGCTCTGGATATAAAAGGATATCTTATACACACGTATTATTTCATTATTTCACGTGTTTAATTTTTTTTTTGCGATCTCTTTAATTTACCGCGAAATAGCGAAAATATCTTTCCCGCGAAAATAACCAGGTACACGGTAAGATTTAGTGTATGCATATTTCTAAAGTCAAATCACAACTGTGTACCATACAAACAGTAAGATAAGTAACCTGAAACTATAAATGACAAAATTTAGCAAATAAATCACAGGTTTTACGATTTGTACATTTTTTTTATATGTGATCTAGACTGCATGGCTTGTCTGCAGCAACTTGTGTCTCTCGAAACTGATCTTAGTCTTCCGTCAGCTGTCGTCAAATATTACGAAATTCGTGACAAGCACATCCTGGACTATCGATTTTGTTTATGAACTGTATAGAAATAGGAGATCTTAAATTTACATCATAGTTGCAAGCTAAGATCAAGGTCAGTGGTTAATGTAAAAGGGTGTGTCTTTTATATAATTTTAAGTTCTTGAGGGTCTGTAATTTAAAGGCAATATGAATATGTTATTCGGTCAGACAACTTTGCAAGAAAACCAATAACGTAAGATGACATGGCAGTCCAAAACGAGTTTTAAGAATACTATGGTATCAAAGGCAAATTGGTCATAGACGGGTGACAGTACAATTAGGTAATATTGGGTAGGAACATTTTGCCACAAAGTCAGGCAAGGGTATTGCTGCTCAGAAGAAAGGCCACTACTTTGCCAAAGATTTTTCTTTTTTCGGAACACGCTATTGCATACTTTACTAATATATTCATGCATGTCTTTCTTCGTATTATAAAAATCTGCATATGTGGGTTCGATTAGTTTGGAATAGAATATTGTAATGCTTAACTTGAAAAAAGGCGAATCCTTCTGATAGATAGAAACGTTTTCACAATCAAATGTGTAAAATTGATCATTCGTTAATTCAATCTCTAGAGTATTGCCATTGTAGTAAGGCAATACAAATGCAAATAGTGTTTCTATGGTCACCAAGCAAGCGTGGATCTATCTCTGAACAGGATAAAATAAGGATAAAATATCAGATGCCTTACCTACAAAAACATCTACAGACATGTTAATCCTTTATTGAGGTCTTCACGTCTGCACCGAGAACACAAACCTATGTTTTATTTCCCTTTTGTCTAATTTTTCTGAACTAAAAGATTTGATGAAGACTTTGAATCCTTTTTGAAATGACGGGACACATTTATTTTGGAACGTACGGCGGCACACATGTATTAACTATAATTTACAGACTGCTTGAGCACATAGAATATCGATGTGTTCATGCTTATATAGGAATTGTTTGAGCTTGATCACCATTTACTTTCGTCTCAAGGGTAAAAAAGAAAATACCAAATCTCTTATGTACTTACATGATAGTAACACTGTCATTTCTTGATACTTTACAAAATAACAAAGTATAAACTGTTTTTAATAAGGCCTTGGTTGTCAGGGTTATCGTATCCCTCTGGCAGATTACGTAGTTTAATAATCGTACTTTAATGTCTATCAAATTATTTTGGTTTAAAGATCAAAAAGGTCAGTAAGGAGTGATTTTGTACTGAACGACAGTCGTGAAGGCGTTATCATTACTCGGTTATCTGATACCTGCGATAGGATGATAGGATCCGGTAGTACCACACACGTACCTGCACAGGTAGCTCCGACATTCTAACGAGAACATGTAAACAATACGTGAGTCATCCCACACTAATCCAAATATATTTTGTGTTATTTATTCCTCAACAATGTGCTTCT